TCATCACCGATTATTGCCTACTATTACACGCAATTGATTGGGGATCCCAAAAATCCACCGACACTGCTTGCAACTCCAAATTTTGACGGGATCGCAGTCATTGGTAATCCTTTCCAACTTACGATGCCGGAGAAGTCGTTGATCTTTTCGGTCTGTTGAGACGCAAATCCTTACATTGCCGGAGGACAGTACTACATCAACCAGAATAACTTGTAAGTTCGTCTACTTCCACAGAAGACAAAGATATAATATATTTTTAAAGCTTCCGCTCTGTCAGAAATTTCATCATCGATCTTCGACAGTAGGTGCCCCTATTATCGTGAAGCTCTCTGGCTTGCCTTAATCCTTGCGCAGGGTACCCTCTACAAATTCAGGAACAGGCTTGCATTGGCAAGTTTCGCAAGCCACATCCCTTGTCAACATAGTTGTGGAAATGTCGACTGCTCCTGATACTGCCCACCAAGGTGAGGATATAATTTGGCTTAAAGTCTGATTTCGGTCTTTATGCCCTTCTCAAAGGTATATTCATGGAGAACGGGAGGTATGGGTGACATATAATTTCTTGATCATGCAACCTTGATGACATGGGTTAGCGGCGGTTTTATGGGCGACCTGATATTTAATGGAGGTAAATCGTCAGTACCTTTGTCTCTAAGGCATGTTTGATTAAACAAGTATCACGAAGGAAAATTCGGGATATGGGTTGGAAATCAACAGTGAGCCACGACTATTCTTCTTTTCTGGTTTTCATTTCCTGATGGCTCTTATAGGTTCACCGTTCGAAACATCACGATAAACAATGCGCAAACGGCAGTCCTCCAGGTCTGGAATTGGGGTAACGAGAGCTAACAAGCTTTGCAACTATCAGGCTGACCTGGCTAATTCCAACAGGCTGGGTCTTCCAGGATGTGTCGATAAACAACTGCCAGGTATGGATGATATCATGGTGCCCTCTCACTCCATGCTTTGACGATTACTGTTAGGTTGGCTTCGACATGTCAGCTGGTGGAGTGGCACAGGGTACTCAAGTGATGCCTCTCGTCTGAACTCTTCGACGAATTGCACTCATGGGAAATTTAGACGGCTGGAGCGATTGCGATTATCGACGCCAGCATCACCGACACACCGGTTTTTGTGCGCACTTCTCAACCAAGCAACGACAGACTCGATGGTTCCATTGTAATCAATAACGCTGAGCTTGCCAACGTCCCTATCGCGGTTGGAGTGGCCGGCGGCCCTACGGTGCTTGCAGGCGGAACAATGAGGATTGCATCCTGGGGCCAAGGAAATGCATATAAAGGAACCAACGGCACTGGCGTATTTACTCAGGGACCCATTGCCCCTGCTCACAAGTCACCTTCGCTATTGGACCATTCGGGAAGAATATTCGGCCGCACTCATCCGCAATATGCGAATTATGCTCCTAGCCAGTTTGTCAGCGTCAGGGATTATGGGGCCAAAGGGGACGGGATCACGGATGACACTGATGCGATTAAAGCTATATTACGAAGGGTATGCTCACTCGAGATCGACTTGTTGTCTAACGGCTGACACGTCTGTCATTGGTCTGTCAAGTTCGCAGGGTGCAAGATCATCTTCTTTGATGCTGGCACCTACATCGTCACCTCGACTATTACGATACCTGTAGGAACTCACGTCGTTGGAGAAGCATGGTCGGTTATTGCAGGAAAAGGGTTGAGTTTTCAAGATCAAAGCAAGCCAAACCCGGTGGTAAGAGTAGGACAACCTTATTCTCAAGGCGCCATGGAAATCACGGATATGCTATTCACGACCATCGGACCTGGTTAGCTCTCCTTCACCATACTTATTTTTCTTTCTCTTACATGTTTTAAACCGCCTCAGCCGCTGGTGCTATTGTTGTGGAATGGAACGTCAGGCAACCTTTTGGGCTGGCAGGCGGGGCGGGAATGTGGGATTCACACATCAGGTTGGTGCATCTTCGCTCTTGAACGGCACAAGAGTATTGATACTTGAGTGGCTATTTAGGATCGGAGGAGGTGATATTGACTGGTGTTATAGCATCCTGGAACTGCTGATTCCGTTTTGATTGCAGCCGCAGGAACTAATCTAGAGCCAGCCGAATGTCCCAAAGATGGAAGCGGTGGCGCAACCAATTGCTTCGCAGCTTTCTTGGCACTTCATCTAACGCCTAGCTCAACGGCATATCTGGAGGTCTGCGAAATCGTCTCACTGATCTGGTTGACGACCTGACGACGTGAATAGGGAACATGGGTCTGGCTTGCTGATCATAACTTGGATGGAGACGGCTCAACTCAAGTGCAAATTTACTCAGGGAGGGGTGTACTGTCGGAATCGGCAGGTCCTGTCTGGCTGGTGGGGACAGGTCAGTCCTTCCACAATGTCGTCACAACCACTGCTGACACTGGGTCTAGGATGTATGTGTACTTGATATCGTTTGTTTGCGGCTGCACGACTAATTCGAGGACATGTGCAGCAGAACATCACGTCCTTTATCAATACAACCTGGTTAACGCCAAGAATCACTATTTGGCATTAATCCAAACTGAATCGGTACGTTCAGGCTCTTTATTATCTTCTGCTATACTCATCTCTCGCGATAGCCTTATTTTCAACCTGTTCCTGCGCCACCCACGCCATTTACGCCCAGTTTCGCGTTTCACGATCCCACCTTCCCCGATGGGCTTGACTCATCTTGGGCATTTCTCGTTACGCGTTCAAGCAACATCCTTGTTTTTGGTGCGTAAAGCACAATTAACCCTTTTGGGCTAGGACGCTCAGTTCTACCTTAGGTGGTGGGCTGTACAGCTTTTTCCAGGTGGGTCTTTTGTCCAGGAAATGGTGCCTGTTGATCTAAGACTCAAATCAGAATTTCGAGCAAACATGTCTGGACACGGCAAGCTGCCAATCTCAAGTTGTGAACATCGACTCCTTCTCCACCGTGTCAATTTACAGTCTATCCACGGTTGCGACTACGTTCCAGCTTAGCGTGAATCAGGCTGGGGTTATCAACCAGAGTGGTAATGTCAACGGTTTTGCCTCAACGGTGACTGTTTGGAGTAGACATTAGGCTTTGACCATGCATGAAGTTAAAAATCAGTGAAGGCACCAGGTTGTAACCTCTGGTCCAACTCTCTTCTGTATGCTGTAACAAGAGGTCCACGTTAAAATGACCTAGTTTGAGCGCCTTTACGCGTTACAAAGTTCTTGAAGGAAGACATGAAGATCGCTCTTCTCCACCTCAAGAATAGCTGCATCGAAAGAGGTGAATTCCGCACGTCCTGGTTGGCATTTCTGCGACGCGAGAAAAAAGGTCGTGGCAAAGTTGCTGCAGAAAACCGTTAGCCCCAGATTTCGCAGAAGCACAATGAGCAATAGAGCTCACTTTTTGCGAACATCGCCGAATTCAGATGCAGCTGTAATACCTACGACTGTGAAGCGCTGCGTTGTCTCATTCAAGCACGCCACGACAAATGGAAGGCCTTTTCTCCTCAGGCGAGTTGTCGTAGCATCGGCCAACCGGTCACGTAGTGCATCCACCAGCCACAACGCGAGTCGTGTTAAAATGGAGGGATGAGAGAATAGAATCAAGTCGGGCCCTTGTGTGAGAACGACGACGCGGTGGCTTCGCATGGTTTTGATGTCTTGTTTATCGATGATAGATGTGCCCTGTCGGATTATGGCACGATGGAGGGACATGGATAGACGTAGGGATTGCCTCAGAGCGGAGATGCTGAAGAAGGACAATGAGTATTAGATACTAATATATTAATCGCAAATTAAATCCCCTTACTCGCTGAGGGCGTCGTAGGCTGTCCAGAAATTCTTCACCCACCAATGAGGCTCTTTCTTTCGTTCCTCGTCTTTGTCTGCATCATTTTCGTTCCCAGCATGGCCGGCAGTTGGGTCTGCAGGATTTGCAGCTACAGGTTTTTCCTGCAGCTTTAGCCCGGCTTTATCAGAGCTCGGCAACTCCCAAATACGACCTCCTCCAAACCATTCACCACCGTTCCGTGTTCCTTCAATCTCAACTTCCATGCGTATTCCTTCCGCCACATCGAGGAGGACGCTGATGCCCTCAACTGCATCTGCTGCCGATAAAGGTTGCGAATGAAAGCCATAACATCGCATGAAGGACGGATACGATAGTTCTACGAGGCCATATTCTGGGGCAATGTCGTTGAGCTTTTGGATCAGGTTCTTCTTGAGGTCCATATCCATATGTGCAAATGGTTGTTGAGTCTGTGGGATGGAAAATCTGCGACCTTAAGAATGAGTATCTCAAGAATTAGTGTATAAAGACGAGCTTACCCCATTTTTGCTAGAAGGCCAGTCAAACGCTGTCGACCTCGCTCTTTCCAGATTCCAAGTTTACTGGCAACGTAGCTCGAATGAAACATGGCATCGTATAGGGTCCAGTGCCTAAACAGCATGAACCTCAGCTCCTCCGTCGATCGCACACTAATGTCATCGGGGTTGATAGCAATGAGTGAATGATTGTTTTCTTTCTGCGGTTGTGGATTAAGACGGGAGACTTCGTCGAGATAGATAGAATGATATCCCTCATAAATATCGCGAGGTATTCGTGAGGTGATGTATTGAAATGTAAGACCCAAGATGGCGAGCCTAAAGCATATTCGTTTGCAAGGCATTTCGCGAGCGATACACAGTACACTTACCAGAGCAAATCGTTATCGGCCCTCTCAAGCTGGGTAACAAGTATGTAGATGGTGCTTGCTGCACATTGCCCATGCCAGGTCCCTGACGTGAAATATTTGTTGACGACTAGCTCATGGTGGTCCAATTCGTCCCAGGTCATTCGAGTCTTCTGCTGGTGCACATTGCATGAGTTAGTGCGTAGAGTGCTCAGGGTGACATACTTCGTCGTCTGTCCTACGACGCTTCCGAGGAGGATCCTCACTGCGTATCCGACGCTTACTAGAGGGGCTGCTAGCGCTACCGGTGTCTTCCTTGTCGTCACTCAAGTCTTCATCTTGTTCGTTGTCGTCCAAGTCGTCATCATCCTCGCTGTCGGATTCTGGTTTCAGTTCGTACTGCAATTTCTCGTGAATTGTCCACACATAATTCGAAAATGAGGCATACCTCTAACGCTTCCCATGATTTCTTTTCCTCAATCAATTTGTCTGCATCTCCATCGTCCCACACCAAAATTCTATCGGCGTTCTCCCCAGCCATGAATAAGTTGACCAAACCGTAAGGTCGTGCGGAGTCGATAACGTGGATTGTGACCTTGAGATCAAAGTTTCCAAACCACTGCGCGAGGGGAAGGTCATAACGGCCACCCATGTTAATGAGGATCAATGTGTGAAGCTACCGGGACTCTTGTTGTCAAAACTTGCTGACAGCAGAGAAACCACTCACATCGTTATTCGAAGACAACTCGTCTCGAACATTTTCCATTTCAGCTCTTCCTGATACTGGAATAATACGGTAGCCCACATCGTCCTGTTTAAAGAGCGTTGCAAGCATACGCGATGCACAGAGCGCATCCACGTTTGGCGAGACAACCATGATAACTGAGGATGCCGAGGAAAGAGGTGAGCGCCTATGCGCAGATAGGATCTGATTATACGCATCGGAGTAGGAGGTGCGGTTGCCGGCAAGTTGTGGAGGAGGGATATAGACCATGGTGTTAGTGTTGTGCATTCGAGATTCGAGAAATACGGTGTTTTAAACTTGAATTGGCGGCACATCATCGGCTGGGATCGACGCGCTTGTCACCTATCACGTGATATATCTCCGCGTCCTTGTCACACCAGAAAAGGAAAGCCTTTAAGTTCGAAGAGGTTTAAAGCTCATCTGACGATTTGTCGAATCAGGTTCTATTCCATGCCGCATTTACCCAAGCCCAACTAGTGGTCAAGAATGGTTCCAAATAAATCTTTTTAGGAGCTACCGACGTATAGATCGAGTATTCTACATGGACTAGCGTGCTTGAAACATAAGTAGTATGTCCCAGCTCGGAGGTGATTTCCGAGGAGATAACCTGGAGTATTGAACGGAGGGGGGCTTTGAAGAGACTGAAAATCAAGGCCCCCATGGTCATCTGCGGACACGAGTTTGCGTGCCCTTCACCCTCTGGCAAAACGTACAGCCAGCGAGGTGGAATGAGTGTTGTAAAGAGCTCGTATTGCGCGCGCTTCCATGTGGAGGGCATTTCATATTCTCCAACAAGATCGACGGTGCTCTCCGCGAACATGAGCAAAAGGGACTCGATCATTCCATTTGCCGTTGGGACGGATGGCTCTTGCTTCCATTCAGATTAAATGAGGGTTGCGAGGGCCCACTGCTTCTGCCAGAATCTGGAGACGAGGCTGCGCACGAAGAGGCTGCGCACGGGGATCATTCGATTGTGAGTTTCTTATGGAGCTCAGTCCCTTCACAGCACATAGACACAAATTTGCCGATCCTCATCGGAAGGGCTGTACAACTGCATCTCGCGACCATTTCAAATAGGCGCACTTCTGTCACAGAAAGTTTGATAAGGGAAATGCGTAGCTCATAAATGGGCTCCTTTCCACTGGCATAGGCAAGCTCTGAGCGTTTAGATTTGTGATCTCAACGAATTTTGCATCTGACATTTGTGCTTGCCAATGATAGTGCGAAAAAACTAGTCCCAGCTTGAGAAGTGGAAGAGGCCGCCGCTGAAACACACCGTTTGAATACTCTCAGGAGATGTGCGAATCGATGCTTCGAGACTTACCTTCCGCTGTGCGAACGGTGCGAGAAGTAGTCAAAATCGATATTAACTGCGGCGTATATGAGTTGCAATAATAGTTGACACAAAATGCCATACCAGCAAGGGCAAGGAAGAGCTGACGGTATGGTAAATCAGCTCCCAGAATTAGAGCAAAAAGAAATGCACAAACGGCTCGTTCATCAATAGTGAGGTCCCTATATTTGCCGAGTGGATGAGCTTGAGGAACTTCGGACCCATCAAGTCGTAATTCGCGCGGTGCAAACCGGACGGAATATCGCCCTATAAACCACCGGTGCCTAATCAATGGAGAGAGCTTTTGCAAGAGCAATCTGAGTACCTGTATCTGTGAAGACCTTGTCAAGTTGTCAGAAGGCCTGCAAGTGTTTTGTGATAAGGGCTAGTGCGCACCTCACGACCGATCCCACGAAAAGCCCGGTCAACACTGGCAATTTCATTGCCAACTTCGTCTAATATGCGAAAATGCCACGCTAGAAATCCTGAATCAACCTTGGCAACTTGATAATAGACAGGTTCTTCCGATAAATTAGGGCTACTGTGCGCAGTAGAACCAAGGCCTGATTTCGACGTGAAGGCGTCGCTGACACAGAAATGAGCACTTGTGATACGACAGGAGGGAATTGCACCATGGACCGCAAGAATAAATCATAACGTCGTCGCCAAGGGTGCCAGATCTGTTGAACTTCGCCGAAGGTGCCGAGAATAGGTTCGGTTTCAGGGTCGTAATTCGCGTGGGCTTTTAGGCGCTGAACCAGCATTCGCGAGTTAATCCACGCAAATGGACGTCGTACCTGAAAGGAGTCCAGGAATCTTTGTGTGAAATGACAACACGAGCACGAGGAAGGTGAACGTGCCCACAGAACAGGTAGCCCTTCGTTATCCATTATGACTGCTCTAAACGGTCGATGAGTGGCAAAGGCTTGCCGGGAGAGCGTGCCTAGGAAGCCCCTTGGTTCTTCTGCAATATACCCAAGAGGTTCTCCATTTTCACCGCCTGTAAATGTTTCAGGGTGATTGACATCGAAGAACGAAGAAGGCAATCACTTATCGTATATTTATTCGACTGTTCGAAACCAATGAAGACATTCAGCATCTCGATCTGTCTAGCTGTTGGTAGATAAAACAGCGATGCGCAAGAGACGCGAAGCTACATACCTTTCGATAACTAGGGTATTGCCTTGAAATAACAGCCGACTCAGTCCATCATTGCTGTGCTGCAATTCAGACAGAGTTTCAGACCCTCCATCTCGAATGAGAACGCGTTCTAGCGGTTGACTGGTGTTACTTGTTGGGTAAATTGGCTGAGGGGGCGCTAAAGCTGATGAGAGGCAATACACCAGGAAGCAAGTGGGTTGTACACTACGCTCTCTCGTGGTCCCTGGAGCCCGCCTCGGGAACCGTGAAATAGCATATGCACGCTGGAGTTGCCTGGGGAAAAGGACCGGGTACTTGAGAAGAGCTGTGGCAGAGAGTATTGATATCATCTGAGAAGGATGAAGTAATGGTAAGTAGTAGACGCGTGGCAGTGGAGGACCCCCGGCAGTAGAGGGGGAGCCTTGATCCCGAATTTCAAAAATTTGTCCGGACAGAGGTCCGAAAATTTGTCCGGATTATACCTGGCCTGTCCAGATTTCAGATTTTTTGTCCGGACAACCTGATCAGGCCCTCTTGCGCCAAAAATTTGTCCGGATCCAGGGATCTGGCCTCCAGCAGCGCCAAAAACGGCCAAATTTTCAGCGGAGGGTTCTCGTCAAGTGCGTGGAAAGAGAGAGATAAATTGAGAAGCTCGTGGAGGCACCTGGGTCGTCCATAGAGAGTTCACTGAAAGGAGAAGGAGCATGGACACCCAAAAATCTTGAGTCGACAAGAGACAGGAATTGGATGAACAAGATATCGAGTTGCTAAATGGGGGGGTGGAAGAAGCGATGTTGAAGATGAGGGCCATGAAGCTGGGCCATATCGCCCGAAAGTAGTGAGGAGTGGCAGACAAAAAATGACCGCAAACACGGGAGAGGACCCAAAATAATAAAATTCATGTTCAAGAATCGAACATTAGACTTCTACGGTGTAAAAAAATGGTGAGCCTCACAAGCTTTACATTTCCACCAATCATCTCTGTCCGGACACTAGATCTGGCGTGTCCAGGATAGAGGAATTTTGTCCGGACATGGGATCGGGCTCCCCTCTCATTTGACCTCGATTTTGTCCGGATTTGCACCTGGCATTTTCGAAAAAATCTCCAAAATTTGTCCGGATTGGCATCAGGTCTCCCCCTCTATTGCCGGGGGTCCTGGCAGTGGATGTCGGGTGGATGTCGGGGACTCGGGCCGGTCCGCAACTTCCGGGGATCACCAGATCACATGACAGCTTTCCCCGACTCTCGTCATCCGACGTAGACCGGTGACCGTCTGTATATGAAGGTAAACCTGTCGATATACAGACCGGTGTATCTGAGTTCGAATTCCCGTAGCGCGCATTTGATGGGTCGCGATCGGCTGATTTCGACCTCCCCTAAACCTCAGGTCACGTTGTTCGCGTTCAGGACGCGTTCAGGACGCGTCGGCTCTGTTCAACAAACTGACGCGCCTCGCAGGAAAGTCTCCTGGGGCCTCACTACAGCCAACCGCACCGGCGCTATGGCTCAAATTAACACTGTCAACTTGGATCCTCTTTTTGAACTGCGAAATCTCAGCGCTGACCTGCTCGAGCCGGCCTACAATGTGCTCATTCCTTCTCACTGTGCTATTCCTCCTGCTTTCTGGGATGCATATAGTCAAGAATATAAAGCTATTGGACCTCGTTCTCGTCTTCTAGTCTACATAGCTAGCCCTAAATGGCTGTCTCTGAGGAGTGTCAAGATCTTCTTGAACCGCTGAGCACGCAAAAGGCGCTCCTTGGCCGATAGGGCGAGCTCGGCGGTCTCGTTGTCGCAAGACTGAAAAGGTAATCTAAAAATGTATTTGGTACGAGAAGTATAGACGAGAAAGGATAAAGCGGACATCGGTTCTAATTCCACAAGTGGCGCAGTGGTAATGACGCTGAAGATGAATTGCTGCGAAGAGGTCTCAAAGCTCGGCTCGGGCGCTTGAGACGCCTCGGAAGTAATGGCTACCCCCCTATCCGTCAAGGTACCCGGGGCCGTAGAACTTAAGAGCTGGCCCTCTGGGGGGGTGTTCGCTGCCTTGCGGGTTTCCGAGTCTTTTTCTGCGGCGCAGGGAGAGCGGTAGCAAGAATTTCAGCGGCGGTCTTGGGAGGCCATGGCAGTAAGAACGTGACCGGGAGTTTAGGGGAGGTCGAACTTTGTCGACCGCTTTCAGCAATAGCCCATCAAAATGCGCGCTACGGGAATTCAAACTCAGATTCACCAGCCTGAATATCGATTGTCATATTCAGGTTGGTCACGAGCCTACATCCGACGCTTCATTCTGAATCCATTCTAGAACCTTTCTCAACGTTGTAGGGCTTTCACCAGCTCTCCCAATGCTTGGGTGTACCTCTTATCTCTTCCTTTAATCCGGACCACTTTCCGCCGCCCACTCTTCAAAGACGATCCGACTTGAACGGTATTCTACAATGCATCGTAATTCTTTAATATCTGTCGCCCATGCTCAGCGGGGAAGCCGCTTTGTTGGTTCTGCTTCTGCTGTACAACTAAAGGTACGTCGTTATCATGTTATTTCAAGTTAATACTCAACCGATTAACAGCCCCGACACCAAGAACCCTTCCCGACCCCCAGTGCTCCGTACGACGGACGACCATCCCGCACCTCTTTTCCCACTCCATTAAACCACAGCTCCTCGTCTCCGCATCAGCCGCGCTTGGTTCCTACAGCCAAGAGCTGGGCAATCCCCTCTCCAGTCTCGTCCGCCCCACATATCCAGTCAAAACCGCTCCTCCCACGAGAATACTCAAATAAATGGACACGCGCAGCTCCCAAGCTGTCTCCTTCGGCCATATCGAACTCTGCAAAACCTCGTTCTGCCCCTCTGGCGGCACCAGGCAGCTCCGCGACATTACCCCAAAAATCCTCGGATGCATCTGCTACCGCTGCTCGTCGAGCAGATTCTTCTCTGAAAGCCAAGGCGGCTGCTCTCGAGTCAACCACTGTGGCTTCGTCTTCATCAAAAGCTTCGGGCAAGGATGCAAAAGCATTTCGAACTACACCTTCATTTTCGGGGTACGAAGATGAAAGACGGCGGGGAGATCACTACAAGGCACGACACCCGTCTGAGCGGTCCGATGACCTCTCTAAGACCGATGGGCCACGTCTTAAACAAGGAAATCTACGAAATTTCGCGTTGGACCATGATGAAGGTCGCTCCCGAGTGAAGGACCTTTTACCGAAGGCACCCATTAAGAAGGTCTCCAAGCCAAAGCCCAGATACACCGCACAACGTCGGAAGAATGTATTTATCCCTTCAACCCTAACTGTGGCGACACTTGCGCGTCTACTTAATGTGAAGCTTAGTGTGTTTCCTTTCCCCTTCTTTAGCGCTGTTTACTCATTCCTGGGTCCTAAAGCCCACCTCTTGAACAAGATGCGCCGAGTTGGTATGGAGTCCGAGGCAAATTACGATTACAGTGAGCTATTAACGGTCTTTTCGCTCCTGAGCGCTTCGCTGATGGAATGCGAAGTTCTTAATTCCGATTATGCCATGTTGCTCGTGGAGGAGTTCGGTTTCAATCCCATTGTCAACGACGAAGCTGCCTTCGACATCCATCCTCCGTGGGTATACTTGAAGCATTTAACTCTCGATACTCACTTTTTTCTAGCCCATCTCATCCAAATCCGTCTGCGCTACCTTCTCGCCCTCCGGTCGTGACCATTATGGGCCATGTTGACCATGGAAAAACTACATTACTGGATACATTGCGGTCGGCTGCCGTCGCAAAAGGTGAAGCTGGTGGTATAACTCAACACATTGGTGCCTTTTCTGTGCCTGTGGTCAGTTCTAGCGGGCCTCAATCAATCACCTTTCTGGATACCCCCGGCCATGCAGCTTTCTCAGCAATGCGGGCCAGAGGCGCCAACGTGACAGACATCGTAGTGTTGGTGGTTGCTGCAGATGATGGAATAATGCCACAGACGAAAGAAGTCATTAATCTTCTGAAGAGAGAAGACAGCCAAGTAGAACTGGTTGTTGCCATTAACAAAATCGACAAACCAGGCGCCGACTTGGTACGTTTCTATCCCTTGGTTTTCATTCTGTTCCACTGATGCATACGTTAGGATGCCGTGAAAACGGCTCTTATGGTGGAGGGCATTCAACTTGAAGAGCTGGGTGGCGATGTTCCTGCGGTGCCTGTCTCTGGCTTGACGGGTCAAGGTCTCCCAGAGTTGGTTGAGACACTCTCGGCCGTTGCGGAGGTCCGGGACCTTCGAGCGGAACGCGATGGCCCAGTGCAGGGCCATGTCCTGGAGTCGAATATGCACAAAGGATTGGGGTGAGTTTATCAACCATCATTAGTGTTCATGAAGCTGAATACTACTTCAGGTCTGTTACAACGGTTTTGATTCGGAGGGGCAGCCTCAAAGCCGGATCTCATATAATTTGCGGTACCACCTCCGGGAAAGTACGACGAATGACTGACTCTCACGGAAACGTTATCCAAGTTGCGTATCCCGGCATGGCAGTGACAGTCTCGGGATGGAAGACACTGCCCAAGGCTGGCGATGAAGTCTTGGAAGGCTCAGAGTCGGACATCAAAAAGGCGCTTGCAAACCGCATGAGGAAAGAGGAATCGGACGCTCTGCAGCAGGACGCCGAGGCCATCAACGAATCGCGACGACAAGAGCGCGATGCTCGAGGCACCGAAGGTCCCGGTCTTTTGTTTGCGGAGACCACTTCACCTACAGGACCCAAAGAGCTTCGACTTATCATCAAAGCTGATGTCAGTGGGAGCTGCGAGGCGCTGGAGGGTGCACTGAACGGGATCGGCAACCACATTGCAGTGTCGAAGGTTATATCGACTGGGGTGGGAGAGATTACAGAATCTGATATTATGATGGCGAAGGCCGCGAACGGTAAATTATCCAGCTTGTCAAGCTTACTTGATTTACTATTTACTAATGCCAAATGCAGCTACTGTCGTCGGATTCTCAGTTTCTGCTCCTCGCTCCGTCCAGTCCATAGCTGCCCAGAATGAGGTCCCGATTATGATGTCCAACATTATCTACCGTATCATGGACGATGTTCGCACCCGTGTCATTGACATGGTCCCCAAGATCATAGAGACCAAAGTCACAGGAGAAGCCACAGTGCTTCAGATTTTTGATATCCACCTCAAAGGAAAAGAAATCATGAAGGTGGCTGGATGCCGTGTTGCTAACGGACTCGTCGAGAGGTCCAAGTTCGCACGTGTTGTTCGGGGAGGAACGGTGGTACATGAAGGTGAGGAATTTTTCTTCTGGTTGAGAACATCCTCTCAGTTGTGCTCGTAGGATCTCTTGAGACTCTTCGCCAGCTCAAGAGGGATGTTACTGAAGCTCGCAAAGGCACGGAATGCGGCTTGACCTTGAAAGACTTTTCGGACATGCGGGACGGGGACACGATTCAGATGTACGAGAAAATAGAGAAACCTGGGGTCCTTTAGACGTATTATACCAATATTCTACTCAGCATTTATCATTTGTATCGACAGTAGAACTACATTCACGCGCGGGCTTTATTAGATTCGTCTAAAATGATTTCTTTACCACCAACTGTCCCCGTTCTACCGCCTACACCGAAGGTTAGACTGATATTCCCGAGATCACGGTCGGTTTTTTCCAGCACAGTCCAACTGCGCCCATCGCTCTTCTTCAAGTTCAGTTCAACCTGATCGTTATGGTCAATGTCTGTATATGATGCAGAGGCAGAATTGGACCAACCTTCGTGCCGAAAATTGTGAAGGTGCTGCTCTGAGGATCGATGGTTCCGAACAACTGAAGGGTTTTCGAAAACCGTTTGTTTCCTGGGAGGAAAAAATCCAAGACAACCTGCAGGCGGAAGTTCCGTTAGCATCCACACCAGGACACTAAGAGGGGGCAAGTGCTTTCCTCTGCATCCTCAAATTTGACAGTACTGCGTGTCTTATCGATCTGCTTCGCAAACACAGAGACGTGCACTCGGTCCGGTGTTTGGTAATGGTCAATGCGACAGTTGACTTGCTCTACGGTCTGAAGAACGTCAGGAGGACAAGCTCCGAAAAAATCCAATCGGACTCACCTTGTCTGCCGTAACTACTGGCACGAAGCAGTGACGGCCTGTCTGGCAACCTTTGATCTTCAAGAATTCGTCGAACTCGAGGACTTTCCGTTTGCAGCACAGATAACCCTGAAAACTTTCGTTGGAAGCTTTGCCTTGCACAGCTACCGTCCAGTCCTACCTTGCTTCCTTCCCTGAAGATTGGCTACGCAATTGAGTCAACCTGACAGAGATGAGCACAGAAAGACACGGCATGCTTACTGGAAGAGGATGGTAGTGGCACACAGTACCCTCGCCGTCTCCTTGTCGATTGACCTCATCGCCGACGAAAGTCACTCCACAGCCTTTTCGCCTGCACGTTGTTCCAACCGCAACTGGAGTATTCAGGTCATCTACCTCGAGGACAGGTGCTGGTTCTGTCGGACGCTCTGCAGGGACGGCGGAAGATACAGCCGCGGAGCCAAATACCGGGGTAACACCTCCAACTTGGAAGACTTCCTTTCCGTCAGCAGTTGTTTGCGTTGAGATATTCGGAGCTGGCCCCGACTTCGCTGCGGGTGCCGCTGGGGTAGGCTCTGCAGCCGCACTGTGACCCTTTATCTCAGTGCAAGCCTGTACCGCAGTCAGAATTCTCAGTCTGCGCAAAAGAACACTGATGGCGAGGGCTTACAGGAATCTTCATGAACTCATCGAAATCCAACACTGGCTTGTAGATGTCCTGGCAACATGACCAGGATTTCAAACCTTCATGGAAAACCTACAAGGTGGATCAGAGTCATCAGACGACCAAGACACTCATCGATGCATGAAAGATCAGTCATACTGGTGCGCCAGGATGGTAACTGCATAGACCATCACTTCCTTCCCCGAAATCAACTCCGCATCCTTTTCGCGTGCAACGGGGCATGAGAGAACGCCTTCGTCGAAAAAGAGAGGTGGTCGCGTCTGAGTCGCGTCGACAGGCGCAAACAAGGACGTTTATTTAGGGCATTCGTGACACACGGTTCTAGAAGGATCTAGGATGGTTGGAGGTGAAGGACAAGGACCAAGTCGCTTATTCACACCATCCCATCAGCATTAAATAGAATGTCTCTATGGATGGATGAGCAGAGCCTTCAATAATGGAGTCGCGATAGACTAGGGTAACGTTAACTACGGCAAGCAGCGAAAATGAGGGCTCCTCAAGCGCGAGACTACTTCCACGACTCCCACACCAGAAACCCTATGCCCCACGGTCCTACGCGTCCAACCGTGCGCAAGATTGCTGTCCACTTCGGGCGAGGTTCAGTGACATGACTATGAGGCAAGATATCGGTTTGGAACAAAACTCTAAATCCGTCCTCCTCGACCCTGTGTGTTAATATTTTAAGAGGTGGTTCTGAATTGTTTTCTAGATGTTCTAGATGTATGATACGTCTGGCGATATCCCAAGGCCGACAGACATATTCGTATGCAAGACCGGCTACAACCTGCAACCTTGTCAGACTTGTGGCGCCAGCTAAGAGCAGTACAACATACCCCTCCGGTAACAAGAGTGACGCCGTTGACAATTCCCGGCAGTTGGGTGCGCATGGGACTGCTAGCATTAGCTGTGGTTGGGTGTCTTGAAAGAAAATGTTCCGTAAGATGTTTCGCCGTCGTTCCCGCACGACGAGACAACTCAAAGATAAGAAAGAACGCTGCAAACCCTGTGTGAAGTCACCTCAGAGCCGGTCATCGATAACGTGAATGCCAACAAGACCGACCGAATGTATCTTTGGCACATCCCCACCCCCAGCCGTTCCACCCGCGACCGGCCATTTGGCCCACTTCCTGCATCCAATTACGCAACTGACGGATCTCGTTAAGGTGGTGCGTTGCTGCGGAAGGGACTGAGGGATTTGAATTCGCGCGAAAGACTTCCTTCCAAGCACAAGACCATGAGTACCCCCCGAAGCCGTGCTCCAGAAGGATTCGCACGTTTTCTGCGGGAGCGGCGACCAAGGCTTGACATCCACCTGCGATGGCCCCGGATACCGCTGCATTTGCCAATGTATGCTTCCCAAGAGCCAGCTCTAGTCTCTCACCAGCCTCTCCGTATGCACCCCATAAGACCGTTCCTAGAGCAGCGTTGACTATCATTGGAGGAACGAAATGTTTTGGAATAACACCAAACTGCGTTTATTTAGCCGAATACCAAGAACGACAAAGGATGACACGCCTACCCCTTCTACTTTGATCAAAGAGTGAAGATACTGGTACGTGAGCGTGGTCCCTTGTTGATGTGCTAGATTTCTTAATGTCTGCCAGCCATTGACTGATGTTTACAATTTGAGCATGGACATACGGATGCATTGCCGGACAGTGAACAACTCACCTTTAGCAGGACGAAATAGGCGAACAGGTCTTGCAAAATACAATGCCAAACTTCGAGTTGCAGTTCGTGCTATGGCCGCCTGGATGCTGCCGCTATGAGACCCTTCATCCGCTCTCGCATGCGAGGACGCCCTGTCAGAAGTGTGTGTCATAGGCAGCGTGTCTTGTCGTTGAATCTTGGTGACGCGTCAAAGTATTAGCAGCACAATGTTCAAAGCAGCATTTGAACACCAGAAAGACAGACGACTAACGAAGAGCAGAAATGAGGGGATAGCATGGTGGGAGCACAGGAAGGAAAGTCACGGCGGCACTGCTGCCGTAGGGAAGCAAGCACTCGGCCCGAGAATGAGCGTGTCGCACTTGGCACTGCTGGTGCCAGGCGCCGTCTCCTAGATATTCCAGCCAGCAACATCTCTTCACCGAACCATCCACATCCACGCGCTGGTTACCGACAACCACCTGCCACAGCGTTCTTGCTCTGAAAACTACGATGGCCGTGACTTTCCTAAGCTTCCATTCGGTCGTGTCTCGGGCAGTCCGACGAAGCAACTTGATGAAGAAATGTCAGACAACAACATACCGAAAGTTCTCCAGTGACGCTCAGATCCGCGAAGACTTCTACTGGTGGCCAACCTACTTTTCCAGAGACGAACAACGGGCATTACTGTCCGCTTCTCTGTTCAAACTAGACGGCATGGAGAACAGGCGAATGCGCAAAAAACGTGAGGCGTACTGGGCTTCCCTCGGCGTCCCGAATTCCGAGATTATTAAGCATTTTGCTCCTGATGAAATGTACGATTTTGCGGAGGCGAGTTCTCTCAATCTTCAAGGCGCCTTCGTTCAATCATCTGTTGTTCCTTTAAAGGGTCATTTCGACGGAGTCATTCACCACTACCGGGAAATGCATCTCTCATCCTGGCCAGTAGAAAGATACCCGGAATTGCAGCGTATCTTAGATCGCTTGTATTCCTTATGTCCTACACAGGATGTCCAGACGCATATTTTGCACCTAGCATCTTACGGGGACATATTGCCCCACGTCGACAATTTGGATGCAAGTGGATCGTGGATTCTTGGAGTGAGTCTCGGTGACGAGCGGCTACTCCGATTAGAGAGCTCGAATCGTTCTGCTGAGGACTTCTGCCTGAGCCTTCCCTCAGGGAGTGTGTATCTGCAACGGTTAGTTCCACAATTTCACGCCATTGGCCTCACGGCTAAAGCTTAATATTGCTCCAGGGATGATGTACGGTTCAATTACTTACACAGCATTGAGAGGCAAAAATCCATTGGACAACGACTGAGCATCATGGTCAGGGTGCGTGTTGTTTTATAAGCACCCTCTTTCCTTTTGAATCATCGGCTGTTGGCCTAGGATCAGAATAAAGCTACGCCTTCCCTTTCTTAAGGCAGCGCCAGTTTCACCTCGTTAAAACGAATGATTTCTGCGTCATTTCAAGCCATAGGATCCGGAATCAAGGCGTGACCCTCCAACTCTGGGGCCGCATGTATATACTGCAGCGTGTTCCTCTTGTCCTCCTCCATGTACAGGATAGGTTGAATGCTGGATGCTTCTACTTTTCGATAGGAGCACGAGAAGATAAATCTGACGAATCTGACCCGATCGAAGGAGGCACCCTGACCTCGATTCCCCATTCTCAAATGTATCTGCAGATCGCAAATGCTTAGTTCTTCCGAGATTGACGACAAAAGTATTGAATTCTAAACCCAGCGCATCTGAGGAGGGTGTAAGAAGTCGATGACGAAGAACACGAGGTTTATGGGGCACACCTGTTTTCGAACCAGTACCTGCACATTCGCTGATCTCAGGATAATCTGCATCAGAATTAAGATATGTTCTATTTGTATCTAGTGCTACAGTATTCTACACCAACGGGGTAAGTTTAAGCAGCTTATAAAGTATAAATGAGATGTCTCATGACAAAAGGAATGTGGTAATGAAGTGTCATTGCGATGGGTTCAAGGTAAAACGGTCCGTAAAACGAGGCCTAGAACGTCATGAAAATATTGTCCCCATCATGACCCAGTCATTCAGGACACCTTGGTGACCCCGGCGGCCCTGTAGATGAAGATTTAGATCTTGCCTTCATGAGTGAATAAGGTACATACGGCAAGGTCGCGGTCTTATCCTTCCCCTCGAGCTTGAGGGTGAGGATTTGAGTACCCTAAGACGGAAACAAGGTGTGTAGGCCCGGTAGACATTAATGATGATACGGACGTACGTCGGGGAGGCGGGTGGACGATTGGACAACTGCGTATTCAACGTCTCCGTTGGAGGTCCAGAAGAAGACTCGGGTTCCAGTCTAGAGAAGAGTTGTAAGGGTCAGAAAAATAGACGATGGAGCGAGAACCAACGGGGAATGCGTTCATAGCCGAAATAGCAAGTGGGATTGGAAGAGCTGTTTTGGTTAACTGGTGTTTTTGGGGCTTCGAGCTTTAAGTACTCCAAGACGCATTGAGGCACTTCGCAGCAGAAATGCTGTAGTGAGTTCCTATCACCGGAGTGAGGGGTTCGATATACCACCCAGGGATCCGTGGCCCCGCGACAAGTCACAGAAGGAGATGATTTGGTAGAAGGTGGTGAGGGGGGCACTTGGGAAAGAGCAAGACATGGCCGACGGTAGATCAGTAATCTCCTGCGATGCGTGGTCAAAACCATCGTTTCACACATTTTAGAATTTGTCGGAAGGCATTTCCTGGAAAATGCAAAGGCCGCAAGTTTAGAGGCATGAAATTCACAGTCGATCCTCGCGGGAAGGGCAGATCGGTGATGAAGACGAGATTAATAGGATCGATGCGACGTAGATGGTCACAGAGAAAGCCCAGGGAACGGAAGCAGAAGCACTTATACGTAATGCATCTGGGAGGCAAGTTCACCCACCGTTGGGGCTTTTTTCGCATAGACCACCACATGTACGGGGGGTGCATGGTAGCCACGCTACTCGTGTCAATGATAATACATCAGAGATAATTGATAACAGCAAACAAGTCGGAGAGTCAGGACGGGTCCCGGTGAGAAAGTGTGATCCTCGGCCTCGAAGGAGAGCGTTCCGAAAAGCCATCCACAGCAGGGCCGATTGTGCTGGCGAGTCTGCCAGAGTGCCCGACATCACAATGGTCGATAACGGCTAGATGAGATTGGCGGAATAGTCACCTCTCCGGCGGTTACAGAAGAATAGAGGATCTTTCGCAAAGTGATGAGCCAAATGCTCGAGCTGTGGTGGGAGATGAGGGCGAAGGACGAAGTATACAGTCAAGCTTGATCTTATCAGTGTCATTTATAAGTGTCAATTACGTAATTATTGATGACCGCCGCCAGGGCACTTGGTCGGACTCTGGAACATGTTCTGAACACTCATTGACATCGCCGACGAGCACTGGCACCGTGATTTCACCAGTACTGAAGAGGTCCTCGGATTTCTATACACCAACAACTTGGATTGAATCTGTCTAAACGCGCTTACTGCCGCGTCTCTCGAGATTACGCGCCCTTAACTTCACCGTCTTAATCGCAATGCCTGCCGCCCCCTCGAGCTCCAAGAGCAATACAGTTCGGCATGACATGTCTGTTATTCTAGTCACTGGCTCCTACGACCACGAGATCCGTTTCTGGGAGGCCTGGAGCGGAATCTGTTCTCGCACCATTGCTCGTACAGGAGAGTCCGGCGTAAGATGCACTTCTCTTGCATATGACCTGCTCCTGAAGGCGTCTATTGTAGCAAGTCAACCGCCTTACCATCTCACACGAGTAAGCATTTAATAATTGATGAAACTTCCAAAAATTTGGTTTAAATTGTGCCTAGTAAACGATTCCTTGCTGCTGGCGTCCACAAGAAGATTCATATTTACGATATTGCGAGTTCATCGTCTGACCCAGTACGTGACGCCGTTTAAAACGAGATCCCCTTCTCAATCCGCGGATGTAGCTCGTGATACTGGATGGACATGGCAACAATGTCACCTCAGTTGCGTTTAATTCCGAGGGCAAATGGTTGGTTTCGGGGAGTGAGGATGGTACCATCAAACTATGGGACCTACGGTGAGCAAGTACATTCTCATCTCACAGGAACTTATCTGGCTGATTTTGTCTCTCGCAGGAGCTCCTCGACTCAAGCTCAGCGGTCGTACGATAATGCGGCACCAGGTCCGCCCTCTACTTCATGTCCGCTATTATTGCTTTAACTGTTCTTCTAGTGAATGACGTTGTCATCCATCCCAACCAAGGAGAATTGATATCTTGTGATCAAGCGGGAAGTATAAAGCAATGGGATCTCACAGATAATATTTGTTCTCATGAACTTGTGAGATCTCCCTGCTCTTCTGCTCTTCTGTGGAGTTTGGAGATTTAATTGCCATAGACACCCGCGGGTGATATTCCAATAAGGTCAATAACTCTCGCGTCGGACGGTTCGTGTCTTGTCGCCGGGAACAACAAGGCAGATTTACCTTTTCCTTCCGGCGGCATGATCCTGACACTAAGCGGCAGGGGCAATGCTATGTCTGGAAGGTCAACGAAGAAAGTACAGGACTTCCACGATTCCAAGCAGTAACACGCTTTTTGGCCCATAACAAATACCTTACGCGTTGTTTGCTCAGTCCCGATGCACGGTGCGTTTTTGTTGAAGCCATCTCACTCTGCTTTCTGACAACCATGCTTTATCTAGGTATTTAGCGACATGTTCGGCGGACACTACAGTGAAGATTTGGTCTATTAGTCCAACCTATGACTTCAAACAAGAGAAGGTGCTCTCTGGTCACCAACGCTGGGTTTGGGACTGCGCGTTTAGCGCGGATTCGGCGTATCTCGTTACAGGTAGGCTTTCGGGTTCGGGAATAGTCGCAGATGGCGTTTGATGTGTCCTGCCCAGCCTCGTCCGACCACACAGCACGCCTCTGGGAAATGGCGTCCGGGGAAACCGTCCGACAATATAATGGACACCACAAAGGTACCTGTTCTTATCTTTGGAAACGAAACCTTGTGACTCACCTGCGAAATCAGCTGCTGTCTGTTGTGCTCTTCATGACGGGGCGAGCTGAATGCCACTTCTAATGCTCACAGTGGTGTGTCCAGTGGCGCAATGCTCGTGTAGCTTATCTCGGTGCTATACAATATGTATGTTTGTTGATGTTGAGGTCTGTGAAGGCGTTCTGGGGCGCTCAAGGGCGTTCAAGTTGGAGTCGTGGCATGATCGAGGATGGTTGAGGTAGATCTCGAGCCCGCTTGGTTTTTCCGCTCGGCCAGGAGGCGCTTGGGGATTGTTATCAGGTGGAAGGCTTATCGCGTTGATTCCATTACTGTTCCGAAGCTGCGAGCCAATGGGAGTGCGATGTTCACAAACCCCGTCGGTCTCTATCGGGCTTAGACGCCGGCCCACCTTTCCGGAGGCGATCATGCCGAGTTGTCGAGTCTAAGAATTTATCGTCCCGCCTCTCTCCTCTCTCCTTAGTCCATCTCCCTCCAAAACCTCTCTTCCTGCCCCCGTAGTCCATGGCTAGCACTGGCATCTCATACACTCCTTCCCCAGAGTCTCTCCCACTTGTTTCTGATGTTGCCTCTATCGAAAATATAAACGGCTTTCATGCCGTCGAGCGTGATACCTCGTCTTTCGCAGCTTCTTTGCCAGCCGATCAAGGTTTATATTCCAACGCAAACGAAAAGGACTCGTGTGGGGTAGGTTTCATCTGCCATATCAAGGGCAAACCCAACCATAAAATCGTGTCCGATGCCCGTTCACTACTCTGCGCCATGACCCATCGTGGTGCGACAGGTGCGGACAGCAGGGATGGCGATGGTGCAGGCGTCATGACTGCAATCCCCCACAAGTTTTTCCAGCGGGAAGCCGAGAGGGATCTTGGATGCGTCCTTCCCAACCCAGGAGAGTATGCTGTCGGTAATGTTTTCTTCAAGCCGAACGACCCAGTCCAACTCCAAAGTTATCAAGGTGTCTTCAGCAAGATCGCGAACGAATTAGGTTTGCGAGTCCTCGGGTGGAGAGAGGTACCCACCGACGGCACTATTCTTGGACCTGCTGCGAGTAGCAAGGAGCCCACCATCCTCCAACCTTTTGTAGTCCTTCGAGCCCATTTCGGCGACGGAAACTTCAGCCAAGGCGCAACCTTCGATGCAACTCACTTTGAACGCCAACTCTACGTTCTTCGCAAACACGCAACGCACAGCATGTTAGTGGTCTGAATTTATGCATCGAATAGGAGAACTTATCTTTGATCCCAAAAAGAACGCTCGCTAAAGGTTTCTATGTGTGCTCCCTTTCCTCAAAGAACATCGTGTATAAGGGACAACTCTCGCCCCCGCAAGTTTACAATTACTACCACGACCTCAATCACGTTTTATACCAGTCTCACTTCACTCTTGTGCACTCTCGCTTCTCGACCAACACATTCCCGAGTTGGGACCGCGCTCAACCCTTAAGATGGGCAGCTCACAACGGTAAGTAGTAATGGATGTAGCTATTTTCTTGCCTGACGCTATATACCTTTAGGTGAAATCAATACCGTTCGAGGAAACAAGAATTGGATGCGTGCAAGAGAAGGTGTCCTCTCATCCCAGCACTTTGGTGACCAACTCGATCTCCTCTATCCCATTATCGAACACGGAGGTTCTGATTCTGCTGCATTCGACAATGTGTTGGAACTATTGGTGGTTAATGGAGCTGTGACATTGCCTGAAGCTGTCATGATGATGATTCCAGAGGCATGGCAAGGGAACGAAAATATGGAACCAGAGAAGAAGGCGTTCTATAACTGGGCTGCCTGCGTTCAAGAACCATGGGATGGACCTGCCCTCTTCGCTTTCAGTGACGGACGCTTCTGTGGTGCCAACCTCGATCGCAACGGTCTTCGTCCCTGCCGTTACATCGTTACAAACGAGGATATAATTGTTTGCGCTTCCGAAGTCGGAGCGCTTTACATAGCCCCAGAGAAGGTCGTCCAAAAAGGCCGCCTGAAGCCTGGTCGCATGCTCCTCGTCGACACTCTCGAAGGCCGCATCGTCGACGACAAGGAGCTGAAGAAGACGACAGCATCGAAGCAAAATTTTGCGTCCTGGGTCGAAACCCATGTCCTTGAAGTCCCTAACATTATCAAGCGCGTCAAGCGAAGCCATGTTGCTCTTGAACCTTGCCCCGACGATACTACTCTCAGCACAGATCCCAAGTTGCTCGCCTTCGGTTTCACCGTAGAGCAACTCAACCTTCTCATGCTGCCCATGGTTTTGGACGGAAAGGAGGCCCTTGGTTCCATGGGCAATGATGCTCCTTTGGCTGCGATGGCCACTCAACCTCGCATCATATATGACTACTTCCGTCAACTCTTCGCTCAAGTAACGAATCCTCCTATTGACCCTATCCGAGAGAACATCGTCATGTCGCTCGCCGCCTACGTTGGACCAGAAGGCAACCTCTTGGAAGTCAAGCCGGAGCAATGCCACCGAATTCTTCTTCCTTCGCCAATCCTTTCCATCGAGGAAATGAACGCGATGAAGCACCTCAAGTTTGCCTATACCAACTGGCCTTCTCGCACAATTGACATCACCTTCGCCAAGTCAGAGGGCCTTCCTGGCTACAGGCGTGCCTTGGATCGAGTTTGCAGTGAAGCATCGCAGGCTATTGACGATGGCGTCAAGGTTGTTGTTCTCAGCGACCGCGATACAGGCCTCTCTCGGGTTCCGTTGTCAGCATTGATTGCTTGCGGTGGTGTGCATCACCATCTCACTAGCCAGAAGAAGCGTGCTAAGATTGCCCTCATGGTTGAGACCGCAGAGGCTCGTGAAGTCCACCATCTCTGTGTCCTCGTTGGCTATGGTGCCGATGCGGTATGCCCTTGGCTGGTTATGGAGACGATTCACAAGGTTGCAAGGGAGGGACTGTGAGTTCGAATGCTTTCTTTTTGCAGAGCTGTGAACTAACGCTCGATTAGCGTCAAGGGGGACAAGCCTGTTGAGGAGCTCATGGACAACTATCGCCTCTCTGTCGACAACGGTATCCTCAAGGTTATGTCGAAGATGGGTATCTCCACTCTGCAGTCCTACAAGGGTGCCCAGATTTTCGAGATTCTTGGCTTGCACAGCGAGGTTGTTGAGCCATGCTTCATTGGGACTGCTAGTCGTGTACAAGGAGCCACGTTCGACCTTCTTGCTATGGATGCCTTTGAGCTCCACGAGCGCGGCTGGCCAAGTCGGGAGACCATCCTTCCTCCCGGTATGCCCGAATCTGGCGAGTACCACTGGCGAGACGGTGGAGAGGCTCACATAAATGACCCCGCCGGCCTCGCTAGCTTGCAAGACGCAGTTCGCGAGAAGAACCAGGCCGCCTACGACGCGTATGCGAGAAATGCAAACTCGCAAGCACAGAGCATCCACCTTCGCGGCCTGTTGGAGTTCCGTTACGAGAGTGCTACCCCTATTCCTATCGAACAGGTCGAGCCCTGGAACGAGATTGTTCGTCGCTTTGTGACTGGTGCGATGTCATACGGTTCCATCTCAATGGAGGCCCACTCAACGCTCGCCATCGCCATGAACCGTCTTGGTGGAAAGTCGAACACCGGTGAAGGTGGAGAAGATGCTGAACGGTCGCACGTCTTACCAAACGGTGATACCATGAGGTCCGCTATCAAGCAGGTCGCCTCTGGCCGTTTCGGTGTAACCGCCAATTATCTCGCTGACGCTGATGAGATTCAAATCAAGATGGCTCAAGGCGCTAAGCCCGGTGAGGGTGGCGAATTGCCTGGTCATAAAGTCTCTGGTTCTATTGCTCGCACTCGTCATTCGACTGCTGGTGTCGGTTTGATCTCTCCTCCCCCTCATCACGACATCTACTCTATCGAAGATCTCAAACAGCTCATATATGACCTCAAGTGCTCCAACCCGAGATCGCGGGTGTCTGTCAAATTGGTTTCCGAAGTAGGTGTTGGTATCGTCGCCAGTGGTGTCGCCAAAGCCAAGGCCGACCATATTCTCATCTCGGGACATGACGGAGGAACTGGTGCTTCGCGCTGGACTGGTATCAAGTACGCCGGTCTTCCTTGGGAGCTCGGTCTCGCGGAAACCCATCAGACACTTGTTCTAAACGACTTGCGTGGTCGTGTCACTGTGCAGACTGACGGGCAGATTAGGACTGGTCGTGACATTGCTATTGCTTGCTTGCTCGGCGCAGAGGAGTGGGGCTTTGCTACGACGCCCTTGATCGCCATGGGATGCATCATGATGAGGAAGTGCCACTGTTTGTCTTCATTCCTCTCCATTCTTTTGTAACATAAGTTGACCTTGTAAATCTCTAGTGAACACCTGCCCTGTAGGCATTGCTACCCAAGATCCTCAACTCCGTGCTAAGTTCGCCGGTCAACCAGAGCAAGTCATTAACTTCTTCTACTATCTCGCGGAGGAACTTCGGGGTATCATGGCGAAGATGGGTTTCCGTACTATCAACGAGATGGTTGGTCGTGCAGATATGCTCAAGGTCAACGAGAAATTGCGAACACCGAAGACAGCCCGTCTTGATCTTTCTGCCATCTTGAAGCCGGCATGGCAAATGCGTCCAGGAGCTGCGACTTATCGTGTGCGCCAACAAGACCACAAGCTCTACATCCGTCTAGACAACAAATTCATTGATGAAGCCGAACCTGCCCTCACCAAAGGCCTACCTGTCCACATCGAATGCGACGTCACCAACACCGATCGTGCCCTCGGAACCTCGTTGTCCTATCGAGTGTCCAAGTTCTACGGTGAAGAGGGCCTTCCCAAAGATACCATTCATATTCTCATGAAGGGCTCTGCTGGTCAATCATGCGGTGCTTTCCTTGCACCTGGTATCACCATCGAGCTCGAAGGCGACGCCAATGACTATGTTGGAAAGGGTCTTTCTGGCGGTCGTCTTATAGTCTACCCTCCCAAGGAATCTACTTTCAAGGCAGAGGAGAACATTATTATTGGAAATGTGTGCTTGTATGGTGCCACCTCCGGGGAGGCATTCATCCGCGGCATTGCAGCTGAGCGCTTTGCAGTCCGAAATTCAGGTGCCAATGCTGTTGTCGAGGGCACAGGCGACCACGGTTGTGAATACATGACCGGAGGACGTGTCGTTGTCCTTGGTATTACAGGTCGGAACTTCGCTGCAGGAATGAGTGGAGGCATCGCCTATGTTCTTGATACGGCCCATACCTTCGCCTCCAAAGTCAACATGGAGATGGTGGAACTTGGCAAGGTCACCGACCCACGCGAAATTGCTGCCCTTCGCAGCCTTATTGAAGACCACCGTCACTACACCGGCTCGGAGGTTGCTGATCGGGTTCTCCACGATTTCCACCACTTGTTACCCCTGTTCGTCCGTGTCATGCCCTTGGACTACAAGCGCGTTCTCGAGGAACAAGCAGCAAGAGACAAAGAGGAGAAGCTACGACAAAGCGTCATTGATCTCATTCCTTCTCGGACTGCTAGCCAAGTCGATCTTGCCTCCGATGGGATTCAAGATGTCTTGTTGCCTAAGGTGCTCAGCCCTGCTCCAACACCTAAGCGTCATGAGCCAGCACTGGTGGATGTTGAAGATTCTCTCGTGGACGATTCAACTACGAAGCTGCGCCTCAACAAGCTCGACAAGACCCGTGGTTTCATGAAGTACAAGCGACTCGGTGAAGCCTACCGTCCTCCTCGTAAGCGTGTCAAGGACTGGAAGGAGATTTCCACCCGTTTGACGGAGAGCGAGCTCAAGTATCAGTCTGCTCGTTGCATGGATTGTGGTGTTCCTTTCTGTCAGTCGGATACTGGTTGCCCTATTTCCAATATCATTCCGAAGTGGAACGATCTTGTCTTCAAGGGACAGTGGCAAGATGCCCTCAACCGTTTGCTCATGACCAACAACTTCCCTGAGTTCACCGGTCGTGTCTGTCCCGCACCCTGCGAAGGCGCCTGCGTTTTGGGCATTAATGAACAACCCGTCGGCATTAAGAGCATTGAATGTGCGATCATTGACAAGGTGGGTCGGTTTCAGAGGAATGCACGCTCCTTGTTAACAGCTTTATTAGGGCTTCGAAATGGGGTGGATGGCTCCTAATCCTCCTTCTTTCCGTACCGGTAAACACGTCGCTATCATTGGCTCTGGACCCGCTGGGCTGGCTTGTGCAGATCAACTCAACAAGGCTGGTCATTCTGTGACGGTATACGATCGCAATGACCGTATGGGTGGTCTGTTGATGTATGGCATTCCGAAGTTAGTCATTTTATCTTCCATCACAGATCCCGAACTCATGACGTTAATTTGATAGCATGAAACTTGACAAGTCGATCGTTGAACGTCGTATCAACCTCATGGCTGCGGAAGGCGTCGTATGTTTCGTTTAGCTCTCTTCCTATTAGCCGTACTCATGCCATTCGACGAAGAAATTTGTCCCTAATGCACATGTTGGCATTGACATCGACGCGAAACAACTTCAGGATGAGAACGATGCCGTTGTCATCTGTACTGGAGCAACTTGGCCTCGCGACCTGAAGATCCCGAACCGTGGTGCAGATGGTATTCACTTCGCCATGGAGTTCCTACAGGTACGACTGGAACTTCAACACCAAATATTCGGATTGTTTCATATATCACTTGCAGCTGAACACGAAATCACTTCTGGACTCTGAGCTCCAGGGTGGAGGTTACATCAACGCTAAAGGGAAAGATGTTATCGTTATCGGCGGGGGGGATACTGGCAATGATTGTATCGGTACCTCTATGCGTCACGGTGCCAAATCAGTGGTCAACTTCGAGCTATTGCCGAGACCTCCTGTATCCCGAGGACGCGACAACCCTTGGCCCCAATGGCCTCGGTATGTCGAGTTTCATTATGATCGAACAACGTACTAAGCGTGTGTAGGATCTTCCGTACTGATTATGGTCACACCGAAGTTGCTGCTCACTTCGGCAATGGTGAGTCGATGCTGTAAGATGGTCACGGGCAATCGATCTAACTATCAGATCTTTCTAGATCCCAGGGAGTATTGCATCTCCACAAAGGACTTCGTTGTCGACGATGAGGGCAAGTTGAAGGGTCTCAACACAGGCATGCTTCTCACAGCCGTCGGTCGACCACTATTGACTCATTGCTTAGTTCGTGTCGAATGGACCAAGGACAGTGGAGGACGTTGGAAGATGGAGGAAGTTCCAGGCTCCGAGAAATTCTTCTCTGCCCAACTTGTCTTCCTTGCTCTCGGTTTCCTCGGGCCTGAGAATGCGGTTCTCAAAGCTCTGGATGTCAAGCAAGACGCTCGTTCGAACGTGCAGACCCCACCTAAAGTAAATATTGCTCTTCCTAGATCCAGTTGTGATGAACATATTTTGACCCACGGCGTTTATCAGAGATACTCGACGAATGTTGAGGGCGTCTTCGCTGCCGGTGATTGCCGCCGTGGACAATCCCTCATTGTTTGGGGTATCAAGTAGGCAGCTTCTAAGCGATACGGAATAGTATTGAGGCTAAATGCTTCTTTTTATAGCGAGGGTCGTGCTGCTGCAGCTGAGGTGGATCGCTACCTCTGTGGCAACTCGAGATTGCCCTCTGCCGGCGGTATTAAGACCAGAGTGTGTCCCTTCTTCAATTCAGCTCTTTATTCACGTTTTGACTTCTCCTTGACAGACGTTTGTGCCACCTCCGAGCAAGCTGGCGCCAGAGGTTAGGATGTAAAAGTTGTTCTCATCTGGAATCTCTTTCATGTACATTCACGTCTACGCACATATTACGCATCTTTCATCATCTATCGTGCCTTCTGCAATGGGTCTTTCTTTCGTTCATGACGGCGTGCAATACGGCTGTATTAAGAGCAGTTGGGGTTAACTTTAGCCTATAATGACTTATGATAAAAACGAGAAGACGCTTCTTTGTTCTTGCACATCTCTACTCTTCCCTCGAATGCCCCAGATACCCCAGTTCGTCTTGACCATCACCCTTGGATCAAAATCGGCCACTTCCCATTTCTCACTTCCGAAGGTATTCGAGCCAGGTGTGATGATCCATTCGAATTCTCCGGCGACTTCTGGAGCAGTTGAAAGGGATCGAACATCCCTCTCAACGTCAGTGGGTGAAAATCCTGTGACGAAGATGGAGCATTTGCTGGCGAGAAGCATAGGAAGGACAGGACCCCATTCCGTAGGTGAGGCTATCTGAAGGAGAGGTTCGCCGTTCTCCGCAAATGATTCCGGAGAGGGGAAACCGAAGCCGGGAGAGAAGAAGAAAAAGAAATCGCTGTAGGGATCTAGGGTATGCTGGAACTGCGCGTGCACGTCGGCATAATTAGCCTGCATCCCTGTGATGGTCAATTGAGGGGTGTATGGGACGGTGTATGATGGCACTCCGTATCGCTCGATTGCCGATCGAGTACGTTTTAAGCGCTCAATGGGTTTTGGGGTCGGGGGTTGGTAGACGTTGGGGAGGTAGGCAGGTTCTTCTTTCTTCTCGATGGCCTCGGATGGTTCTTCTAGCTGGGGCTGCTCCTTCGGTTTCTCCGTAGCAGCTTGCGGGGTTTTCGGGGGCTTCGGGAGGGATACTTGAGGGCCAATGAAGAAGATATGGAAATGTGTTGAAGGGAAGACCATGCAGAGTTGCTCCCAAACATGAGGGGGTAATGATGATTCAGCTCGTGCGCCTAGAATAAACATCCGGACTTGAGGCTTGCCTACAGACGCTTCCTCTGTCTCAGGTGCACCTATAGGGACGTGGAGGGTACTTCGTAAAGCTGGGCAAATAAATTTAGTTAATGCGATTGGAAAAGGTTTGAAGGGTAGTCCACGCGTGCCTACCTGCAAGCGACCGGCTACCCTCCGGCGTCAGGCGTTGATTATTCAAAGTTAATCCGCTGTGTTGGTGCACCGTCCCTGCAATTGTAATTGGATATGTCAAGAGTTTACTTGCGTGCCGGCGCGAGCGTTCGGTGTCCATTGAGGCGAACCCTCGTGTATACCAAAATACGTCCCAATTGGCGAAGGATATAGCCTCTTCATAGCCCTGAGGACCTGGATGGCTCTAGCTTTAACCCCAACGCCGTAGGTGTAAGGCAGGGCGAAGGCACTCACCAGGTAGTTCGAACTCTCGCATTCGCCGGCCACTCCGGAGATCATGCTCATCTTCATTGGCCTCGCGAAGCCTCGCGCAATACTTCTGATGCTCCTCATCCTCCTTCCAGTGTTCCTCCGAGCAATGTGACGGCCAACCGCAATCCGGACATTCGAACTTCACGGCCTTTGGCTGAGCTTTGGTGTGTGCGTGGATATGATTGTGTGACGAGGCGCAGACGGGACATGGTGCGAGCTGCTGGATAGCTTCACTCCGGGCACGCACGGCGGGGAATGGGGATTTCGAGAAGGGGTGGAAGAGATTGTCCTCGGTCAAAATAGGAACTGGCTCCTGGTGCTTGGCCGGCTTTGAGCGCCTCAGGAAATTAAATAGAGGCCTTGAGAGCGGTGGGGCCGACCTCCTGAGACCGACATGGGAGGCGCGGAGAGCGGGGAGAAGCCTGCTGGAGGACGGAAGAGGGACGCGCATGAGATCGGCCGGGACGAAAAGTTGCGAAATCGAGAGCGCGTGTTGTTGGCCCTTGTTGTCCGGCGCCTTCCACCTCCTCCACCATGTCCTCCAGGCAAGCTTCTGTCTCCCGCAAGACAAGCGAAACAGAGATTGAGGTCTTCATCGACCTTGACTGTACCCCAGGCTCAAATGTAAAGCAAAAAATTGAAGTCTCGACCGGCATCGGTTTCCTCGACCATGTGCACCCAATCCCGTTCGCGCCAAATGTAATCTAATCTCGCCTCGACAGATGTATACCGCCCTCGCCAAACATGGCGGCATGTCCTTGACTATGAAATGCAAAGGGGATCTATGGATTGACGACCATCACACTGCAGATATGTACTCATTGGATCGTGTACTATCGTCCCGCCTGACAACCGATGCACAAGACAGTGCTATCGCGCTCGGTGCCGCGTTTAAACAAGCCCTGGGTGAAGTCCGTGGTATTCGACGATACGGGACAGGATTTGCTCCTCTTGACGAGGTATTCTTTCTGTTCCATCTGTGTTGTACATTGACGACTCCTGTCCAAGGCGCTTTCGCGAGCAGTCATCGACATCTGCTCGCGTCCATACTGTGTAACAGAACTCGGCCTCAAGCGAGAGAAAATTGGAGATCTATCTACGGAGATGATTCCTCACATTTTCTACTCCTTTGCGATAGCTTCAGGAGTGACACTACACGTAGATGTGCTAAGGGGTGAGAATGACCACCACCGGTGAGTGCAGGTGCAATGTCTCGGCGCTAATATCCTGAATCACTTGAGTGCAGAGCCGAATCTGCCTTCAAAGCACTAGCGCTCGCAATCCGGCAAGCTATCGAAAAGACGGGCAGTAACGACGTTCCAAGTACAAAAGGAGTCCTATAACTTATTCAAAACAATATTCTACCCAAATATAGTTCATGATCTACCCCCAGAATATGCACCTTTCCTCCATCGGAGGGTTCAACTATGTGGAAGATCAGCGAACCTCTACCATTGCATCAGCACTTCTGACTTGCCTTTGCTTTCTTGGAGCACTTGAACGCCTTCGCAAACTCAGGGATGTTGCTGACTGTCCCATCTACCCGATACCGACTCGGCGAATGAGGATCTGTGCGGATGCGCTGGACCTGGATACCGAGATTAGCCAAGAGCTATAATCGGCCGTATGAGACCTACTGCTGCAGCTGGCTTCATGGCGCGAGCCCATATCCTCGCGAAGGAGATGAAAAACAATTGGTCCCTACGCCCAGCGTCAATTCACTTAGGCCAGGTGGGATACAAAGCAAATAGTACCTCGTGAATTTCAAACCAGGGAGAAGGTACTCAGTTCCAGCCTTCTCTGAGACATGATACTGTGTTTTCCATGCCCGATATGCTTGGATGAGGCCCGTATCGCCAATGTTTTCTCCAGATGTCAAATTTCCCTACAGTAAAAGGCTGTTTCGATACCTGATTGATGAAAACTCAAGAAATGGAACCTACGTTGACATGAATCTTGCCGCCTTTACCATCGTCAATGGTATACGCTGAGAAACCGCATGAGTCATGAACGGACTAGGCCAAGGTTAGAACTAGAAACCAGGTAACACACCGGAATACTGTTTGATAATGCAATCCTGCTTGACCTGGAACCCGTTGCTAGTGTAGTTTGTCCACCATTGGACAAGCTTGCCCTCTTGATTGTAGAGCCTGCCGGCGGAATCGAAAGCATGCTTGACAAAAATAAGATGGTTGATCGGTGAATAAGTGATGCGGATACTTACCGTAAGTTCGTGAGATGCAACTTGTCCAAACGCTCCATAAGCCAGGTAGTTGGGCCTGACAATTTATCAGTGGCGTTGAAGGAAGCAAGGAGAGGGACCTTCGTACCATTCTTTGGCAAAGAACGGTGGCTGCAGAATACCGGCGGGAAAAACGATCTTAACAAACAAGTGTCAGATAGATTATGTTTTAACTAGATGCGGAATGGAGCGAACCTCGTTCGAAGGCGGGTTGAAATAAGCATTAACCATCGACGGATACATCTCCCAACTGTTGAGATCTCGGCGCCGACCGAGCTGGAGCCATTTCTTAAATTCGTCGCTTGTCCTGGAATCGTCGCCGAGTAAGAAATCCGAACTTTACGAGGGCGACAAGAAAGACCAACGCTGAGCTCAATATGTTACCAAAGAAGTCGTTCTTGTCAACCTTGACAGCGCCGTAGTACCGCGCAATCGAACGAGGGTCTCGGGTGTCAGGCGAGATGGGATATCCGACCTTCACGCGAATGGCGTCGGCCTAGATCGCAGTTAGTCTACGACACAGAAAAGAAGAAAGCCTCGAAAACGTGCTTTCTCGGCTGCAGCCTTCGCGGACTTCTTGTCCATCCAATCAATATCTTTGAGAGATTCTTTGAAGGCCTCGACAATGTCTACATGAGAAGTGATGAATACGAAATAGGACTATGGAAGCAACAAACAAACGTACCTGTAATGACTTTGGTGCCCTTTACCTTCGAATCCCCTCCAAAGGTCTCATTGACGAAATATCGGCCAGCAGCAAACCCGAGCGTATTCTCCACTTGATTGACACAATACTCCGCCCTATCGCCAACAGCACCTTTCTTGATACCCGTCAGGGTCTCCAAAAGTGTGCGATGAGCCTGCCATGCCTCTGTACCCATCCCAAGATACGGAGACAGGTTTAGAGCAGCGCGAACGACGAGGTACGCCTCGATGACATTAGAGTCGGTCTCATTGAGAATCTTCGACAGAGACGCAGCGTACTGCGGGTAGGTCATGACGATACGATCAGGGAATGAGCGAGGTGTGAACGTGGAGAAATAAGTTGGGAAGTGGATTTCTGGAAGAACATCAACGAGGTTAGAGAGAGGTACTGGGTTGTAGGTCGCAATGGGGTCCTGGTACAGGATGTCTCTGTGGGCTGTGTTGATGGACTGTTTCACTACGGGATAAAACAACCGCGCTTACAGGTCAAGGCTTGCTTTCGCCAACTTGCGCTCGAATTTGACAACTTTCTTCGCCAGTTTCTTCGCCTCCTCTGTACGGTTTATCGGCGTGGTAGGTTTGTCGTCGTCGCCATCACCTCCCCAAGGCGGCCAGGGCCATGGAGGCCACACGTTGGGGTCCTCGTTATCGACGAATTCTGGGGCAGAGATGGTTCGCTTTCGTGATTCTGCTTCGTCTTCATCGGCAAGGACGATGAGCAACCTCTCGACCACTCGCTTGTAGACATTACGAGTGGATTTCTCTTCATAATATTCCTAAAGCCAGATTAGTGCCTGTAGCAAGGTTCTCCTTATATAGAATCCCACCTTGGACGGCAGACCCAGTTCTGGCTGACTGAACCATAAAATCATGTGGTTAGGGTCGACGCCGACATCACCTTCGACTTCAAATGCGAACAACGCCCCAATCCCTAAGATACAAGTTAGAATGAAGCATACGTGAGATAGTTAAAGGCAACTCACTTCTAGAATGCAAAAATGCGACCGCGGCCGTCAATCCCTGAACCTTTTTGTCTATCCCATAAGTTGACTGTCCAGTAATGTCTGTATCGTTGCCACTATACAACTTCCTCACGGTGCGCACGAGGTGAAATAGAGGCGTGGTTCCAATCTCGTTCAAGCGCCTTTCATCCAAGCAAGACGTGTAGAAGTCGCGCAACTTGGTCAGAATTTGATCATCGACAGACCCAACTGAGTAGTTCGATTCCAATATCCTCTGGATGACCTGCTGATTCTGCTGAGAGAGGAACTCGAAGTTGCCGAAGCTGCTCTTGTCGGCGGGTAAAGGGTGAGCCCTGAGCCACCCACCATCTGGACAACATGAGAAAAGAACGCGGCGAGACAAGTGGATACGCACTGGCGAAATTGTAGAAGTTCTCGCAAGGGTCTTGGGATGGGTCCAAAGAAGACAGGATCGAAGCGGAGAGGACAATACAGTGGGATTCGAGACATGGCTTCTGTCTGCATATTGGCAAAGGATAGACATATATTCACTGTGGACGCACCTCTTCAGGAAGAGTAGTTGGAACTGGAATAGGCGGTGGTACGAGAGTAGTGGTCGAGATAGCAGTCGAGGTGGTGATAGAAACGGAATTAGACGTTGTGGTCGCTGTCGCTGTCGCTGTAATCGTTACTGTCGTTGTATGCTTTCCCTCCTCCCGCTCCAAGCTCAACCTGTGTTGGGCACCCGCAAATAGACCAATGAATATCTAAGAAGTATTTCAAATGAAGTTAAGATCGCCAGAAGCTCCTTTAGCGAGGATTTGACAGACCGAACTCGTGAGAAGGAGAACAAGGCCGAGCACGAGCAAGATCTTGGTCAGGGGAGTGAGAGGCTCCTGTGCGATGGAGTTGACGCGTTCGCCGAAGCTAGGGTGTGAGGTTCCATTGGGTATATCGTCGTATTCGCTACTTCGTAGTAGCGGGGCGTGCTCTGCATGCATGCAGGATGAACAGTAATCCAGAGCTTCGAGAGTTCGCACCAACCTTCGTCCGTGGAAGGTCTTGCTTCCCTGTCCGTCATGATGACGGCTAGAGCAGTGGTTGTGGACAGTCAGTTGGCAAGTGTCGATATACCGCCCTGTCTTGCCTCGAGGAGATGGTGTGGGATGTGGGAGGCTAGACGTTGAGACGTGCGGAACGACGTAGATGCCGAAATGAGAGCTTCACTGTAAACGCGTGTGGTCACCTGCTTGACGTCATTCGAGGGCTCTTTGATCTGACTGCTGCTCAAAATATTCTACTTTGTGCTCTAGGGTATGCATCTAATAGGTATATGTACAAGGCGGATACTACTTTACTGCAATCTGGAGCTTTCCTTCACAATATTTCTGGAAACCAAGCACCCCGCCAAACCTATGGATGCCATGACCAAAACCCAAAGGTATCCCCAAAGCAAGTTTTTCTCAGCCGAAAGTGCAAACATGGAGCTGAAAGAAGTGGGATCGAAGTCAGTCACGAGCCGCATGTGATGAGAGAACTCTACCTCGCAAATGCTGGGCCGATTGCACGAGAAAGACAGATGCAGAACTGGACCAGACCAGCTGTTGAACCAAGTGAGGCAGAATTCGGCGCATATTGCTTGATGAGAAGCATGTTGACTCTGAACAAGGAGATGGGTAAGCAATAATAATAAGCCGTTTCAGGTGCAGCTCACGAATAAGACAAAAAAGCCACCCTTGCAAACGCCAAGATGAGCACAATTCCCGTCCATAAAAGTGCGATAGTAGATGTTAATAGTTGTCCATTCCCTGCGTCCACACCATGACGGGCGATGATGTTCAGGAAAGGTAAGGCCACGAAGAGGTAGGGCCAGATCTTCATCGAGAAGTGGTACATCACTGCATGGTTCACGCGACGAAGAATGGTTGGCATGATGAAAGCTTGGAGCAAGGCTGCCAAAAATCCCGATGCTGAGAGCGCGAATCCGATTTCAGAAGTCTGGAGGTAACATACATGAGCAAGCAGTGGGGTCAATGGCTCATGGGGCGAGCTTACGTCGAACGCCAAGCCTCCTGAGCGTATGGGCGAGTAGCAGAAAAGGACGAACAGAACATCAAAGGCAGAAGAGAGGAAGCTCAACGCACAACCAGATGCACAGAGCGCGCGGATTATCGGGATATTTAATAGCTCCCTGACGCTAAAATTCTCGTCCTGTGGTGCGGAATCCCATGAATTTGGGTCTGTGGATCCGTAGGAAGGAGGCGAAGCCTTCTGGGGATCGCGTTTGTCAACTTGGCGTGTCTGTAGTCAAACTGATAAGCTCATGCCGTTGAAAGGCGACGGAAGGTGATCTAACTTCATTTAGCCAAAACCAGGCAACGAAAAATGAGAGAGCTGAGAAGCCTGCGACCAGGAGACAAGGCAAAAAATACGGATATTCTCTGAGAAATGGGTAGTCGAAATATCGGGGATACCGCGTCGCAGGTTTAGAGAACAATCCCCCAAGAAGAGGTCTAGAAAACGACATTAATAATTTGACGAGGCGTTGCCAGGCAACATCTACCCAACAATCGCACCGACAGGCCACCAAAACCCAAAAAATGGAAAAGCGAGTGCTTGATTAGTCTTGTCTGTGATTTCGATTAACATTGACGGGATGACTGCAACGTTGCCCGAGAATAATCCAGCTGACAAGCAACACGTTAACGACTCGTCGGAAGACGTGCATCTTATTGACGTACCAAGTGCACGCGTTATCATGACAGTGGTGAAGTCGGTCGATAGTCCAAACAGTATAGTGGTGAGAGTCAGACCCGCAACGCCGACCAAGACCATTGGTCGACGGCCAAAACGATCTAATGAAATCAAGTTCAGGAAAGACATCTAGAAGTCGAGAACATTAGAACATACCAGAGAGATAACCCCAGGGATAGATCGTTATTAATTGCGACAGAGCGAAAGAACTCTCCTGCAAAGAAGATCGTGATATAGCTCGAGACATTCATTCACTCGTGAGCTTACCACTAAACCACTATAAAATCCTATCTGGGAAGGATCTTTCGCGACGTGAAGATCGCTTACGAGCTCGTTGATATAAGGGAAGATCTGCGTAAAGCACATGGGATCCAAAATGCGCAAGAGGCATAATATGCCCAGCTGGACTTTGGGTAGTGGCGTCTCTTTTAGGAAACGTGTTGAATCTCCATGGTTCGCCGCCGAATCGCACTCATCGTGATCCATAAGGGGAGTCCTTTCTGACGTGGGCGTATCAGGCATCACGAGGTGGGAGGGTGGTGAATGTAGAGTAGAAGAGTGGGCCGTTTTCGCCTATCTGAACGAGTGTAGAAAGCAGAAATGCGACACATCAGCTTCTCGGCTGTGCTAAAAATTCCCCTAATTGTATTCAACTCCATGCAGCAATGGTACACACAAATTTTACGTGAACGCATTGCAATCTGAGAAGAAGACATGAAACAGCATCTTCAGAAAGGACAGTTAGTAGCAATTGAGAAATATGTCAGATCCCGATGAACGTACCCTATCGCCTAGAATTTCAAAGAGGAGAGAGATGGGAAGGGTCCAAATCATTCCATTGAAAACGTGGGTAAAGTTCGGTCCGATGATGACCAACATCCGAGTGACGCAACCGATCAGGCAGCTTCGGGGTTCTCATCTGTCCTCGATGTGTTTAAGTCGCCAACACATGGGCCACGACCTTCCCCTTTCATATTCATGACTTTCCAATACTTGCACCCTTTCCCATCGTTCTGTGCACCCGCGTAGCAAGACCACCAGTATCGATCGGTCTCTTCTTCGTTCCGATTCTTCATATCAGGTCGAAGAGCCATAGGTACCCCGCATTTACAGCGAGGAATGCTTTTTGGACGAAAATCTGGGCGATAGAACCGGAATGTGATATTGATTCGACAATTTGAGGGTTCGGCCGTGCCGTTGGGTGTCCTGGGGAACGTGGGCCTGAAGAGATCGATAGCATTTTGAGGAGGTATCGAATGTTTGAATCTCTCTTGACACGACGCGTGCATGATCGTCAGCTGCGCGCGATTATGATCGTGGGTCAGATTAATAGTTGAGAATTGGATATATTGTGCTCAGGATTTGACAATGGCAATGTGGAAATGAAATTTGACCACGTACAGAGTTGTGTGGAAGGGGGATGTTAAATGTCTGAGCCTTCCTCATCCCCGTCTGGTCAGTTGGGACAACCTCGCGGAGGCTGAAGTTTCGTCGTGTCCCTTTCAAGCGATCAGAAGCTCGATGCAATCTCAGGAAGTAAATCGACCTACCAAGGCTCAGAGACGCGATGGTAGGGTAGGGCCCGAGATAAGTGAGCTGGTCAGAGTGAAATCCCACACTCTCCTTGCCGCCTTGATAACAATTCGAAGCAGCGACATTGGCTCTCCAGAGAGGATCGCCATCTGGGGTTCCGCCCCACTCGCGCTTGTATCGTTTGCGCTTCCGCATCTCATCGTTTAAGACACTTTCAATGATCTTGCATGCCTCCTCCATCTCAAGAGGAAATGGGGCCGGAGCGCCGTTTGGGCGTCCATTATACCTTTGAAACATAATCAGAGGTAATTCGTACATAAGTGTCCATCTCCGGATGTCCTGACCCGAGTGGAAAGTATGATAAAGCCAAGTGCAAAAGAACTCACCAGAACTGTGCAGCCTCATGCCACGACTCATCGTTGTCTAATCCATCGGTCCGACGCGTAAAAAAGGACGTCAGATGAGGACTTTCGACCACCCGATCGAAAAGCCACCAGGTGTTCCTCTTCCACTCTCTCGACGCGTCTTTCATGGTGTAGAAGAGCCGACACGCGAGGTCGGGTGGAAGTACCGATAGATGCAGCGTACAGGGCGTGTGCTGGGCCACTAATTCCGGGGTAGACAGCGTCATGGGGGGGAAACGAGGGGGATCTTTACGTGGAGAAGGGGGTGGGCGTAAAATCGCCATCAAGTCAGTCGGTTTCGAACTTGAACTCGAAGGTGGCTTCTTGTGCTTTGAAGGAGAGATATCGACGGGTTCTGGAGTAACATGTGCTGAAGAAGAAGAGGTTTGCGATTCGGGTTTTTTTGCCTTCTTTGAAGGAGGCTTTAGCCATGTCTCGAGATCGACGCCTTTGCGTTTCTTGGAAGATCCAACGTCAGACTGGAGATATCGGGCGGCGGATTCGACATCTCCGTTGGATTGTACGAGTGCATCGATTATAGTATCATTGGTGTGGGGCTCAGGGAGGAGACTGGAGACGAGGGCAATGAGGGTGTCTGTGTCGTCCATGGTGGATGTTGTTAAGTCAGATAAAGCGGCCCAGAGGGTTCCAGTCGCGTCTCCGGCCCGGCTGATCCGATAGCGTAACCCGACGAAAGTTGGACTCACGCGTGTACCGTCTTTCGTCCGCGATGTCACCGTCGGTGTGCGGCCAAGCCACCAAGGTCCAACTCTCAACTGTACCCGCACCTGAACGATCTCACACCCGCTCATCTCGCAAACTGGTCCCAGGAATTCTCATCGTCGCCGGGCTGACCTGGATCTTCGCTATTCGATATGGTCAATCGCAAGTTTTTGACGTTTCCTTGCCTCTCGATAGCCCGCATTACCAAAGGCTAAAGTATCACTGCGCTGACGTACCACCGATATCTAAAGACGAGTACCTGACGCGTCAAACGGACCTCGCCGAGCTCCTGCACACTCTCGGAGGGAAGGCATACATCGCCGAACCAGGCGCTAACACTCAATTCTATGCCAATTTCTCCAACACCAACTGGCGTCTTTCCGAGAGACCTCTCTTGCTCCTGATATCCCCAACCGTGTCTAAGTCCCCCGCTGGAGAAACAAGGGTCCAACCCCAGATGACGATCCTCACCCCCAAGGTGGGTATCGGGCTCGATTCAAGTTTGTTTCTGTTGCTTTCCAGCACTTTGGCGCGTGAGGAACCGCAAGGCCCGACGGTGTTTAATCGACAATGATGTTGACGCCCGCTGATATTGTCATTTGTGCCCTGTAGTTCGAGGCAACGCGGGCCAAGAAGCTTCCCATACCCACCGTCGACGGGCTGCCGGTAAAGTACGCTAAATGGGCGGAGGAGGAGAACCCTTATTCCGTGGCGCTGTCCCCCTACGGATGCTCGGCATCGGCACCGTCGCATGCTCGAGATCCCGAAGGAGGGATAATTTTCGTGGACGATAATGTCCGCAAGTTCATCGACGACGGACTGAAGCATGCCCGACCGGACACGATTCAAGTTCTGACTGCCGTGCCAGCTATCACAGCAATGCGAGAGCGCAAGTCCGCGGCTGAAATCAAGATTCTCAAATGTGCCAATGAGGTGAGTCGGTCCCTGCCATTCCTTTTTTTTTGTGTCTTTTCTCGTGATGCTCTACCTTCAATTAAAACATCTCACATCCTCTCCCGAGCGTTCGGTCTTTCCCTCTCAATTTAACGTAGCATGGAACTAGAAGCTTTGTGTCGCTTTTGACACCCAAACGAGAAAAAAAACACGACGGTTGTCTATTGACACTGAACGTCAATGTTGGCAGATGGCGTTCATCATTGCGACGCATACTCATGCTCACAACAAAACTCAGTCTCCCAAACCTTTGGGCCCGACGCAATCGTGCCTAAGAATACATGGCTAGTTCCAGCCATTCTGTTGGGCATTGGTCGCACATGGTCGCGCTTTTTTTATCTTCCCGCTGTCGCCCGTCAGCTTGAGCGGTGAAGCGGCAGTTGGCTTGAAGCCTACCTCATGAATCAATACCTAGAAATGTCATACGCGCCGCGCCAGTGTTCCCGAGCCACTGCGACATTCGTGCTCCGATTCTGGGGTTGCATCTATCCGTGTTTATGCTTTTCCTATTCCCAATCCTTGTCGTGTTTCTCCCGCCCCATGCGTCTCTTTGTCCTTTCCAGAAACCCCAACCCCAACTAAACCTACATAGTCTGAGCTGGAATTTTCCTGGCTGATCCCGGATACACCCACTCATCCTTGCTCTCTATCGACGTATCACAGCCTATACTACTATTAGACTTGCCCAAAAGTTCGAACTCGACTGACTGACGTCTCTTACCCCTCCAGGCCACCCTCCTCGCCGTCCGGGAGGTGCACAAGCAGCTGTACCCCGGGATTCGCGAATCCCAAGCCCGGAGCGCGGTAGCCTCCATCCTCGGCGCCGCTGGGCTCATGAACGGCGGATGCTTGACGTTGTTCGGAGGTGAGTAAGCTAGCTACCATGCGCGGATCCCTTTTCTCTCCTCTCTTACGGCGAAAATGGACGTTTTACTTTTTCTTGTTATGTGTCTTCGGTCTTCGGTATTTTGTCTTTCATCCCGGAGAAGTTGGCGTCCTCCGGGAGCGCACTGTCATTGTCATTGCTCGAGATGGGCGATGAGGCAGACAGTGTTAATGTTTCATGTTCGACGTCAATGCGGCGTCGAGCATCTCAGTCTAATCACTTAATACGCTCTTTTTTGCCACTTACTATTTACGAGTTTCGAGGTTCGACCTTGCCTTCTTGGATTATCCTTGCACCCTGGCTTGTCGGTGCCAGGGTACCGGGTAGCAGCCAGCCCTCGAGGGTCTTCTTGGCTTGTTACCTTCCAAGATTTCAGCTAAACCCTTCCTTCCTCTCTTCCTGTCATTCGTCTTCCTTTGTCGATACCTCTTCACGCATCACCCCATTGTTCTTAGCGCTTACACTCACACTTGCACCCTTACACCAATACCAAGACTAACACCTGTACCCCCTCCTTCATACAGAAAACGCAGCCCTACCTCATGGGAGCGGTACGGACCGCACGCTGGCCGAGTCGGACTTTGCGCTGTTCGATTGCACGGCCTCGCTGCACGGATACTGGAGCGATGTTACCCGCGTGAGTTCATCGTTCTTTATGTTTCAGTTATCTTTCTTTTTTGGCTTGAGGTTGGATTTGGATGGGAGTCTTTGGGAGCTCATTCTCTTTCTTCAAACTGAAGTATTCTTCTGCCGGTTTCAGAGCATTTGGATTGGGCTTTTGAGGATTATGATCCGTATTCTTGCTTGTGCTCGTGCGTTTGCTTGAACAGAGCCTTGATATCTTGCTCTTTTGTCATGATCAAGTTCCAGCCAGGTGCAGGCAGATGTTTCGTCTTCACTCTCAATTAATCGCAACTCGGAGCTCGATCCGACTCTTCATCCCCCCCCTGCTGATCCTCGGGTGAGAAGTGTACACTCTGCTCTATTATTTTCAGGGACCCTGTGGACTCATGGACTCGCGTACTGTACATGAAGTTGCCGAGGCGCCCACAAGTTGCATCCCACTGGCGATCATGATCCTGCACAAGCATCACCATGTACTTCCTTCACCTCCGTTTTCTCTTAGTGCTGTTCAATTTGTCTGCAACCCCTCTTGAAGAGCCTCTTGGCTGCCTTTTCCACTTTCCGTTCCCATCGTCGCTTCGCCCCCTTCTCGTTCCTTTTTCCGGATCTTTCAAAATGAACTAATTTGCACATTTACTGAGACCTCCTGCGCATCGCACTCCAGACGGTATCCCTAGGGCCCTCGCACCTCTCGGCCCACCAGCGAGAGATCTGGGAGCAAGTATATGCCGCGCAGGGCGTTGCGCTTTCCGTGGCCCGGAACGGGACGCGGACGGGGCTTGTGGATGAGTCGGTTAGGAAAATGTTGCTGGGTGTGGGATACGGGCAGTATTTCACGCATCGGCTTGGGCATGGTGAGTTTCTACTTTTTCCGGTATCGTTGAGCTCTTTTCGAGATTCGAATGATAATGCTCGGATATTGAATGTTGCCACAGGAATTGGGCTAGAGGTCCACGAACACCCATACTTGCGCGGTGGGAACAACCAAATTATCGAGATCGGGCATACATTCTCAAATGAACCTGGGATTTACATCGAAGGCGAGGTATGTCATGTTACGGTTATGTTGCACTTGCACTTGCTTCCTTCCTTCCACCCTATAAGGGGAAGCAATTTGTCTCCATGTGCATTGTCATTTGGCGTTTTGGGAGTCGCGGCAAGCAAGGGATAATTACTGACAGTGATGAGGACCTGCAGGTTGGCGTGCGGCTGGAAGACTGCTTCTACATCGCGGCAGATGGCAAGGCGGTGCTCCTGACCGAGGGCGTGGGTGGGCAAGCAAGGGCACCCTGGCTACCTTAGCCGAGTGAGGCCTGAGGCGGTTGAGATTGAGACAACAGGTTTAATAAACTTTAGAATGGGAAGAAGTGGCTACAGATGCAATTTACGGGGAAGATGAAAGAGTTGTACAGCTTTACAGGAATTTGGGATCTGGATATTGATGATATGTATACTAGATACGCGGAACGGTACTTGAGAAAACAGAGCGAGGACGAGGATATCCTGAGTGGATGAAGGTGAAAAGAGAATTGGATATAGGCTTATAATAGGTCGGGTGGTGATCCGTTACAATAGCTTGGTATAGATAAGGTAGGGCTTGAACTTGAAACGAAGGTGGGCTATCTTTATCGTTCGTGGGTAGGCGTGGGTGGGTCATATGGTGTCGAGGAATTCGGTCGGCGACGGTGCGGGGAGTGGAACGGCTGCGGGGCTGAGGGGGGAGGGCGACGGGACTGGGGAGTGGGTGTCGTGGTTGCGCTGGAAGGGGTTGCGGGTGTGCATACGGGAGATGGGGGAGGCTGGGGGATGAGTAAGCGTGTGACACGACGTGGGAGAGCGATAGGGAGGGACGCACAGAGGAGGGAGGAGGAGAACCAGCGGACATCGAGCTCCTGCTGGGGCTGTCTGGGCTCGGTGTGCTCGTCGGGGGTGGGCAGGTGGTCGTCGCGGGGGTCGAGATCAGCACGGTCGGCCGGCGCAGGGCCGTCGATGCGCTGGAGGGGCCGGAAGGCAAGGGGCCGCTCGGGGAGGAAGGCCGGGAAGGCGGCGGGGCGGGGCTTCCGGGCGAAGGTGGGGCGGAGGATGGAGAGGAACTCGTCGAGGGCCTCGGAGGGCAGCGCGGAGCTCGGGGGGCGGGAATAGGAGGGTGAGCGGGACAGCGAGCGGGGCTGCTCGGCGCTCGCCGGGGACGGGCTCTCCCGGATATCCGCGAAGAAGGAGACCTTGAGGTCTTCTGTGTCCTGTCTGCGCGAGAAGAAGGCAGAGGCGAGGCGCACAGGGCGGGGCGCAACAACGATCGGGCTTTCGTTCGACATGGCGAGAGGCAAAACAGGCTGCCACAATCGGCCCGACAACTTCGGCCTTATCCCCGATATCTTCTCACAGTCAATCTCCTCGTCGTCTGCAACGATGAGAGTCATCACATTGGATCGTTACTGTCCTTGACTTGTCAACTATCAGATGCAACAACCGTCAAGACCATTTACAAACGGCTTTGCCTTTGTTCTTCCAATCAGCACACAAGTGTGTTGGAGATAACGACGACTCGCACGTCTTTCGTATCCTCGAGTTTCATTGGTCCTACCGGTCGTCACGACTCGCATCTCCCATTGGCTCCCCTTCACGTCAGATCGCCTCCAGATTTTTCCGCCACCGAGAAGCTTGTTTGTTCTCTCTTTCACGACATATCATTCGCTGTCATGACGGACCAATCGCTTATCTCGTGTCACCGCATCTCCGTGAACCCCAGCCAATGATGACCACCTTGGTGTCCTTGTCATAATTCACTGTCAAGTGCAAGCCAGGGCTGCCGCAGGACGTCATTTATTCAGATATCATATCACGGCCCGAATCAGAAGAAAACGCAAGGGAAACAAATGCGTAGTAATTTTTTTCATATCTTTGAATCCGCCGTTCCATTACCAAATCATCCTTCGACGAGAAGAAAAATCCCCGACATAAACGAGCTGCCATATATGATGTGGAATCTGGATAACCTCCGGGACCTGCAGGCTCTCGTCGGTTATGTCGCGCCATGCCAATGATCCGTCACCGCCATTGGTCAAGTCCGACGACGCCACATCCACATTTGGTTTGCGCAACCCAAACACAGCCCACAGCCCACGGTACACGACGGTGGACGGCGACGTTTTTGCCGAGTTCAAGGTAACGAAATCTCTCCGACGTCCGCCGTTCAAATATTCTTTCCCTCAGAGGTCAGCAATCAGGACCAGTCGATCCAGTCTCTCAATTATTTACCATTTAGCGCCAGACGCCCACCTCCACATGCCATTTATCGTAAAGCGCTCCAGAAGCCGCGTCAAAACCCTTATTCAAGCCTCCCTGACCGAGGGCGCAGGTGCGAGGGAGTCAAGCCATTTCGGTAGGTTGGCGGGGGATCCAATCGGACCGATGGGTAGGTAGCCTTCCCGGCTGTAGACTATGTCTTTCTTGTTTAAATTGCCTTGAATGGACAGCGGCGGGGCGGACAGAGTTTCCGACAAGAGGGAATCTCCCGCCTCTTCTGTGCGATCTCGAGTCCTGGGATCGCGCCTTTGCATCCGGTATTTCCCTCACCCTTCCGCCGCTGCATGCATTAATTTAAATAACTGTCCAGTCTAAGGGCATAGCCTACGGCAATGTCTATTTGCGCTTTTGGTGCGGTATCGACCGGTGAAAGGTCGAACAAAGTATACGCCGTCCGTCTGAATCATCTGACGCATCGGGACTCGGGATAGCCGCGACAGCCTGCTCAGGTTTCTCACTTCATGGCAAGGTTGTGTCAATCGCGACTTGGCAAGAGTATATGTATGCGCGCTCGCGATTCCACGCGGCTACGTCGTCGATGTCTGCGCATCATCGTGGGCGTGAGGTGATAAATTAAACAGAGATTCAAAGACAAGACGATGAACCTATTAGCGAACGGAGGTTCCTGCGATGGGCCATTGATATGTCCCATTGACTGCCCTTTTTTTTCTTCCTCTTCTCCAGGATCTCCGGGCTCTGTAATTACGGCATCGTGCTTCATGACGCGCCCAGAGGCCAGCGCATATGAGCGCTGCTCTGTCAACGAAGAAAAAATAAACTACAGGCGCAGTAAGCGCCTCTCCATTCTCATGTATACAAGTTTGAACGATTGATCTATTGCGCCGATTGGTTGGCGTCTAATCTCACACACATGAGTCCCGCCGACCTCTGCAAGACAAAAGTGACAGAAACTGATCAAAACCATAAGTTTTTATTTATGCGCAGCTCGTCGGAGGCAAGAGGAAACCCGACAAGACCCAGGTATACGGGGGGATAGGATTCGAACCTTGATCCTGTGGCGTCTAACCACCGGCGTCCATCCAACAATGCTTGATGTTATCATCCTTCAAGTTACACTTTGCTGGTACAAGGCCATCTTTCTCTGTGGGTGTGGATTCAAAGCAATCAAATTGTATAATAAAATAAATCGAAATGAATAAAATCATGGGTTATTTCTTGTGATCGTAAAGCAGCTTTCCATCGTCCGCGTCCATCATCAGCGTGCGCAGTAAGCATTGAAATGCACTGATTTCTGCCTTCATTCTATTCTACAACCTCGATGGTTCGCCAAGGGCGTAGAGGGCGTCAATCTCTGCCTTGTAGAGGCTGTAGGCGTCCTTGCGGCGGATCTTCATGGTGGGTGTGAGGGTGTTGTTGTCGATGGAGAAGGGGACTAGGCTAAGGTAGACGCGCTTGACCGTCTCGAATCTATAATGGCACAGAAAACATCAGCACTGCAGACAAAACGAGGATAGCGAAGGTAAAAAAAAAACACACCCTTTCAGGCCATTCTGCTGGGCGACCTTCGTGATCACGCCCATGACATGGTTCACAACCCGCTCATCCTTGCAGGCAGCTGCGAGCGCAGGGGTGTCCTCGGGCGAGATCTTCTTACCCAGCAGCGGTGACGCGATGGCGGCGAGCTGGATGGGGTCCGGCACGATGACGGCGACGATGTACGATTGAAGTCCATCACCGTGCACAAAGATCTGTGCAATGAGTGGCGTGCTGCTGTATAGGTTCTCGATCTTCTCGAGGGCGACGTATTCACCCTGGGCCAGCTTCATGATGTTCTGGGAAATATTAAGGGAACAGTGAGCTTCTAAAGAATGGAAGGCGGGGAAGAAAACACACTTTGACACGGTCGATGATCTTGAAGCGGCCGACAGAGTCTACCTCCCCAACATCTCCGGTGTGGAACCAGCCCTCCTCGTCAACGGCCTCCTTCGTGTTCTTCTCGTCTAGATAAAAATAAGAAAACAGTCCAAATGGCATATCTGGAACAAAACCTACCTTTATAGTACGTCGTGAAGCAGTTAACTCCGCGAACACAAAGTTCTCCACGAGGATTAGGCTTGTCCTCTGACGTGTAACCCATAGCAGGCACGTCCACGAGCTTAATCTCGTTGACGGGCTGAGCCGGTCCAACAGTACCACTGGCGGTGCTATCCAGGGGCCATGACTTCGCGGTGGTAGCGCAGTTCTCCGTTAATCCATAACTGTTAGCAGAAAAGAATATTCAGAACATGAAGTTATGCGTCATATGACAGCTGCCTTACCCTGAGAAAGTGTATTAGCAAGGCGCACTGAGGAGAGAAACTCAAATGATACTACTGACCTTCTGCGACTTCGCAGGCAAGGGCAATCTTCAGGAAATCCATGACCTCGATGCTGATAGGGGCGGATCCACTCGTGCAGAGCTGGATGTTGCCTCCGAGAACGGCTTGGATCTGTTGTGCCATTCTCTCAGTCTCCTGGCAGAAATGCAAAGTGCATCAAATCACAGACCTTGCGGAAGACAAGCCGGTCCCAAAGAGCGTGGGTCACTTCTCCAGTGGCGTGAAGCTTGTCGAGCTTGGTCTGCACCGCCTTCTTGAAGATAGTCCCCTTGAGTCCAGGAGCGTTGCCCGCAACCATAGCAGCTTGGTAAACTCTGTTAAGGACACGCGGAACAGAGGGGAAGAAATTGGGCTTCAAGGCTTGGGCATCCTCGAGCAGACGCAAGGGGTCACCGGTGAAGTAACCGATCCTGCCACCAATGGCGATGGTGCAGAGCTCGCAGACGCGCTAAATATAGACGTAAGACAATGTCATGCTTGGTAGGAACCATAACCTATTTTACCTCGTAAATGTGCGCGAGTGGCAGGTAAGAAAGCAGACAGGCGTTATCAGGGAGGGTCAGGCCGTACATGTTGCTGTGAGTCGCAACGGCAAGATTCTTATGCCTTAGCACGACACCTGCCGGGTGGTTAGACATTATTATTGGCAGCCCATCAGGTCACTCTATACCTTTAGGGTTGTTAGTGGTTCCCTGCGTTTTTTCATGAGCGAATATCGTGGAACAGGGATTTTGGGAACAATGCTCACAGAAGTATAACAAATCGAAGCAACGAGGTCTGGGTAAGCCCTAATAGGCTCAATGGGGTTCGCCTTGCCGTACGCCTCGACTAAGAGGGATTAAGTATGGACCCGAACTGAATTCGAACAAGACGAACCTTCAGCGAAAGTCTTAAAGGTGAGACCAACTGCTTCACTCCACTCCTGGAGCAACTTAGCAGCGTCGCTGGAGATGGCATCGATGCAGACAACCATCTTGAGCGTCGGTACTTTAGGTGCGAGCTTCAGGAGTGTTGGGATGTGGTCAGAAGTTGAGAAAATAGCGGTAAGGTGGGCATGTCCAATACTAGTGACAGAAATCAGAGGTCATTTGGGCCGAAGGATAAGGATGGTGCATACATATATTCTATGGAGGAGTAAGAACGTGAAATCTTGTAAAATGACAGAATCTGAGCAACTCACCGACCGAATCCTTGCCGAGAGTGTCATATAAACTGACAGAGACCTTTTGGTAACTTTGCAGGGCAATATCAACAATTTGCCATTCTGAACAACAAATGTTTGCCAGGGTTTGAAATGAGAATGCAAGAACGCGCACCTGGACGGTTGGCAGCCCAAATGCCAACAGTCGGGAATTCTCCACCACCCAGTTCACCGCTCTGGAAGAACGAGTGCAGAGCACTGCCAACGTATTTCCTTCGGGTGTCGACTTCGCCGTACGTGAGCCAGGTGTAGGTCGGGGCAAACTTCAGTGGGTTCGTCGAGACGACGCGACGTTCGCCGAGAAAAGGAGTATTCTTGCCCACTTTCAGACCAACGTCCCAGATTTCGTCCAAGGTCTTCAAGACGCCAGGTGTGTTTTCGTCGATCAACCCCCAAATGCCTTGACGGGAATGAGTCTACAAATGAACAGCGTAAGGAAGGCAACACGTACCATTACGATAGTGAGCTAGAGAAGCAGCTGTCAACGCTGGTGTCCCAGCAACTGAGGCGGGAAAGACGTACCGGTTTGACCAGGGCGTTTGGTGCCGGGGACAGCGACTGATTGCTTGTCATATGGCTGACTGCTGGCCATGGGACGATCTTTTCGGTGACGATGGGCATTTCGAGGACGTTTGGTACAGCGAGGACGAGGGAGAGGTGGAGATGAATACCAGAGAAACGTGGGGGCGACTTATTGAAGGTATAAGACCCATGTGAAATCATCCGCTCGGCATGTTGCAACGAATCCCATTCTGCCCAAACATCAGCTGCTCCTTGCGTCCCCTTTCGTGATCATCGAGTCCAAGAAGGGCGTCGTATGTGTTATTGGTGGATATTCTCCTGAAATTCATCGCGTTTCTATTTTTCTACGCCCACCAAATACCGTTGTGGATACTGAAGTGATTTACCTCGGTGCTTCCCTTGTGTGACGCGTTCATTGCACTCGGCCCCGGTTCACGGGAGCTTGAGTTGTGCCGGTCTTGGGAAATTTTCTGGGCAAGTGCCCCACATCAAAGATATACATACCCCGTGAGCACTGAGCAGCCGTCAGCTCATCCTCGATCCCCCTTTTCTTGGCTGTCAGACCATTTACGATTGAATGTTATCAGAGGCGGTGTGGACGATGTTGTACAAGATTAACATTAACGCGTAATAAGCTATACAAGGAGAAGGGAAACGTGAATGATCTGAAGAACTTGAAAGTACAGTATATGTATGCTGGATGAGAACAGAAACAAGTGACAGCCGAATGAGAACGTAGTCCATCTCTTCTATCATTCATAGGTTAGAGCTTTCAGGGAGCACTAAGAACAATCTAATAGATACGAAGTTTGAATCAGCAGCTCGAATTAGTGCCTGTTCCCGAGGCTTACCGTCATGAAGCGCTCGTAACTGATTTGTATCCACCCATCTCTGTCGGTATCCTCCCTATCGCCATTACACTTGAGCATCTAGTCGTGAAGAGAACTTGAGGGCCTCTCACCTTTGGAAGGCTTCCGTCAAAGTCTTCACGTTGACACATGCACGCACAAAGCGGTCGAATGTTATTCCTGGAGGTGGGCCGTATCCACTGACGGGTTCAGAAGCTAAAGGGATAGAAAGTGAGAAAAGATCTCGAAGTGATCAAAAATAGCACACTACCATATTTTTGCTCGATGAGGGTGAGAAGCGGAGGGGATAGGTTGTACCCGAAACTTCTCAATGCCTCAGACAACTCCCGTCCCTCAATCGACCCCGACCTGTCCTTATCGAAGTGGCGGAATACATTTTGCCAGTCAGAAATATATTTCCAGAGTCCAACGAATTCTAGTGAGTCAGGTTTGTGAAAATCGCCGAAATGGTGATGGGAATAACGCACCTGTGAAATTGATTGTTCCACTTCTGTCCGTGTCCTGCAAGATCCAATGTAAAAGGGCTGATTTGGGCAAGGTCCGCGGATTAAACTCACGAATATCGACATCAGCATCTTCACTGTGTCTAGATCAAACCCTAGAAGGGCTGTTCAGCACCGGCGCAGTGGGAAGGCAACAAGAGTGCTCACTGGTCCAATCGCCTATACAGCGAAGACAGCAAAGACAACAAGATAAGTAATCTCCAGCTCGAGCAGCGACATCCCGAACGTACCATTGACCAAGGCGTTCTGTAGCTCATGAACAGTGATAGATCCCGAATGATCTTTGTCGACGTTGGAGAACCATTGCCATAGTTGGGGATCTGCACCAGGCGGCGGACCATAGTATTGCGCTGGCGGTGGTTGGTTTCGATAATATCCTTGAGGTTGAGATGAGGGCTGATAGTAGGACTGGTGTCTGGACGGATATCCTGCGTTGTACATCGTTCGCGAGAGTAAGTGGCAGAGGGTATGATGGGTGTGTCATAGCACCGGACTCGATATTTATGCCGTTCGGCCAAGATGGTGGAGGGCTGCGGTGGTGGCTGTGTAGCTTTGGTGTGAGCCTCTGCCGCCCTCGCCGTCTGCGCGTCTTTCTGGATTAAGACACCAAGAAAAGCCTTGGAAGGTAGAAGACTGATGTCTTTATCTAAACCCATGGCAGGCGTGGGCGTGGTGCGAGTACTCCCTGGTGAAATTTCCTCTCCGGAAGGTACGGTAGCATGATCGGTGATCAGCGACGATGACTCAAAGGCCAGCCTCTCAGAGGAACAGTTCGAGTGTAACAACACCATGCAGTGGATATCCACTGAAAGAAGTGTTCAATCTCATCACTGGAGGAGCATAGTTGGTCACAAGATGACTTATTGTTAGCATTAGGACGTCAGCCTAGACCTCATAGGAGATGCTGGACCTTCCAGCAGTGTCGAGCTATTCTCCGATGATGCGCTGGATGCCTCGTGGTGCGTGCGTATACCCGGGCCTTCACGGTCCAGTAGGTCTAGATTCACCAAAGTGTGCCTTTCACGACGGCCGGCGCTTAATCGCGCACCACTATGGCATATGTCACAGGGTACGTTAAATAAGCGCTCAGAATCTTTATCACCCCTACCCAACTTGGTAACAACGATACACGGGTTAACGAACGCGCGCCACAGAATCCTTGTCCAATTCGGGCAGTGCCTCCGCTCCCCACGTGACACAGCCATCAATGCGGCGTTTGTGGTAGCCGAGCCGGACAATCGTCCTCTCACTGCCCCTGGCTCCACGTACGCAGCTGGCGGACAGCTTTTCAGTCCGACGTTCGTCGCATCGGCCTCCTGAATCTCCTACAGTATCTTCTCTATCGAAACGAGGCAGGAAAGCCACCTCTACTCCATTCCACGTACACGAGACACAACATATGTTCGGTGAGTTCAGCCTCTAACCCCAATTTGAATCTTGCTTGCCTCTTCAAGTTCTGACCAATGATACCTCTTCGAACAGGCAGACTTAATTAGTGCAAGAACATCCAATCATCTTGCTAGACACTTATAATATTCCCAACCCCATTGCGCGGATCGCCCACACGTTCCGCCGAGCAGGATAATCTCAACACACGATGTATAAGGCAGTTATCTTCGACGTGAGTAAGCGCACTACCAAGTCGAACGCGCGCCCATATTGTACTAGATCGGCGGTGTCGTAATGCGAAGCCCCTTCATCGCTATCGCGGAGTACGAACGAAAACTCGGTCTGCCCGTCAACTATCTGAATTGTTCTATGTACGTCTTCCAAATTTGTCTTTGCATTCAGGTTCGACTGTTGAATCAGGATCTGTTTGTAGAACTGGTTATGGCTCGCAAGGTGCATGGCAGAAGTTTGAGCGAGGGGAGCTCGAATTGTTCCCGTTTTACGAGGCTTTTGGTCGTGATCTCTCTGACACAAAAAAAGGCAACATATGGTAAGCCTTAGAAGGAATGCATAGAATGAAATTGAACTTGTCCTCCTGCAGGTATAAAGCATACTGCAAACGGAAGGGAATAGGTAAGCTTAATTCTTTCTTCCCAAAATTGAACTGAAAGATGCTGTCGCCAAAACAGAATGTCCCCCGTTGCCAGAGAAGCTGGTGATTGATGGACGGGATGTGTGCACTCTCTATCTTCTGTCTCCCTCGACGAAGGCTGACAATATTAATTGTGAAAAAGCTCTTCGCTTCCATGATGCGTGAAGCGAATCAATACAACCCTCACATACGTCTTGCCATCCGCCGGCTGCGAGGTACGCACTAGCCCTCTCTTCGTCAGTTCTTTCTTATCATATCGAACAGCTGCGGGGAAGCATAAGATCATCGCCTTGACCAACAACTTCGCGAACGTCAACGTTCCCGCGGAAGAGCGTGCTTTCCTCAGTTGGGGCGAAGGGGCAACACCGAATCATCTTCGGGAGCTCTTCGACGACTTTTGTGACAGCAGCAGTCTTGGGATGAGGTGGGTCAACTCTCACGATGGCGACGCATGGACTGACATAAAGGGACAGGAAACCCGAGCCAGGATTCTATTTGCTGGCCTGTGAACGGAATGGAATTAAACCATCCGAGGCTATTTTCCTCGATGACATTGGCTTGTAGGTCCACCTGACTCGAAATCTGTGGGATGAAGTCTGACTTGTGGCAGGAACTTGAAGACGGCCAAAGAACTGGGGATGAGTACGATCCGTAAGAAACAGTCGCTCCCGCACGTCCCCCGTGGCTGACTGAGTTTCGATAGTGGTAGAAATTGGGAAGACACTAGACGCTGTGAAGGAGTTGGAAACGCAAGTTGGGTTGGATCTCACAAGCGACATGATCGAATCCAAGCTTTGACGCATATAACATTATTTTAACCCCATCTATGTCGATAATTCAGATGCTCTATGCCGCCACACTAAGTATATCGCGACCTTCCCAAGTATAGGCGTTCTGGTCAGAAAGGTTGATTGATGTTTGGCATAGACAGGTAGGACACGAGGATAGCAGAATTTAGAATGGTTTATCGGAGACTGGCGTCTTGTCCTGGTAATACGAACCCAGCTAGCGAGGCTTGACAATCAGGTGGTCAGATGCAGGCTATGAGGGAGACTTACAACGGGCACTTTCTCCAAAAGTTCGCGTCTCACAAGGGGTGTCACAGAGAGGAACTGTAAATCTCGTTCAATGGGCGCAGAAAACGCGAAACGACGAACACTCACGAGCAGAGCACCAGCACCAGCGCTAGCACCCCAGATCCCGAGGGTGGGCACCCAACGCTTCGTAGCCTGCATTATTCCAGGTAAAAGTTCATCCTTTTCGCAATGAAGAAAGTGATTACGCACGGTGACGGTGGCGGCGACAGTCGACTGAGGAGTGAAGACAAGGCGAGCCATTGGTATAATATCCGAAAAACGATAGTGACAGTTGGAAACAAGTGCGGAGGGCAGCGGAAAGGATTTCCCGGTCAATGCCGATTATGTAAGCAATTTTTGGCCTAGCATCGATCAAAGGTTTGCTTTTCTCTCCACCTGCCGTCCTGTCGTTTTGCTTTTATCTTATCGAGCCGCTTCTCTTCCTCGTATAGCCCATCGGTATCATGGCGAACCCCCGACAACGTCGCAAGGCCCGCTCGTCGAGCCACAAACCCGTCTCTCATTCACGTCATGCAAAGAGAAATTTGAAGAAGACTCCTCGTCAGTATCATCTCCGGCTCTCTGCAGAAACCAACCGTTGATAGGGCTGACTAGCCATCCGTGGTCCAAAGGTGCTGCAGGATGCTTGGGATAAGAAGAAGACCGTTCGGCAAAAGTACGCCTCCGACTCTTTTTTTTTCTCTCTCTTCTTGTGTTCTTTGAATGAAACTCAAAAAAAGTCCCTGAACGAATCCCACAGTTACGCAAAACTTGGACTCTTGGTGTCATCCGATCCAGTATCCTCCGGAGGTGTTGAGACACCGCTGGGGCTCAGGTCCCAAAATAACTCTGGGCAGCAGCCTGCAGCGTCGACTTCCACGAATTCTAGTCCTCCAAACACAAGCGTACCAAGCGGATTTGGGAGGATCGTACGTGATGAGGCCGGCAATGTGATTGGTATCGAAATGAACGAGGAGGAAGATCCACAAGAGGAGGCCATGGAGACAGATGACTTTGACTTGGACGGTGTCGATTCGCATATTGATGAAGATGTGCGTCAACGGTGGGCCAAGGGTTTTCCTGGGAATACGTCTAAGAATGGCCAGGAAGGGAGCATTGCAGAAGGTGAGTCGCAAGCATGCTCATTTTATTGTCTCGTCCGGTTTCTAGTGTGTCGAATTCGACGTTGAACTTTCCCTTTTGATTCGGAGCGCTTCTTTTCTCTATGAATGCCCAGTGCACGTTGCCTAGTGTGTTAGCACCCCCTTGACCCATCCTTTATCTCCGTCTCAAATACTCGTCTCACCTTTGGTGCTTTGTAGCCCTTGAAAGCATTTCTGCAACACCTACTGGCTCTACAACACTCTCCCTTCCTTTGTCAGGGGTTGGCTCAAGACATATCTCTTCTGGCGAAGTGAAATATCTAGAACCGCTAGTGAAGAAACACGGCAGCAACGTTGAAGCAATGGGGCGCGACGTGAAGCTGAACCCAGAACAAAGGACCGTTGGACAGTTGAGGAGAGGACTGAGAAAAGCTGGGCTTCCAACGCAACAATGAAGACGAATCGACAGGTATGATGCATTATCTCGTACAAATCCATGCATTTCGACATCATCGGTCCTCTGACGGTGGGCTACGCAACGCGGGATCTAATCCTCCAAGCTCGTGGTGGACTGCAGGACAGACGAACCAATTATGTTCTGACCCTGCGTCGTTAAATAAGTCAATTAAAAAACCGCATGACCATCGGGGATGAGTGGGAAATCGAAGCCATGACGAGTATGATGAGTCGGTGATCAGGTTTCCTCTTTGCGCCTAATTTACTTGCGGATTTGTTCTAGCGCGGTATTTTAGAGAAAGTTGTGAGGCCGACAAGATAGAGTTCAAGATGACTCTCCGACAACGGCAGCAGTGCAGAGGGGCCGCCATGCCGCAAAGTGAGGTTAGTGGACAGGCTGTCCCCGTCTGCGCTAAAAACTGGCTGATGATAAGATACACGCCGCGTCTCCAGCAAGGGCTCTCAAGGGCTCTGATTGGGCAGATGATGGGGTAATTTGACGTCAAGAGGACGGACAAATGGGGAGGACATGCTGATCAGAGAGTATGACCATTTGTGGGTATGTTGCGTGCATGTTGCAGCATCGCCGATGGCCACTAGGAATTCCGGCGGGGAGGGCAACGGGAGCTGACGTGCGTGCTCGCTGGTTGGGCCGGCATACGCCGTGGGAGGGGCCAATGGCTCTGTCCAATCCGCTGCCCGGATTTTGCAGGGTTCTTGCATGGTGAGATCCCACTAATTAATAAATAAAGTACTGCCACCGGCGCAGAGATCTCTCCCCGGCGACTAAGCATCCTCGAGGAAAACGGCCTCCCAAAGCGGACACGGCTGCCATCTGCCACACACTATCTCTTCTAACATGTAGATCTCTGCTCACCCCCCCAGATCCGTTCCATTCGTCCCTTCTTCATTCGCCAAGTCAACGTCACCTCTTTGATCCTTAATCTCCTCTCATGTTCAATTTTGCTCGCCCTCTCTAATTACTCTATAAAACAAACAGACCTTAGCCCGTTCCCTTTTCCCTCTTCACCTCCTTTTCCATCCCCGGCCTCCACAATGTCCCCGAGAGGCTCCTCTGCTGCGTCCCCCTCCACTCACAGCCCTCGCAGCTCCACCACTGCCCCATATACCCGCCGCTCCTCCAGTCAACCAAAGTCCTCGCGTCAGCAGTTTTCTGCTTGCGGCGCGTGCCGCATGCGAAGGTCGCTTCTCGTAATTTCCCATTTCGCGCAAGTGTTAAAACACAACCGTTTTCCAGAGTTCGCTGCGACCTCAAGGACCTCCCTATCAATTCCCTGGGGCCCCATCCCGCCTGTTCAAACTGCACAGAACGAGGAATTAAATGCGTGTAAGTGACGGCGGACTTTTATTGGATATAGCCAGACTGATCGCGGTAAAATCAGCGACGAATTCGCTGATGTGAAAGCCGTGAAACTCCTCAGACGAGGTCGGCGCCTGCAGCAAGTCGAGTGAGCAAAATGTGTCATTTCGAAGAGATTAGTCCAGCGCTCATATTTATGCAGAGCGATCTATGGGAAGGTCGCTGACCAGGACGGAAACTCGTCCTCCACGAGTTCCGCCTCGAGGGCATCAAGTATCATCCCAATTCTCCACTCCGACTTCTTCACCTCACAATTCTGGCGCTCGTTCGTCATACAACGTACGTTACCCCCTTCTCCGCCCTCTAACGCGGTTAATAACTCGTGACGGCGTCTAGGTCCCATACTCGACTTACTAGAGTTCCCCGCTCGATTTGCCGCCCATTGCAAAGGGACTCGCCTTCTTGGAAACGAGGGCGGTCTAATCGCAATGATGCTGGTCACTTGGGCGGCGTCATTCGGTCTGGACGAACGGGGAATGCCCCGCTCAGACGGCTCTCCCGTCGGCCCGCACGGTACACCAGATACGTCCAGTTCTGATGCGTCAGCACACCTGGGGACCAGCTTGCGCCAGCGAAAGAACAAGACGGAGGCCTTTCTGCGAGAAATCATGGAGCTCATCGACCTCTATGGCGTTTTGCGGCGCCCGACTTTAGACGGCCTTCGTGTTCTCTTACTGCTCCTTCCCCTCATGGAGGGTAAGTTGCTGTCGACCCCTCGAGATACCGTCCACGACTGATGATTTGAGCAGATGGACAGCCCCTCGAACGGTTAGCCATTCATGAAGCAGCCCTGTCACAAGTACAAGCACTCTGCGTGCTATCTGCCTCTCAGTCGTCGAGTTTCGACGATGCATCAGTGCGCGCTAGGCTGTTCTGGTACGCCTATACCCAAGAGGGCCTAATCACAGGCATTCGGGGCGGTCGTTTTGTCCTGTACGTCCTTCAAGGTCCCCTCTACGGATTAGGTTCTGAATGCCAACGGACAGGGGCGGGGACGACTTGGAAACTTTCCAAAGGACATTACCGCCGCTTAATTTTGACATGGGACCCTCCCCGCCATCGCCACCCGCCATCGAGCACGCGTCAGCCATGGGCGGCTACTCTGCTGAGCCGTCACACTTCAGCGGCAAGGTGTTCGTGAACTTAATGCACGCCGCTGCAACGCCGCTGGACCTCGGCAACGCCTGTCGAAAAATCCATACCGTGCTTACCGGTATTAAGGCAACACGGAGGGCAGAGGACCACGGTGTCGTAGACGCTCACGGGATGCGCGAAATCTGGAGCGACCTGGACCGGTGCTGGCAAGAGCTTGACGCGATGCTGGCCGCCCCGCTGGACCCTCACGGCAATCCCCAGCGAAGGATCGAGCTTAGGCAGTTTGTCAGTAGCTGGCGGGTATGTCGCCTTCCGTGCTTATTACGCGTTGCATGCACTAAATGTGGGTTCTGGCCCCGGTAGATCGTCATCTTTGAATGTCGTAAGTCAATCGATTTGTAGGTCCACCCTGGTCGACTGGCTAATACGCGACCGGTAGACAACGTTATCCGTGAGGCCCTCAAACAGTTCATCACGAAGCCCCCCTCCCAAGCCATATACTCGGCGTCTTCCCCTCCCCGCCCGTCGTCCTCGCACTCCTCGAATTCGTCGCCATATTTATCGCCCGAGCATCTTCATGGCATTGCTTCACGGCGCTGCCTTGCTCTCCTGCCGCGTATCATCAGGATAATTCGCTCTCATACAGCGAGAGAGAACATAGAATTCCAGGGACTTTTCCGGTGGGACGCAGGCTTGGTTCGGGACGGATGCTTTTTTGCCGCCTATCTCGCCGCCAGTGTGGAGGGAGATTTAATCGAAGTCTCTGAAGTCGACAGCCGGGAGGGCATCGACGCCAATCTCACCGTCGACGAGGCAGTTTCTGCTTGCCTCGATGCTCTGTCGAGCATGCAGTGGGCATATTCGAAGAGCGAAGAACGAGAAGAGACAGTCAGAATGATCTGGGAGGGCCGCAATCTCCGCCGTCAAGAACAACAGCACCACGGGTCCCTCTACGACGCTGATTACCCTCAATCGGCGCCACCGACCATCTCGCAAATGCCTCTCAACCTCACCTCGCATCACTCTGCACACCCCTCACTCGCACCGGGGGGAATCCGACACATGCTCCCTCCTATCAACTTTATGGCTCAGCGACGGGTCGAGTCGGCCCCGAGCTCAAGTGCCAGTCCTGACGGTCGTGGGATGAATGGGTGGCCTTCATACACCCCGCCAGGGACAGCGACCTCTGTCGCCACCAGCGCAGGGGCATGGAGCGGAAGCGGACGGGGATCCCCCGTGTTCGCAAACATGCCCCCGTTCAAGGCATCTGAGGATAGGACTTACTATCCCACGTCTAGTGATATCGACCAGTTCACCTACAACGCGCCGTTCACGGGATCTGGTGTGAGGGAGGGTGCGGGGATGCCGCAGGATACAGCGCAGTACGCACCACGACACGCAGGGATCGAGGCGCATGCGAATTTGGCGGCGGGTCCGGCGACGAATTACATGCCAGCTGCTAGTGCGTTCAGTGTTCCCTATCCTTCTTTGCTCCCAGATTTTCATGCTTGTCCCCAGTTTGGTGAAAACTCCGATGGTGCTTTCAATGAGTTCTAAGTAAGACCAATGTATTGATACCACTTTCTCTCTATGTGTTTGCATATACCACTTGCTCTCCATGGACCGTTGTTCATTTTCGCTGTTTTCCTTTTCGGGTTTCCCACTCACGCCGGCTGTTCCATACCACAATTTAGCATAGTCATATTTGATGTACATCTTGTTTCATCTACAGAAAGATTTGCGCCACATTTCGGCTATAATTCCATCTTCTATGAGATTGGCGATTTGCGCGACCGCCGCTTGCTCAGAAGCGCGCTTGTTACCTAAAAAGGTAAATGCGAATTGAGAAGTGTGATAACGGAGTTGGGCGGCCCGGTTACCCCACACCAGAAGCATCATCATCACCGTCAACATTGCTACTAGTACAAAGAGCTCTTCACCACATCACCCATTCCACCCGCTTCTCGTAGCTCAACTGAGCCGTTTTGTTTAGTAAGTCCAGTTTCCTATCAACGATTGTGAGCTTGTTAGCTGACTTTGAGGGTTACCACAGTGTGCTTGCCTATTTTCTGTATGCCGTCTCGTCATCATTATGCATAGCCTTCCTGAGCGTTCTCAGTTGGATGCAACACGAACATCAAGCCTGAAGGCACAGAACAAGCCCTTCAGCTGTGCCCTCGGTGTCATAACCGTTAGTCGCGATGTTGATGTACCTCGTTGGTGGTAAGTGCTGAATCTCTTGGCGAAGTGACCGTGTTTGCGGCCAAGAGTACCACCTGGTTTGAGTTGTTCTGGATTCCCCTCGTTCCTTTCTCCAAGAAGCAAATGTGGATCTGTGGGACATGCCAATGGAGCCAACCCAAAGAGAAAGAGTGCGTCGATTTCTCTGCTTTCGAGTGACCTTGCTCGCAGTTGACTGCGCACATTGGTTCAGTCAAGCTCAGGTTCAGCCCACCGCCACTGGCCCAAGGGTTCTCCGCGGACCAACCACCACGGCTGCGCCTAAAGGCTAATCGTCCTGGTTATCAGCCTGCATATATTGGGAAAACGGCTGGTAAATCATGAATGAGTCAAATTTACCTCGTTTGTCAGATCGTATGACGTTCCACCTGTTTCTTATCTGCTATGTTTTCCCATTTTCCTGGATCCATCCCTTTGCAGAATGAGTGGTCATTTTTACCCATGTTCTGTCTGCTTTAGTCGAGTGCTCGAATCTTAGCTACTGGTTAGTGGTTATACCCACCTTTCAAACGATGCTGTGCGATGCCCAGATGCCGAGCGCTTAATACAAGCTGCTTAGTCATGCAGCCAACACTTGGCCAGAATGCGCAGCAGTCTCTCACCGCCACGTTCTTCTGCCTTCACACCTTCAACGCGTGAAATATAAGACACTTCATTCAGGACCACCACCATCTCCCCTGTCTGCACACCACAGTGAGCGCCTAATTTTCGAATTCATACTAAATGGTGCTAACATGGTCTGCGGGCGACAGGACCTTCACTATAAACATCTGGCAGCGGGTTTAATCGTGACGCAATATGGATTTTTGCTGTGAGTTGCGGACGAGATTCTGCGGGTTAAATGGTATTGACTAACTGGTCTTTCTAGTCTGTATTCCTATGATCTGTGGGTAGTCGGGTGCACTTAATATGCCATTTCCCGGCTCTAATGTCGCTGCAACTAGTTGGTTGTCAAACCAAGATCTCTCCAGAAGGCGACCAAACCCCCAGAATATGTCCTCGGTGTCATAATGGTGGGTACATTTGTGTGCTCCTTCTCTACCCTTAGCTGAAATCTCTCAGCTGCTGTCACCAGTGCGAAATCGAAAGAATATTTCGAATTCTGCTTCGTTCCTCTGATTCCCATGTCGAGCAAACACATCTGGGCTTGTTCCATCTGCCAATGGGCCGTGCCCATCCAGCAGGGGTGTGTATCTCTTGTTTCAGTTTTCAACTTGCAAGTAGTTAATCATCTGTCTAACTTGTCTCAGCTGGGAACCACCACTTGTCACGAACGGACCACCAGGTTATTATCCTCCTCAGCCGCCACCGACATGGCAGCAGCAGCCAAACTATGGTCCTCCGCAAGGATACCCTCCTCCGGGACCTGGATATCAAGGACAATACAAACCGCAATAATGGCTGTCCTTCAGGTCTTCAATCCTTATTTTTCTTTGTTTCATATATTGCTCTCGGACCTTTCTGCTCTCACTTCTTCTGAAGAATCCAATCGACAACCATTCTCTTACTATGCTCAACCCTTTAGATCTTCTTTCCTCCATATCCAATTACCTTCAAGATAAGGCAAGAGGATCGTAGTAATTCGTGAATTTATGCCCTTTCCATGTGTATTATCAACTGCATCGCCCCAATATTAACTGTATTACATCGCATTAGACGCTCTTCTGTTTCTTATTTTACTCTGTCATCTCAGCGTAAGATACTGGTCAGATACGCTGGGCGGAGCTCACGGGCAGGGACATTAATCTCTCGTGGAAATATAAATGGCCGATACCGGCCGGCCACGTGCACGGTGCTGCCTTGAGTTGTTGACGCAGCCACTTCGCTTTCCTCCACCTCCTCCGTTCTCTCCCCAGCAACCGCCCAAGCCCTTTCTGTCCTCAGCCTCTCTCGACACCATGCACACAAGCGAGTACGACTACCTCTTCAAAGCTCCTCCTCATCGGTGACTCCGGTGTCGGCAAGGTAAGGCCGCATGCAGCCTCTGTTTGCGATGCTCGTTGCTGAAGAACTCTCTCCCCAGTCTTGCCTGCTTTTGCGTTTTGCGGACGATACCTACACGGAGAGCTACATCAGCACCATTGGAGTTGACTTCAAGATCCGTACCATTGAGTTGGAGGGAAAGACCGTGAAACTGCAAATCGTGAGTGTCCTCCTAGCGCCGCTGCAACAACGGCGGCATCCTGGTCCATGCGCACAACGTCGTTGGTGTTATGTTTGCCTATGACTGGCTCTGTGCACGGCAGGATGTACCACTCTGGCCCTCTTGCACGTCGTTTGCCTTCCCCATTGTACTGACTCACTGTTGCTCATCCTTAACAGTGGGACACCGCTGGTGAGTTGCCTAAGCCCCAGTATGGGTTGCTGCCCGTTACTCATGAGCTGCACAGGTCAGGAGCGCTTCCGCACTATCACGTCATCATACTACCGTGGTGCTCATGGTATCATCGTCGTCTACGACGTGACGGATAACGGTTTGTACGCTCCCTTCACAATCCTCCTCACTGCTGAGTGTGCTTTTTTCTTTAGACACCTTCACGAACGTTAAACAGTGGCTCCAAGAAATCGACCGATATGCGTCGGAGGGAGTGAACAAGCTGCTTGTTGGCAACAAGTCTGATTTGACGGGCAAGAAAGTTGTCGAGTACAGTGTCGCGAAGGTGAGCATTGAGCCAGCTTGAATTCTTCCTTCAGCACCTCATCTGTGACCATGCGTATTAGGAATTCGCGGACCAGTTGAACATCCCCTTCTTGGAGACATCCGCAAAGAATGCGACGAATGTAGAGCAGGCTTTCTTGACCATGGCTAAGCAAATCAAGGACCGGTACGTGCTCTTTATCATGCCTCTTCGCGTTTCTTCTCACTGCTTTGTTGTCTCTCCAGCATGGGCTCCAGTTCGACACCCTCAGGGGCGGCCAAGTCATCGACCGTCACTCCTGGCCAGACTGTACAATCTCAGCAAGCTGGTGGTTGCTGCTAGATGTCTTCACCTGGTTAGAGTCGTATGCCCTTCTTTCCTACTCCTTCATCGCCTAGGGTGCGTTCTCGAGGAGTTGTTTTGACGTTACATATATCACTGTTTTACGTTATACACCACTTGCTACCCCTATTGGACTCGTTTGATCCCTTTCATCTACATGTTGTCTTTGCCTTGTTCAATGTTGGGCTTCGGAGAGTGCATGTCTTCCTCTAAGTGGATGAGATAAGCATGCGCCCGACCTTCTGAGTTAGATTTGCTGGCCTAAGTCTGTTCAAAGTTCACCTGAGAGTATGGGCGTCAGTGTTAGAGGATTTGTGCTCCCATTGCGTGAAAAGGATGAAAATTGTCGCATCGCTACCTGGTCGAGTGCCTTCAGCTTTGAGATTGCGGTGTTGTGCACTCGCAGACCTGCTTTCAGCCTCGTCTGCCTGATGGAAAGTGCCAAGTCAGACCTGCTCCTTTTGGCAATTTCGCGTGCGTGACAACTTTTCGCTCCGCACCGCTTGAACAACTTCAGCACTCGAGCAGGCTCAGATCTTAGAGGTTCGTGAACTTAGAACCGGGTGTATAGCTGAGTCTCACCTGAGCATAGATAAAAATGACATCTCTACTACGAAGACAAGTTCAGGCGGTCCCTCAGTGCACCCGGCGATGTATGTCGCAGCTAGCATCGCAAAACTACGCCTCGACTTCGTTTGCTTTCGATGATGCCCTCCCAAAGAAGAGTGCATATTTCGTTCCTAGGAACACGCGTGGTAATCTTCCAGTGTACACGGACGTTCGGAACGGCGGAGGCCGTCAATTGGTGCTCGTGCGGAACGTGGAAGGGAATGTTAGTGTACGTACTACGTGCACGTCCTCCAGTGTTTGTTTGGGTAACTGACCGGCTTCTGTGCAGGAACTGGCGAGAGACCTAGCACAATCTCTCTTCCCTGCGGATTCACTAGAGGCGTCCCGATTCAAAATTCAGATCAGCCAGTCAAAACATTTGGTGATTGCTGGTGGCCGTTGGAGAGACAATGTGGTCGAGTGGTTGAAGGAGAAAGGCTTCTAGGGAGCATGGGATATTCGCTGCTTCTCCTTGCAAGTCCATTTGCATTTTCTCTATACAGATATAACTACTCCCCGTAGCACCCCATCTCTTGATTCTTGAAGAGATTTCGCAAGTACCCAGTACCCAAAGCAGGACAACATCCAAGTCGCCTGGATATCAATTTGCCAACCGCTATATGCTATGCTACATTACCCACAAGAAAAAGCAATTATACAGACTGGGGATCTACCAATTCCGCTGCATCTATCCCTAAGGATCCCGTTTTAGCCTTCTCCATCTGACTCTCGGCAATACGACGGCGGCTCTCCGCCGCGTGCAAATCAATCGACGACAGATCGAGCTCATGCAAAGCCCGATGCAGCCCTTTCATTTGCTGAAGGTGGTCGCTCGCAGCGTTCGTCCTATGTGTTTGTTGTCTGGCAAGCTAACGGGAGATTTATCAAAGGGTTCTCTCTTGAACATCAAGAGTAGAGTGCTTACATCCTTCTCGAGGTCGGCCCACTGTTTCGATGGGTTGAATTCTGGAATCTTGATGCCGCCTTTCTTGTAAGAGGTGTGGTCGCGAGTGTGGTCACGAATCGGGTCACGAGAATCTCGATAAGTGCTGTCACGGGGGAAACCTCGTTCCTCGGTGTGGTGTCCTCGTCGCGCGGGCGGAGCTCGGGGGGCAAAGGAATGTGGAGGTGGGCCACTTCGTGTGGGATGATTTCGAGGCCCTCCGGGAGAGCGGGGTGCCCAACCTCCTCGTCGCGGTCCAGTGGGAAGCACTCGTGAAGAGTCAGTAGTAGTAGAACTGCGAGTGGGTTGTGGAGAAGGCGACCTTGCTGGTGGTCTGTATGGAATGGGGTGGGATCTCGGTTGTATGGGTATGGAAGGAGGGTCCACAGCCATTTTGGCTTCGGACTCTTCCTTTTTCTGATCCAATGGTGGAGGAAGAGGAGAGCGGAACGCTTGCTGTGGGGTTTCAGGAGCTGGTGATGGGTCTACTGGCATTGCGTGAATTTCCGAAGTTGCGGAGAGAGGTTCTCTCTTCGGAGAATGTGTATTGGATATTTCCGGCTTTTGCGCCTCAGAAGCCTTCTCTACTTCCATCGCTTGACGTTCCGGAGATTTCTTGATATCCTCAGGTGCTGGGGTAACAGGTTTATCTTCTGCAGTGATCTGACCCTCCTCGGGTGGATGCTGGGAACCATCACGCTCCAAAAGTTGAGGCGAACGCTGAGGAGACCGACGTCGAGGAGGGGAACGTCTGTCTGAAGGGCCTGACGTATGCGGCGGAGGTCCTCGGTTTCTTGGGCTCCGTGATCTGGAAGGTCGTCTTTTGAAGGGTGAGCGAGAGCGAGGACTTGTTTCGATTGAGTGATTTCCCAGTCTTATCCTTTTCGGAGACGGACCACGAATGGGACTTCGAGACCGATATCGACCTCGAGGGGGAGTGCGAGAACGTCGACGAGGAGGACTTCTAGAGGAGCGACGATAGGGTGGACCTAAAGATTCATGGTCAATCAAATCAAAGGCAGGGGGGCTAGGTGTAGATACCTCTGCCCATAGGCGACATTCTGCATCTTCAGTAAGAATGGAATTTACCCATCTACGACCTACTCACCTTCTGGGAGGCCCTCTGTCTCGATCATACTGACGACGGTCTCTGTCTGGTGACTCACGTCTTCTCGGAGGTGTCCTATCACGACCCCAATCTCGGTCGCGTCCTCCCCAGTTTCTTCTGTCCCTGTCTCTGTCGTAGTCTCGACGATCCCGGTCCCTGTCGCGGTCATCATATTCTCTACGTCCACCGTCTCGCCTGCTGTCGTAGCTCGGAGGAATATAAGTGTCTGTTTCTTGCCGTGACCTTGAAGGAGGAGGAGGTATGTATGCCCTATCTCTGTCTCTGTCTCTGTCCCTGTCCCTGTCTGGCGGAGGCCCGCGATAGCGCGGTGCCATAGGTTGTGCTGGACGTCGATCTCGGTCAGGGGTGAGTCGACGCTCGTCTCGCGACGGGAGTTGCGGCCTCGGTGGAAGGCTGGCCATCTTGTGCACACGGCCGCTGGAGGACTGGAGACGCGTTCAAGGCGACAGTAAGTACTGCAGAGGCAAGGCTGATCCAAATTTGGGATCGAGGGTACATACGGCCAAATACCTGGCGGCACAGGTGATGCCAGCCTGACGTGAATTTACTCCGGACATCACCAGCATGCTCGACCACTGTTCTATTTCTCATAAAGGCATGCGTTCAGCACCCACACACTTGCATAATTGCTCATACGATATACAGGGGGCATTGTTCTCTGGTCTCGCTCCTTCACGCCAGATGCTGCTCAACTCGCCTCGTCTTCAGCGTCGCCTGTTAATTCCCTCATCCGCGAAGCCTTAATCGAAGGCCGTACCACCGAAGAGAAATACGAGAAGGATGGATATGCTGTGAAGTGGACGTTTGTGAATGACTTGGAGCTCATATTTGTGGTGAGCCTAGATAATGGCTCTATCCTTGGGTTACTTCTGAAAAATGCCAGGTTGCATATCAGCGAATTCTCCAACTAGCCTATGTAGACGACCTGCTCGCTGCCATGAAGCGACTCTTCATCCAGTATTTCGAGCCATTTCTGGCAGCATTTGTTACTTCTTTGCATAGTTTCAATAGCGCAAAGGCAGCTAGCATCCAAAAAGCGGCTTCTTGGGACTTTGCAAAAACCTTTGAGCGTTGGGACGTGTTGTTCGACAAGTTGCTGAAGGGCCTTGAAGAAAAGGCAGCTCAGGTATGTCACTTCTCGTTTTCGTGTATCTCCAGTTCTTCAACACGAATGACAGGACCGCAAATCACGGTTGCGCACGACTGTTCGAGCCCAGGTCGAGAACATCACACCACCCTCCGACGAGCCGGATACAGGTATGTTCAATTTCTCTCTTTTTATACAACCAACACAGTAATTCCTATACAGCTCCGTCTATAAGTCCTGATACCCCGCAAGACGAGCAACATATTGCAAGGAACGTTCAGGCCCTGAAGAGCCGTTTGCGTGGTCGCGGTGGACGTCGAGGCGGACGGGGTGCACGGTCTGATCTGACCTCTGGCCGGGAAAGTACCGCGGAATCAGAGTATGTACTAAAGTAATTCAAAGTCGTTCCCCGACTAATGTACCGCCCTTTATTAGTACAGACGCCCAACCCAAACGCAAGTCGAAAGCCAAAGCCCAGCGAAAATGGGGTGACGAGGCCCCTACGGAGGCTGACATGGCTTCTCTGGACTTCAGCATTGATAAGCCAGAGTCTGGAAGCGGAGACGTCGGCGTTCAAGACCTGCGATCACTGGTTGATCAGTCGTCCTTGGGAACGAGGAATCGAGACGGTCTTTACGAAGTTAAAGACTGGGACTTCTCGAGAGAAGAGGACGATGCCGACGACGCCATTGCAAATGCCCTCAAGCCGTTGGATTCAAAGCTCAGTTCTGAGGGCTCAATGGGAACCTTAGGTTCTATATTTGCTCGTTTGACAGGTTCAAAGGTCCTCACGGAAGCGGACTTGAAGCCAGTTCTTGAAGTGATGAAACAACATTTGATGAAGAAAAATGTCGCGATGGAGATCTCGGAGAAGGTCTGTGAGGGTGTTGGGGAGAGTCTAGTCGGAAAAAAGGTTGGCAGTTTCCAGAGTAAGCTAGTTATTGACTCTTTGCAATTAAGTAACAACTTACGATCTACTTTCCTGTTTGACAGCAATTAACAATGCCGTCCGTGTGGCGTTGTCAACCTCACTAACACGGATATTGACTCCAAAAACCTCAACCGATCTCTTGCTTTCAATACGCACCAAACTGTCCTCTCCATTACCATCAAACCAACAACGCATGCCCTACAGTATCACCTTCGTTGGTGTTAATGGCGTAGGAAAGAGTACCAATCTGTCAAAGGTGTGCTTCTGGCTTATTCAGAACGGCCTGCGTGTTTTGATCGCTGCTTGCGATACATTCCGGTTCGTTCTTCTTTTCCTTTCTCGATACAGTTTTGACGTTGGTTTGAATTGGAACTGGGGTAGGAGTGGGGCAGTCGAGCAACTCCGAGTGCACGTGCGTAATTTGAGCATGCTGGGCGTTAATGGAGCCGCCGACAGTAAAGGACGTGTCGAGTTATTTCAACGGGGGTATGGTAAAGATGCCGCTGGTATTGCCCGAGAAGCTATTAATTACGGTCAGTGGATTGCGATTTCAAGTTTGTGAAGGACCTGACTTGCCATATGACTCTAGCTCGGGATAACAACTTTGATGTCGTTCTCATCGACACTGCTGGTCGAATGCAGGATAACGAGCCACTCATGCGGGCTCTCGCCAAGGTTATTAATACTTGCACCTCTGCTTCCGGTCCTTACGTCTTTGTCAGCTTGTGTCCGTGAATAACCCTGACAAAATTATCTTTGTCGGTGAAGCCTTGGTCGGAAACGAGGCTGTCGACCAGCTGACCAAGTTCGACCGTGCCCTACGCGATTTCTCGTCTGCGTCAGGCGCTGGGCGGGGTCGTGGAATCGATGGCATGCTCGTCACCAAGTGGGACACCGTCGATGACAAGGTTGGCGCAGCGTTGTCGATGACTTATGTCACTGGACAGCCCATAATCTTTGTTGGCTGCGGTCAGGTATGTTCTAAGAGCCAATCGGAAATCTATCAGAGCTCATTGCATTGTTCAGACCTATACCGACCTTAGGCAACTGCGTGTTACGAATGTCGTCCAGGCAATTCTGAAGGATTGAGTATCATACCTGCTGACTTGTCTCAGTTGTGGCTCCTTGGGATCTTGTTGGGACTGCGTTCCCTTCGTTCGAGATTGTTGTCTGTTTGATTATCCACGAGCAGAGTCAATTACAAGTAGTGACAACGAGTGTGTATTCTTTACTTAAACATCATAAATACGATCCGGGACTAGCAAACCGTCTCCTACAGGCTATTTTTACGCTACATACACGGACGACAAAATACGGTCCTTTCTGAACGAACAACGGCGTGTTCAGGTGTGTATCTAGCACCAAAGATCCCGAAGGCAAAGAATGCATCGCCATATGTTACAATAGATTGACGTAGAACGAAATATAGTACAAGTTGGACGGGTATTCCACCAGACAACAGAACGAGTAACTCGACTGCCAACAAGAGTGGTCCGTACGAGTAGAAAAAAGCCCCGAGAGCAGATGGAAATAAGAGATTGAGAAGAAACCTAATATGCGGACGCGCCTGAGGCTTTTTCTTGTGCATTTAGGAACGGGTTTTGAGGCTCTGTACGCGGTCCAGCAGAAGCGAAAGAGCTGCGCCATTCCTGCGGCTCACCATGCACCGAGGCAATCCGGCGGAATTGCGGGCGACTGGTGAACGGACACTGACCAATGAATTCGGCTGATGGGGCGACGTGGTTGCGCTTCCGCCGACGCTGCAGGTAGAAGCCGAGGAGGATGATCAGAATGAGAGTCGTAGAGCCTAGGATGGCGCCGACTATAGCGCCGATGTCGAGGTCTTGGGACGTTGCACCTGTGGCAGCTAGGGAGGTGCTTGCTGGATTGATGTCTCCAGGCAGGCTGGAGCTGGAGGCCTGAGAGGAGGGGTCTGAAGTCAACGTGTTTAGGGGACTGAGCACTGAAATCGCGGGTGAGCTGCCGCTTGGGGCGATCACTACAACGGGTGGACCTGCAGTTTCAGGGGGTGGGTTTGGACTTGGGGTGACAGTGGTCGCGGGCTCAGACGCGGCTGGGGTGGTTGGAGAAGGTGATTCTGTGGATGTGGTAGTAATGGAAGGTGGTGCAGGGAGAGGAGAATTCTGACTGCTGCCTCCGCTTCCGCCATTTTGACCTCCACCATCGCCCTCTCCACCACCGTTGTTGCTGCCATTACCGATGCCATCTTCATCAGAATGCTTATGCCGATTGCTGTCATTATCGCCATCGTCGCTGCCACTGCTTGAGACCCTGTTCGTGTTATTTCTCCTAGCGCCGTCATTATCGCCTTCGTTATTTCTCCCATTCCTATTCCCATTACTGTTGTTGTTTCCACTATTCGAGTCTTTATCACCGTCCCCGCGGTTGTTTCTTCCATCGCGGTCATCGTTGTCGCGGTTCCGGCCGCTATTATTGTCATTGTTGCCCTGTCTGCGATTGCTGTCAACGCTGCGGCTACGACCACGACCACGACCTCCTCGACCAGCGGATTGTCTCTTCCTGAGAGATTGCTGGACGTAATGATCAGTTGCAGAGGTCGCATAGAGAACGGGCAGCAAACTCACCGCGTATTCCCCAGCTAGATTATAGTGTCTAGAACTGAAAGTTCTTCTCCTGGCCGACCTAACAGTGTCCGGAAGCATAGGCAAAGCCCAAGAGAAGACGCCTTGAAACTAGCAAGAAAGCACGCAGAAAAAAGGAGTGAAGGGGGAAAGAGAGTGAGAAAGAGCGACACCAAATATAGCTGCAGCTAGTGCATGGGGTGGGCAGTGAGGGAAAGAAAGAAAGCCAGCCAACGTGCTTGACGACGGCCAGGAAAAGAACGCGCCAACGGATGATCAGTTCAGCGGGGGTTGTACAGGGGCCTTGAATCCGCATGACGTGATGACATGATCTCTCTCCGTCACTCCCGCAAACTCGCCCCGCGCCTTCCCCACATTCTCCGCCGCACAATGAAGGTCGTCCCCGTCCCCGTCCGCGATGACAACTACGCCTACCTCCTCATCGACGACGCCACCAACAAAGCCGCCGCCGTCGACCCCTATGACGTACCCAAGGTCGCTGCAGCGGCAGCTACTCATGGAGTTGAGATCGTAGCTGGCATCACCACCCATCACCATTACGACCACAGTGGAGGGAACAAGGTCACTACTATGCCTAGACTGAACGAGCATGTTCTGACGACACTCTAGGAATTTGTATGCTCTCAGTGCTCTTCGTCCTGCGGTTTCCTGACCTTTTGCAGTCCAAGAAGTACCCAAACGCACCCATCTACGGCGGAAGTGACAAGATTCCTGCATTGACTAAGCTTGTCAAGGACAAGGACATCTTCTCTATAGGAGAAAACATTCACGTCAAGTGAATACATGTCTGCTTCCAAATATCCCTCCATTCATTCTTCAAATCAGATGCTTGGCGACTCCCTGCCATACCCAAGACTCCATTTGCTACTACGCCACCGATACAGTCGAAAAGGACCGCCCCGGAGGCGCATTCACAGGAGACACGCTGTTCATTGCAGGTTGCGGTCGTTTCTTTGAGGGTGTCGGATCAGAGATGGTCGCTGCCTTGGAATACCTGGGTTCTCTCCCAGACGACACGGTCGTTTACAATGGTCATGAGTACACTGCAGGCAGCCTTGCCTTTGGAAAGCATGTCGATCCTACAAACCCTGGACTTGCAAGGCTTGCCGACATCGTGAAAGTGAACAAGATCACGACTGGCCTCACTACCATCGGTGACGAAAAGGATTGGAATGTTTTCATGCGATTGGGAAGTGAGCCCGTAAAGTATGTCACCGCTGCCGTATTCCACAGAGATTAACATCTTTTGTCATATTGCAGGAAGGCAACTGGTGCCTCTGCTGACACTCTGAAGAGTGCCATCATGGATTCGTTGCGAGAGCAAAAGAACAATTTCCGGGGGTGAGTCGACAGTGCACTTCGATCACGGGAATCTTCTTGTATGTATGCCAGCACAATCAGACCAATGTTGTAACACCAGAGATGCGAATACATAACATTTCACGAAGAACAAGAAAACATTAGGTCCTACTGTAAGGGTGGTGGAAACAAGTATAGGAACAATCCTTCGAAGGGTGGGTTCGGGACTCGACAGCTGCTTTAGCCTAGCCCGACGGCTTTTGAAACGGCTGCCCGTGCATAGGGAATGTAGGACAGTGTGTACCAGGTGTAAGCCAGGAACTCGATGAACACAAAGACTAGAAAGCTGCATTAGAAGGGTGTGTGAAGGGCCATATTGGTCAAGCTTACTGAGGCAAAGAATCTGCCGAAGACAAGCATAAGCAAAGTCTGCCAAGATGACACAAACACTCAGAACACGTACCCCGTTCCGCAGCACGAATGCTCCTACAAAGACGAGACCTATGGATGCTAGGAAGACGACTGACGCCACCACACGAACAGGTTTGAACATCTAGGGGTCACAAGCTATTAATGGGCGCTATGTGTAAAATCCTGTCGACTCCGCTTACAAGTTTGAGTTGTTTGAAGAACTGGGTAATTTAAGACGTCTATGAGTACACAGAAGGGCGAAATAGGCCATGCTACGCACTCCAATGAGGAATCCTGTGCCGATAAGTGAAATGACGGTTCCGAGTCCGTATAGCACTTGAGAGCACATCGAGCGTGTGAGCGCAGAGCACGAGGCAGAGCATACGCGACGTACGAGCAAACATTAGCAGCTGGCCGAACGTCAACAGGATGGTACCCAGAAGACTGAGCACGAAACCCGCGATCAAGCTAGTATCCCCCATGTAACCCTCAATGAGCAATCTCTTCCTGACCGCGGCCCTCGATCCAGGGTACTCACCAGCCCGCGAAACCATACAACCGTGTTGTCCTCGAGAGGTTGAATGCCTTGAACGCGGAGTCGCCTTCGAAGAATGATGTGTCTGGAACGACGCCGTTTCCGGCTTCGAGATTGAACCACCCTTTGCCTGGAGCCATTCGGGCAGTCTTGTCAAAGCAGAATGTTAAGGTGAGGGTGTAGGTTCAGGTGCGAAATTAGGGCGAGGAGGGCGAGGGCAAGGGAAGTGCTGTGCCAGCAGCGTGAGTTACTCGTATGAGCGGGAAAAGCAAGGCCGCAGGACAAGACGGGGACTACTTACACGTGATCCGATCCCGAACTCGCCTCAAGTTCAAACACCGCAAGCGCCCAGGGATGAGCAAGAAAAAGAGATGCCATTACAAGTGTGAACGTTTGAACAGCTACGGAAAGGTAGAAAAAAAATTGAGCGAAAAGAAAGGAGAGTAATCGAGCTGGCCCCGAACGAAGTTGTAGTAAGTGGTAATCATGAGTACAGACAGCGGAGTACATGTCGTAGCAGTACCAAGGGAAAATGAGGACCATGTTCAATCAAGTCGGAGAAGCATAGCAGGTCGTAGCAAAGATAAACGTGGGAGATAGGTGAGCGGTGTGTTCCTCGGGTTGTACAACAAGCGAGGAGAGAGCAACAGGCACGAAACTAACGACAACACCTCGATTACGAGGCAACCTTTCGGCGGAGAGCCTCTTGGACATCCGACAGCGCACGCGCAGTCTCCATCGTTGCTGAGCCACCTGGAAGGATGGCCAGACGTTGTTTTGTGGTGTTCAGAGATGACTGGACGGTGGGGATAACCCGCGGGATGAAGTCAGCGATGAGTTTGTCCTGCAAGGAAAATAGACAAATCAGCTGCGACAAGGAACAAGAAGGAAATAATAGACGAACATCAGGGCGCAGGAGACTCGCCACACGCTGCAGCCACCACAACGAGGTCTTGAAGGCCTCATCCCCAGGAGCAGTGTCACCGACAACAGCTGACAGCTACAGGTGCCCACGTCAGTATCAGATGACTTATGTGGGGTATACAGATGTCGAATAGACGTACCCTATGAATAAGCGTCAAGATGACAGCTTGGGACACGAGTGGAGGCCCATTCAACGGCAAGACAAGGTCTGGGTTCGTCCGCAACAACAAATCTCGCAGCTTGGTCTGGTCTTGCGAGTGCAGCACACCGAGATAAATCTCGTCCCATTGGTCTGGCTTGATGGGCGGCGTCCGGTCTGGCTGTGGCGCCGACGGAGGGGGCTGAGGAATGGTCGCGGGGTGCGAGGCCTGAGGCGCCGCGATGGTGTTGTACCACGGCTGAACGGGTGGCTGCTGCTGTTGGGGAGGGGGCTGCTGGAACTGAGCAGGATGCGTTTGGGTGTAGCCCGTTGGGGCATTGACAGGAGGAATATTAGCCTGGCGGAGGTGGGACGGGCCTAGGTTAGCTTGCAGTTGGGGTGGAGGACCTCCAGGAGAGTTTTGAGGTTGCTGAGTCGGCTGCAGGTGATGGAGGATGGGCGGGGGTGCATTCATGCTGAGATACTTCACTTGCTCGGACAACGCTCGCACGGTGTGCTCCAGCTCGCGAATGGTTGTCTGCCCAGTCGCGTTCAGTCAACATATCCGAGACAGACCCAGGTAGGGCTCACCTCGTGGTTTCTCAGCGACTCGCTATGCCACTTCGCGAACTCCGACTTCATGAGAGACAGCTCCGACCTGAGCTCCCTCGTCAGATCCTGCTGCATGCTAGCAGTTTGTTGCGCATGGAATTGGAAGAAATTTGTCGTCAGGATTTCCTTAATCTGGCGCTCAATCGCGGGCGCTAAATTTGAAGACAAGAGACCAGCGTAATGATTCGATATCGATGAGCGGAGGAGGCTCTTCTCCAGCTCTGGGGGCAATTGCTAGGGATATCATCAGACCATAGATTGCACAGCCTGATAGTGGGGTTGACATACCCTGCTAACCAGATCTGCCAAAGTGGTGGCGACTTGCTCATTGAATGCGGTCTTCAGTTCCGTCTTGGTCATGGTTTCAAGCGCAGGCAGTACCGAATTCTGGATCTCCGTCTTGACAGCCATTTCGACGACCCGAGTGGTGTTCCTCGTCAACTCAGTGGAAATGAGCTTGAGGATCTTCTCCTGGCGCGCAAAGTCCTCAGCCTGCTCATGCAGACGTGCCTCTTCCAGGCGTTGATCTAGGACACGTTTAAGCTACCCAGAACAACAGAACCAAGCAAAGACTACCAAGGCACTCACGTTGTTTATCCATCTCCTTGTTGATCAGGCGTCCGATGCGATTGTGCAAGTTGTCTTCAGTCTTTTTCATCTCCTTGGTAAGGGCCTGACCAAGAGCGGATGACTCGACAATAGAGAGCTCGGTTGACTTGGAAGCCTTGTCCTTGTTGATCTCCTCTTTCTCCTTCCAGTTAACGTTCTTCCCCTTCACACCCCTGCCCTTCTGATCTCCACTGCCAAACTCGTTGTCCACGTCATCAGAAGGCGGTGTCCTATTCCGCGGTGGAGCGAACTGGACAGACGAGGGCTGTGACATCGCAGGCGGCATGGGCAGCGGGGCACGTTGCAGCTGCGGCTTGTTATCGAGAGGGGGCATGTACGGCGTAGATATATCGATCGGAGGTAGCTTACTTTCAGCGCTAGCGAGCGCTTGGTCGAACCACTCCCTGCGGATGAGGACTTGGTCGACTCCGGAGGAATGGACGGAGAACGCGACAAGAACTAGTTCGCCAGGAGGGACTTTAGCTGCAACACAGGCCGCGAGCGCTTCGTCGCCGTGCGGGTCTGCATCAGCAGTCAAGATGACGAAGTGGATCGTCGGCTTGATGCCCGTGAATTCAGATCCAGCCACGAACGCTCTCCTCCCCAGTGGCGAACGAGGGCTCGATGTGAACCTTGAGGGCGATTAAGCTTTCTCGGCGGCTGTTAGCTACCCAAAGCGTCTGGATCCTAGAGTCGTAGCTAATGTGACCAAACATGTCCGGGTCTTCTTGCGCGCTATTAATGAATTTGATCGTCGAAAGAATGCTCTTGTTGGTCATCGAAAGAAGCTGGAAGATGGTTCCATTCCTTCTTCCCACCACGATCCCGCCATCGACGAAAGTCAAAGACGAAGGAATGTCTTCACCGCGAATCTTGTGTACAGCATAGGGCAGGCTGTCGTGCATATTCCAAATGGTGAGGCTCGAGTCTTCAGAGATAGTAGCAAGGGCATGGTGAACAACATCGAAATCAAACGCGACAACAGTCTAAAACATTAAGCTGTCAGAAAATGGTAACAAGAAGAGAAGTGTGATAAAGAAACATACAGATGGAACATTAAACGGTTGGCCAATATGGTGAAGGTCAGAATGAGGCAAGGGCTGGCCATGGAGAGCATGAGTGTTTGCCAAGTCAATGACATAGATCTGGTTATCAGACGCAATAGCAAGTGTGTCAGGGTCTTTGGGATGCCACTTGACAGCACGGATGGCATCAGAGTCGTTGGTTGGTGGAACACAAAGGAGGATGCGTCCGCTAAAGGGAGAGAAGTAGGTAAACAGACTTGAAAGGAAGGTGAACAACACTCACGGAACATCATCGGTAATGAGTTCAGGCAACTCCCAAACAACGAATCCACCATCTGAGGTCACTCCTGCCAATCGGTTGACGTAGACAGCCATGTCGATGACACTTGACGCCTGCGAAAATATTTGAGGAAGCTGAAGGAGAGTCCTGTCTCCACTTGAACGAGAAATAACGCGAACGCGACCTGGAAACAAATCAGGGATCGAGTGATTTTCACAGAAAGAAGTACGCTTACCCCTGGTCATTGCATATGCGACCCAGTGGGTAGCCCCAATCGTAGTTCCTGGCAAAAATACAGAATCCTGCCTAACGAGAGCGATAGCTGTGGACTTGACGGCATCACGAGCCAATATTTCCTCCAAAGGCAGAGAAACATCGAAGATAATAGTTTGCGATTGAGGACTAGGAAAAACCGTTAGAAGTCTGCAAGAAGAGTTATCCGTAAAAATTACCTAGGCGAACGTGGCTTGCTGAATTTTAGCCCTGGTTGACCCGCTCGAGGAGCTCCACCACGACCTCTAGGGCCGGGAGAACTGTCTTTGTCCCGACGGCCTCCGGAGCCGGGATAAGGAGCTTGCTGGCTATTGTTCACCTCGGCAGCACGAGGCTGGGGACGGTGCAATGGTTGACCCTTGGGTGATCCTCCGCGGGGTGAACCAGTCACATTGGGAATGGGAATGGGAACAGACACGGGCTTTGAAGCAGGAATAGGCGGAAGCGGGGCTCGGATCGGCGCGGACTCGCCCTGCGAGTAATCGCTGCTCAAGTAGGACTCGTAAGCAGGAGGTTGGGGTTGGGTTTGTTGGGGCTGGCCGCGCGTCAAATTCTCCAAAAGGTTTTCCATGGATTGGCGCTTAGGATCTGTGACGGAAGTCCAGGATGAGTCCTCGTTGCCGCTGGAAACGTTCGACGGTTGAGGCGGGACAGCTTTCTTCTTGATGGAACCGGTCGATGAAGACAGATGGTCGAAGGGTGACGTGAATTCGAACATGGATCTACGCGGCGAAGGTGGCTGCTGTTGCTGCTGCTGCTGTTGCGGCGGCGGTGGCGCTTGTGGAGGATGCTGTAGGGGGCGGGCCCTTGGAGAAGTCTCAGCAGAGTGGTCGTGGGGTTGGAAACTTCGGAAATCATCGCGAGTATAAGGAGGAGAAGGGGCCTGTGGGTTGCTTCGTTGTGTGTCAGAATAAGTGGTTGATCGTGAAGTAGTTCTGCATTCGAACAAGACAGTCAGCGATCACGTCAAATCAGAGTAGAGGATAGAGAGCACGCACCCTCCCATAATTTGGTCGAGTATCTTTTGGGTTTCGGTTTGCTGGGGCGATGCATTGGATCGCTGGGAGCTTGAACCAGGAGGCGTCGGGACCTGCTGAGGTAGATTCTGAGGCGGCTGCGCGACAGGTTGGGGGCGCGGTGCCGGAGGCGGGCCACCGCTGAGGAGACTCAACAAGGCATTCTGCCTTTCAGTTGCAGTGGAGCTGTTGCTGGCGGATTGGGAGTTGACTGGTTCGTCGGGGGGCAGGGGCGCACCGGGCGCCAATGAGGCGGAGTCATAGATTTCGGACGGATGGGAGTCGAGAGTGGACTGGTGGTCGGGGGCGGGGGGAGAGATGCCCTGGAAGAGGGAGTCGATGAGGCTTGGGGACGAGTTGTTGGATATGTGCTGTGGAGAGAAGGGGTGCTGGGCCTGCTGAGAGCTGGGGGGGGTTGAGTTCCTGGAGAAGAGGCTCTCGTGCAGATTTGGACGGTTATCCATCTTCTGGACGTAGCAGGAGACAGAGAAAGAGCAGAGTGGCCGCCAATTTTCGAGCAGACTGAACACGCCCAAAACACGAGGCTGAGGCGTTGCTCGGCACTCCCCGCTGCCTTTTCCGGCCCACTGCCTCCGCTGCCCTCCAATTCCCCTGACTCACTTCGGCCACTCTCGACCTCTTTTAGTGCGCCCTGGGTCCACAATGCTGCTTCTGTCCACACATATCCTTGGGGCACCTCTCGCCGCCCCTTGCCTTTAGCGCTAGACATCATCGCATGACCCGAGATTTCCCCAAACACTCGCAAATAATAGAGATATAAAAAACCTCTACTCCTCAGCAGGGTCTCTCCATCCTCCATCTTTACTACCACAACCACAACTCGCACCACTCGAACCAACAACCATGATCGCTGTACGTCTCCACCCGCCCCCCCTCCTCCATTATGCTAACCGTCGCCTCGTAGGTCGCCAACACCCCCGTTAACCAAGCCGGCTGTGGTAGCACCTCCTGCAACTGCGGCGCTTCGTGAGTGTCGTCCTTGCCACTGTTCCAGATCCGTCTCTCAATCTCGTCGTAACAGCTGCGCCTGCAAGCCCGGCGAGTGCAAGTGCTGAACGCCCGGCCCCCCATCGCGACTAGCCCCGTGAACCGACTCGGAGAATGTATGACGAAGACGAAAGACCATTTCTTGTATAATTTGTTGGAAATAACACATATGAATCGTGCCCTGCTTCTTGAGAGGCCTTGAGATCAACCCACCCACACCGTGGGCTTCAGGAGTCTATTTCCTCGGCTTGCCACGATTGACGTCCATCAACACTTGTGCAAAGTGAATTTGAATTGGGGGCGTATCCACTTACCTAGTTCCTGATAACGCCTACGTCGGGCCGGATCGAGTTCCTGCAGCCGTTTATACAGCTCTTTACATTCCCCTAATAGCGAAGTGACGTCAACTTCATCAGCGCAGCTCTTCACAAGGAGTCGCTTGTAGTGGACAATGGATTCCATGCACCCTATACACGTATAGATATGTCAGAAACTTTCAGGACAGGATGAAAATACCGTTACATTTGCTGTCTGGCTGCTCGTCTAGCAGTTCTTGAATCGCGGTGATCTCTCTTTCCAGAATCGTTTTGCCCCCGCCTGTCCGTGACAGATGAGACAGTCGTTGCCGTTGACGTTGATATCTCACCTGTCCCCACCAACCAGCGATGATACATCCAGACACTCTGGTCATTCGGATCTGTATACATGGCATTCCGCAACAATTCAAACTCTTTTGGGGAAACATTAATCGCAGCACGACGGATGGAGCAACGTGCGTTCGTACCTTCTTCTCTAGACTTTGCCTCATCCAGCTTTCCTTGGGCCCAGAGAGACGTCAGGATCTTTGACCGTTGGTGCCACGCAGAGAAATTGGAGAAGTTTGTTTCGATCTTGCGAGATGTGTACGCAAGTTCGGCCGATTCTGGTTTGGCATTGGGCATTCTCGCCAGCACGTACCGCCGGTAATTCCAGGCGTGGACTAGGAAAGACCCTTGGTAAGCAGGCGTTGCCCTATAATCATATCGCACGCACAGTTTCTGGGGTCAGTGTCTAGCATCTTCTCAACGACGAAGAGTTCCCTATCCCAGGCACTCTGCTTCCATCCAAGATGCGACGGCTCGGACTCCTGCCCCGGCACATTCGGCACATTCTCGAGGCACCATCGCCGGTGGTTCCATATCCAGTACACCTTGGGATGGGCCTTGAGCGCGGACATGGCCATAGCCAGTTCGTCCGTGAGGACGCTCTTGATCTCATCTGGCGAACTGAATCAAGGTTGTCAGAAACACAGGCTCGGGGCCGCGGGGCGTACCTTTTAGCAAACGTCCCGTTTATGAGAATTTCCCGCCGGTAATTCCAGATGGTGTAGAACTCCGGGTTCACCTGCAGCAGTCGCGTGGTCAGGTTGAAGGCGTCTTGGGACCAGTCGCCATCCTTCTTCTGTTGATTGGATGGGAGGTGAGGATTGGTGGGATCAGAGGGAAAGGAGCCCACCTGCCTTCGATAGGACGGTCTGGGATAGGCTGGTAAATTCTTCGATCTTAGTTTGCTCCTTTCGCTTTCTGGCTTCGCGCTCTTCGGGGGTTTGGCGTGTTCGTTTGACATTGTGCTGCCTCGGTTGTAAATATGCAGAATACACGGGCGATGGTGTCACTGAACGTACCATTGCGCTGTGAGAAGCTGATAAGAAGGATGAGGTTCAAAGTCAAGTGCGATGCGGACCTGCGCAGTGGTCTCGCGCCATAGCGTTGTCTGTTTGGTTCCGAGGCTGTTGACGCGATTCGGACTTCGTGCCAAACTTCAGTTCTGCAACAACCTCCAAGCCCCGAGTCGAGCCCCTCCCCCACCTCGATCAATCAGCCAAAACATGCCTTCAGTGGCGGAGAAGAGGACCTCAATAGAGGAGCTTTCCTCCTTATTTCCCCTGACGTTCCCAATCCCACAACCGTCGACACATCCTGACTTGATTACGACGAAAGACCTCCACCGGGAAGAAGATCTCCTACGAAACCCCACGTCCTTTCGGTCATGGTGGAATGCTATCAACGCGATGCGCGAGAACTACGTCGTTCAGTCCAAGCTAGACCCCGATACCGCCAACCTCCCCCAAGACGTCCTCACCATCCTCGGGCCCCTCGCGTCCCCGTTTGCGCGTCTGACCCTCCAGCGCCTGACGTATACTTACGAGGCAGCCCTAACACAGTTCCCCAACTCGTTCAAGCTGTGGAAGTCGTATTTGAACATTCGCGTATCGTTCGTTCTGGGAAAGCCGGTGGTGAAGAAGCGCGCAGGAGGGAAGAAGAAGTTCCCTGAGATGAAGGAGGCGTTGGAGGAAGGATCAGAGGAGTTGCCGGAGTGGGAGACGCCTTTGGACCCCATTGTAGGCTGGGAGGAGTGGAGAGCGTTGATTGCCACGTTCGAACGCGCTCTCATGTGGCTACCGAAGGTACGTGCTAAAGCATTTACGCCTTCTTGAATGGTTTTCTTAAAGATGACCAATTCGTAGCTCCCTCGTCTTTGGTTTATGTATTTTTCAATATTCTTCCATCCCCGGTGTCCCTCTGTTCTCTCTGTTACGCACGGGCGCCGAACCTTCGATCGCGCTCTACGAACGCTACCACCATCGTTGCACGCTCGCGTATGGAGCCAATACCTTCTATGGGCCGAGCGAAAAGGAGGAGAAACGATGGTATCTGTCTATCGACGGTATCTCGCAGTTGACCCTAGCATCACGGAGCGCTTCACTGCCCTGTTGCTCTCTCCCACATCTTCCGCCCCTCGCCCTCTAGAAGCCGCAAAATTGCTTCTTTCACTTGCAGGAAAAGCAGCTAGAGGAGCATACACAAGTCCTGAGGGGAAGAGCCCTTACCAACTACTGGAAGATTGGATCGAAGTGGTCGAAAAATATCCTGAGGAAGTCGGTTTGGGCGTTGAGGACACCGTCGAATCAAACGACGTCATTACCAAAGCTGAGGAAGAGGAAGAGGCAGAAAAGGCTCGCCTATCCCAGTCAGAACCTGCGTCGATGACCGGACCATTAATCAGGATGGGTGGGCCTGCTGTTACTGTCACAGCAAACGAAAAGCAAATGGGCGCGTACGACGAAGACGAAGACCCTTCAAGCACCCGAAAACTGAACGTCGAAAATATCATCCACAAAGACGGTCTTGCTGTGTATAAAGACCAAGCAGGCCGGTTGTGGACGGGGCTGGCGACCTACTGGATCAAGCGGGGCGAGTTCGACCGCGCAAAGGACGTCTTCGAGGAGGGGATGAAGTCGGTGCTGACCGTCCGCGACTTCACACAGATCTTCGACGCGTACGCGGAGTTTGGTGAATCTCTGATCAGCGCCTTGATGGAGGGTCTAGAAGATGAGGAGGATGAAGAGGACGCTGCTGAGACGGAGAAGGAGGTTGACGTACGGATGAAGGAGTTCGAAGCGCTGACAGATAGACGGCCGTTCTTGATGAACGATGTGCTGATTCGAAGAAACCCAAACGATGTCCAAGAGTGGGAGAAACGAGTCGCTCTATGGGGCGAAGATGATGACCAGGTATGTTTCTCTTCGTGTCCATTGTGTCTTCAGCATTCTCAAATCAGCGCTCCCTAGGTCGCCAAAACGTATACGAAAGCTCTGGAAACCATCAACCCTCGAAAGGCCACGGCCAACTTGCATAGACTCTACGTCAATTTTGCCAAATTCTACGAAGAAGGCGGTGTTGCAGGCGAAGCTGAGCCTGATCTCAACAATGCTCGAAAGATTCTGGAGAAGGGGACAAAGGTCAATTTCAAGGCGGTGGAAGATCTTGCTGAAGTTTGGTGTGAATGGTCAGAGTTGGAACTTAGGCATGAGTAAGTTCAGAACGCGGTCGCCAAGAGGAAACTCATCTAACAAACTATTTCCAGAAACTACGATGAGGCCATCCGGGTGATGCAAAGGGCGACTGCTGTTCCTAGAAACACCAAAATTAACTATCACGACCACGTAGGCATTTTGATTTCCTTTGCTTCGTTCACATCCTGATGCTCTATAGTCACTGTCTGCGCAAGCCCGCTTGTTCAAGTCACTGAAGCTGTGGTCGTTTTACGTGGACCTCGAAGAATCAATCGGCACTGTTGAATCGACGAAGGCAGTCTACGACAAGATCCTGGAACTCCGGATTGCCAACGCACAGATCATCGTCAACTATGCTGCATTCCTCGAGGAGAACAGCTACTTCGAAGAAAGCTTTAAGGTGTGTCCTAACACACTGCGACGCGTCGGACAGCTTTTCTGATCATATCTCTAGGCATATGAACGGGGTGTTGAACTCTTCACATACCCTGTTTCCTTCGAGATCTGGAACATCTATCTGTCCAAGTTCGTGAAACGATATGTAAGTCTTCGCGAACAACGTCCACTCTACAGCCTTTTGACCCTTCATGCAGGGTGGGTCCAAGTTAGAGCGCGCAAGGGACCTGTTCGAACAAGCTCTTGAGAAGTGTCCCCCAAAGTCGTGTAAGCCGCTCTTCCTCATGTATGCCCAGTTGGAAGAAGACTACGGCCTCGCCAAACGCTCTATGGCGATCTATGAGCGTGCTACACAGGCAGTCAACGCGGAGGATAAGTTTGAGGTAGAGCTTGTTCTTGTACTTTGCCGCATACGATCCTCACCTTTCCTTTAGATGTTCACTATCTACATCGCCAAAGCGACGGCCAACTTCGGTCTTCCAGCCACGAGGCCGATCTATGAGCGAGCCCTGGAGGGTAAGCACCTTGCTTCACTGAGGTTGAACCTATGTATACTGACTCACGTTCTCCAGTGTTGCTGGACAGGCAAACGGCCGAGATGTGCTTGCGATTTGCTGCCCTCGAACGCAAACTGGGCGAAATCGACAGAGCCCGTGCGATCTACGCACATGCATCTCAATTTTGCGATCCCCGCGTCAACCCTCGCTTCTGGAGCGAATGGAACACCTTCGAGATCGAGACAGGCTCGGAGGACACTTTCCGAGAAATGTTGCGCATCAAACGGAGCGTTCAGGCGCAATTCAACACGGAGGCCAGCTATCTGGCTGCACAGACCACCAGCGCGAGAGAAGGGACGAGGCAGGCGGAGGAGGCCTCCGAGGCGCCAGATGCCATGGCTGCTGCAGAGAAGCAGACGTACGGCGGTGCATTCGTTGCTGCAAAGGCTACTGGCAATGGTGTTCCTGCAAACGGCGAAGAGGCCGCTGCGCCCCCTCAAGCAAGCAACGCGGACGAAATTCATATATCTGACGACGAAGATATGTGATTCATCTCTGTTGTGTGTTATGCATGCCTTCTTTTGTTGTAAATTTAATACCACCTACACAACGCTATCCCCACCGTTCCACTTCTGCTTCGCAGAGATCTTCCCAAGCCGCAGCCCATCCGTCGTCCTGCAGCCATGGCTGTTCAGCCCACTGTTTGATTATATTTCGGGAATCTTCGAAGGTGAGGGAATGGGGACGCAATTTGTCAACAAGCTCGACATGCAAAGCTAGCGACCTGTGATACGGTGGTATGACTGCAGGTATACGGGTGACTGGGGGAGAGTTTAATCAGATCCAAGGAACACTCGAAACAAGGAAGGTACTCACCAAATTTCTCCAGCGACCAGGTAGTCCATAGAGGTTCCTCCTGTACCCATTCGCAGCCTTTAGCTTTGTGGGCTTCGACCAATAGGGATTCCAGATTGTCGATGATGTTGTTCATCCTTTGGAATTGTTTTTGCTGCGAAGAAATTCATGTCTCATCCTTCTGGAATGGGATGTGCGCATCTTACGAGTTTACTGAGGACGGAATCCAATCTCGCGATGCAACTGTCCATAATAGCCAGCTTGGGGCCTACCAGGTGCGTTCGTGGTTTCCCATCTGAAATCAACTTCAAGGTATTCCTAGCTAGTCAAGTTTATTTCGAACCGGAATAGGATAAACAGAAGACGTACTCTAAGTCTGTCCGTGTGTCAACTAACTCTCGAGCTGCTTTCAAGCCGTCTAGGAGAACGAGATCATCCCATATCTCCGTGACTGAACGAAGCTCTTGCAAAAGAGTTCTTGTCTTCCGATGGAAGGTGGATTCCGCTTGACGTGAAGGGGAAGCGGGCGAATTTGGTGCTTTTTGTTGAGCAGGCGATGAAGTGGGCGTAGAGGGGCCACGGAAGGATGCCAGTCTACTACTCATTGTTGAAGAGCAAGAACGTAGCTCGTTGGCGTCGACCTTGAAAAGATAAGATAACAGTTGTTATGTAGTACTTGGTTCTGAAGCTGTTGAGGTGTTTGGCTTGGCAACATTATCCAAGAATATCTTTTGCAAGTTTTGGACACAATCGCATTCGACGGCCCAGCCATGGCTCACAAAAGAAAGAACAGAACACATCTCAAAGACGCTGCAAAAGACGACAAGAGCTCAAATAGCGCACCAAAATCATTTATCATCAAGCATGGTCAGGTTGGATCCTCTCTGACCCAGCTTGTGCGCGACATGCGCAAAGTTATGGAACCCAATACTGCTTCGCGCCTTAAGGTAAACAAATCACTAATATGTTGATGGTAGCTGACTGACATATGGTCGTTTGTCGTTTGCAGGAAAGGAGTCGCAACAAACTGAAAGATTTCTTGAGTATGGGTCCTGCTCTGCAGGTATCTTATATCCTTGCCTTCACCTTGACACCTCTGTCACCGTCACTACGAATCATCAAGCTATCGGATGGCCCGACACTGAGCTTCAGAGTCGAGAGATATAGTTTGATGAAGGATGTCCTAAATACATCGCGTCGAGCTCGAAGTGTGGGGATGGAATATCTTAGTCCTCCTCTGGTACACCCTTTCCTAGGACATGATATCTGGTTTACTAAAATTTCGAATAGCTTGTCCTTGCATCATTCCCTCGGCCGTCTCCAACAACACCGCCGCACCTTCCACTTCTCATGAAGTCCTTCCAATCATTATTCCCGCCTCTTTCCCCTCATACACTGAGCCTATCTTCAGCCCGCAGAGTGGTTTTGATATCCTACAATGCAGAGCGCGGCACGGTTGATTTCCGACACTATATTATCAAGGTTAAGCCGTATGGCGTTTCTAAAAGGGTCCGTCGCGTGCTTGATGCTGCCTCGCACGCTGGGAAGAGCAGCTCGGGAGTGCTAGATCTTGGTAACGAAAGGGACGTTGCGGACTTCTTGCTGAGAAAACGGGGAGAACCAGGGCTAGACGGAGGATATGAAAGCGCGGCCTCATCGGCGGAAAGCGTAGCTGGAGACGACGGGGATGCTGTCGACCTTGCTGGAGATTACGTCGGGAGAAACAACAAGAAGGGTCAAAGACGAGCTGTGCGACTTGACGAAGTGGGCCCTCGGATGGAGCTGCGTCTAATCAAAATCTCGGAAGGTGTGCCAGGAAAAGAGGGCGCTGTTATGTATCATGAATTTGGTAAACTGTCTTGTTATTTTTGCAGGAGGTGCTTTTTCTGACGTATACGCTACAGTCAAAAAGACCAAAAAAGAAATTGCCGCGCAGAAGGCTGAACATGCAGCCAAAGCCAAGCTAAGAAAAGAGAGGAGAGAGGAACAGGAACGGAACGTTCAGCGGAAGAAAGCCAAAACTGCGGGACAAGAAAAGGACGCATCGGAGGGCGAAGAAGACAGCGGAGATGAGGATGATGGGCTTGGGGAGTGGGACGAGGAGGAAGACATCAGCGAGGGAGAAGAGGAGGAGGAAAGCGCGAGCGAAGCAGAAAGCTCTGAAGATGAGCGTCCAGCAAAAAAGGTAAAAATTAGAGGGAAAGGCTAGCCAGTCACGTCCTCACTGAGATTGCAATGATTATTTGATTGTGAATGGGGATTGAAATATAGTATGGCAATACAACTACCAAATTGACAGAGCGGTAAATATCTTATTTCCATAGTCGCTCTAGTCTCATCTTGACGCCTTCCCAATTATCTAGTGCTGGCCGAGCGTCCAGATAGAACGAAAGGTTCTCTTTTGAAGGGTCGGCGTTCCGACCTGTATAGAAGTCGATGACATACCGCACTCGGGTTCCACAACGCTCAATAACCCAATCATGACGGTCAAAAGGAGCGGCGTACCTAATCCAGAGCATTAGTTTTGAACAGGGACAGGATCGGAAGGATTCAACTGACCCAAGAAGCATATTTAACCGTGCCTTAGGGCTTTTATCGCCAGGTCGACCTTTGAAATTGACCAGCTTTATTCCACCACAAGCATCTCCGCCCTTGCCCTCCTCCCATTTCAGGATTTCTGACCATGCGCGCTCATTGACGGCATTATGGATAGGAACGATGGTCTTCATGTCCGCGGCTTGAGGATTATGATTCTTACGCGCCATGGCAGCAAAGAATTGTGCTTCCGAGGGGTACACCCATTTCTCGTTCTCTCCTTTAAGTATTGACGATATTTCACGTTCTTGAGAAAGGGTAACTGAGGCACGACCGGGTGAGCTGGAAGAAAAGAGACGGCTCCACGTCGACTCAGACTCCTGTGAGGTGTGGTCGACTGGACAAGACTTAGCAGCTGAGTGGTGGACTGGGTAGGAGGGCGGTAGTGTTGCGTGGTCAACAGGGCAGGTGGCAGACGACGACGAAGTGGACGGAGCGGACATGCTTAGCGGGAACAAGCGAATCGCGTTCGGCAGGACTGTCACGGATTAGGTAATCCGTCTCCGCACCGGCAGATGCCAGGCCCGGTCAGGCTTCCCCACAACCATCCCAATATAAAGCACCGGTTACACGAAGATGCTCCATCTCCTAAATCCTCGCAGCACAGCGCTCGACCGCAATTCCAAGTAGTTCATCCGCGATGCCTTCCTCCGACCCCGTTTTCTCGACGCCCCTCACTCGGTTGTTCAAGATCAGCCACCCAGTCATGCTTGCGGGGTACATTATTTTAGTTCCTTCGACTCCCTGTCGCTAATGACGCGCGCCCTTCAGGATGAACGTTGCAGCTGGGCCCAAACTCGCCGCCGCTGTAACCAATTCAGGTTGGTTTGAACGTTGACAGGGACTGGGCTCATACGCATCGTTTTCAGGCGGTATTGGTGTTATTGGAGGCGTTCGCCAGAGCCCAAAATTCTTGAAAGGCTGTATTCAAGAGCTGAAGGCTCACCTGGAAGACAAGGACGCGCCTTTTGGAGTCGATCTTCTCCTTCCTCAGGTTGGGGGCAGCGCTCGCAAAACCAACGTATGTTCTTTCGCCGTGAACTACCCCCATCTCTTGACGTGTTCCAACAGAAAGATTACACGAGTGGCCAGCTTCCAGAGCTCGTCGATGTCATTATTCAAGGTGGGGCAAAGTTATTTGTCTGTGCTGTCGGTGTTCCACCCAAATGGGCCGTCGACAAACTTCATGCTGCCGGTATTCCTGTAATGAAGTGAGTTGCCGGTTTGCCGCTCTTTCAACATGAAGTTATACCTGAAAAGCATGATTGGACACCCTAAGGTAATTGCTTGCTCCTGGTCTGGACCGGAATTTTGTTATGAACCCTCATTCGAAGCATGTTTCAAAGGCACTCGCGCAAGGTAATCGCTGCAACTTTCGGTCAGATTTAGTCTCTGACCCCTGGACGCAAAACAGGTGTCGATATCATTTGTGCACAAGGTGGTGAGGGTGGGGGACACACCGGAGATACCCCTTTCTCGATTCTCATCCCCGCCGTGGTGGATCTCTGCAAATTTACCAAAAGCCCCTTGACTGGCGAACCCGTCGTCGTCGTGGCTGCTGGAGGCATTGCTGACGGCCGTGGTCTTGCTGCAGCTCTTGTGTATGTATTACTGTCACTTAATTCTATAACCTCTTGAGCCAATTTCTTGCGTCGTCAGATATGGCGCTTCAGGTGTTTGGGTGGGCACACGGTTCGTTGCTAGCGTTGAAGCTGGGGCTCCAAAAAAGCACAAGGAACAAGTCCTTAGTGCTGGCTATGATGATATCGTCCGAACCCTCGTATACTCTGGACGGCCGATGAGCGTACGGAAGACTCCATATGTCAACGAGTGGTACGTGTCTTTCACTTTGGATCTGGCGGCCACTAGTTATTAACTTCAGGACCAGGGAAACAAAGAGGAGTCAAGAGCTTCAGGACTTGGTTTCGCAAGGCAAAATACCTCATGACGTTGAGCTTCAGCAACGCCCGGAAAGGTCTCTGGAGGGCAGATCTTGTAAGTCTTTTTTACAGGCGGTGGTATTCTTTCCCTAACCTCTTTTCAAGGGCTCATGGGGCGAGTCGCGGGCTCCATCCGTGATATCAAGCCTGCGAAAGAAATGTCAGTGCAGGTTGTTCTATTTTATTTCGTCAATTTGATCCTGTTTGTAGTGTCGAGGAGCTCGTATCAACTGCTGCGAAGACCTTGAACACTCTTGCGTCCCTTCAGATAGCAAGGGCCAAGCTGTAGTCTCCAGTGATATGAATTTTCACCTCTGTATTTCTACTTCCTGGGTACGATTGGAGGATACAATGACATGCGAAGCTTCACCAATACGAAAATGGAACACTTGCGTCTTCCGTTGACGATTTTGCTGTTCGATGTCAGCATACCTTCAGTCGTCCATTAATTCAGCCAGCACGAGTTCTTCCTCCTCTGTTAAACCTGAATTCGACGGAGGTGCTATCGGCTTCTCTTCTGTTGGCTTTGGAGCTGGAGGCGGTGGGTTCAAGAGTTCTACGAACAAATGATAGTTCTTACATGGAAGCCCACATAGAAAGCAATGTTTACCTGTCAGTTTCCACTTTCGAATCGTCTGATCCAAACTCGTCGTGATAATCCACGGCTCAACGCGCGTCTTCCCGTCCTCTCCTGTCGTTCTTCGGACCCACAGTCGAATAGCTGTGATGTCGTGCCAATGCGCATCCACTTCCCCAAGGAGCTCCGGGTTGCTAGGATCGGAGATATCGTATGTCCTCAGGATATCCCCAGCGGCAGTCAGGAGGTATGGCTCGCTGAGATTGGTCAATGGAAGGGGCAGAATCGCTCGCACAGCTACAGGATGCTCGACGGGCTTTGGGGGATTTGCTTTGACCTTCGTTGCGTTTGGCAATTCTTCTGGGAGGATCCGCACCGTTTCGTCCGCCGACGCTGGGGGAAAGGATGACGTACTGTCTACCCCAGGCAAGGAGAGGACTTACCTGTCCAGAGGTTTCCACCGCCGTATCTCAGCTCGTTGATCCTCGTCCTGTGGTGGTTTATCGTGCTTCTTAGCCGAGCATTCCAGCGGGGCAGAGAACTCGAATCTTTTTCCAGATCCCAGACCTTGATGACGCCCATCGTATCTCCTGTGTAAAGGACGGCAGATGTGTCTGAGAGAGCCTGTCCGTCTAGGCATTCGACAGGACGTGTATGGGAGGAGATGGATCCTAAACTCTTGAGAGACTCTGTACTTTCTGGATTGGAGATATCCCTGTGAAGAGCATCAGAAAAGCCGTTCGCGAAAGCAAGGTTGCTTCGACGTACCAGAATCGTACAATCTTGTCAGAGCTGCCTGACACCAACAGGTGAAGCGAGGGAAAAACATGGAGAGACTTCACGAAATCATCGTGCGCATTTGCCGTTGAAGAAAGGAGCTGCTTGGTCTACGTAGAAGACACACGTTGGTTGGATGAATGATTCTAAAACGAACGTCATACGGTCGTATCCCATAGTTTAATCGACTAAAAATGAGACGCTGCGAAGTTAAACATCGGTTTTCGACCTCTATCGCTCACCGCATACCTTGTCCCATGAACCAGTTACGAGGATCTCATTGTCCCCCGATCGAAAGACTCTGTCGCAGAAGGTAAGAGCGGTGACAGGTCCCGTATGCCCTTTGAAGAGCTGAAGTGTCTTTCCTGACTTTCATCAACGGATCTCAGAAACCTCATTCACGCGGGAACAGAAGCAAGACGCGTTCGTACCTCAAGCTCCAGCTTCCGAATCACGGTCGTATTCTCTGCGATCCAGGCGATTCCATCTCGCACTTCTATCGCCAAAGCTTTGCCAGGGAGCTCCAGGGGATCGCCGAGGGATTTCGTCCGTTCAGCCTTTGCCTTTCTCGCCTGTTATCGTTATCGAATGAGCATCGGAATAGAGTGGGTCGCGGACGTAAGTACCTGATCAAGTTCAAGTTGTGCTTCCGCAACAAGGAAATTGTTCGAGGTGCTCATGGCTGTCAAGGGTCGAATACAAGCAACTCCACAAAAGTAGAATACCATATCGGGGGGTCTTGTTGTGGATATCTCGTCGAGATCTGATATCGGACCTTCTGTTGTCCTTCTCCGAACAGATCAGAGGGGTAAAGGCAAACGGTGCCGAGAACTGAAAGATGCACTGCAGTATAGATAAGAGTAAAAGAGAAAATAAATTATTGAGCAAGACTTCCACGGGGAGCATCTGCTCCAAGACCGAAGGAAATCGCCCGTGGAAGGACTTCGTAGTAGGAATACATAGGTCAAGTAGGTAGTAGACGCAAGACACAACGAAACGGGATGACGGTGAGGCTACATCGATAAAACGACCCGGAAGCGTGAGGCAGGCAGCCGAAAGGCAAGACGAGCAAACCAGAAACGAACCGAGAAAAGTATATACACTGTGGGTAGCAACGAGAGCTGAATGGAGACAACACGTAGTGTGTGAGAGGGCAAGTGAGGCTGAAAAAGGATACAGAGAGGCCGAGATGCGGCGCATCTTGGGCATTTGGAGAGAATACTGTAGGAAGAAGCGTTCTTTTGTTGATACAGTTTCTGGGGGGATATATCGATGCTGTCGAGAGCAGATTAAAGTTCCAGAAGGGGATGAACGAAAGGAGTGGGTTTTCGCGAAAAAGGTGAGATAGAATTGAACGAATGTTGGGGTTGTGCGTATAGAACCTGGCAATCCATTTTCTTCAGAGGAGGAAAGGGGGAGAACAAGAAATGTAAGGAGTGAGAGATCGCGGGCGATTAGAATTCAAGAAATTGATAGGCGATAGGATCGAAGCGCTGTTGGAATGTAGAGTTGCGCTCCTGTCCAGTGAGACCTGGAATTTCATCAGGTGGGGGAAGAGGGAGGTGCAGGAAATGGCGGGTATCATCCACGGATGACGTCCTAGGGATGATGGGAGCCTACAAACACAATGTCGGTATTCAAAACGAGCAAACGAGGTAGGAAATATGACGTACATTGATTTCGCGACGCTCGAGAGCGTCCCAATCGACACCCCTGAACCAAGGGTGGTCGAGGATATCCTGTGGACCACCAATCATGTTGCCCAATCGCTTTGTACGATCGGGATTGAGAAACGCTCTGATGAGGTCCCGAGAGAGCCTATCCATACTTCTAGGCCAGTGAATATGGCCATTCAGAATCTTCTCGTAGATTCCGTATGGGGATTCGTCGAAGAAAGGAGGGTACCCGACAAGCATCTCATAGCACAGAACACCACACGCCCACCAGTCAGCGGCCTTGCCGTGACCATCGGACTGAATGATTTCCGGGGCAAGATATTCTGGGGTGCCACAGAGGGTCCATGTACGATCATCCACGATTTTCGCAAAACCGAAGTCCGTGAGTCGAAGATAACCCCGTGAATCTAAGAGGAGGTTTTCTGGTTTGAGGTCACGGTAAATGATGTTGAAAGAGTGGAGATACTTGAGAGCGAGAATGATGGTCGCGAGATAGAAGCGAGTCACGTCGGGGGTAAAGCGCTGAGCACGTCGAAGGTGCGTGAACAGCTCGCCACCCGGCACGTAGGACATCAACATGTACACGTTGAGGCTGTCCTGGAAGGTGGCGAAGAGGTCAACAACGAAAGGATGCTGGACCCGAGAAAGGATGTAACGTTCTGCGTTGACGTGCTCGACTTGACGAAGTCGAACGATTTCCGTCTTGCGGAGAACTTTCATGGCATAATAGCTTTGGGTGCCAGTCTGAGAGGAGCTTTTGTGGCGAACAAGCAGAACCTTGCCGAAAGTTCCGGTGCCTACAGAGAAGTGTCAGCGTGGTCTGAGATGATAGACACAGGGAGAGACAGACCTAGGGTACCGCGAACTTGGAAGTCTGAGAGCTTTATTCCCGATCGTTGGAGATGCACCTTTTCGTCCTCAAGGAGGCGTTGAGGACGGGGAACAGGATGAATGGGTGTGTCTTCTTCGGGGACGTCGTCGACATCCATGGCCTCGGACGAGGCCTGAGAGAAGGCCTCTGGATCCTTCGCCTGGTTGTCTCGGACTGATTCTGGCATGATATGGGGGTATTGGTCGCCAATGTTGATGGAATCAATATTTTGGTCAGGTTTGGGAGACAATGGGGGAGTCAGCGGTGCGTCCGAGCAGAGGAGCTGGTGTTCCTGGCGAACGGAATAGGATATTGAGGTGCGACGAATTTCGTCTGCGGAGGAGGGGAGGGAGAGGGAACGGGGGATTATTAGGGCAGGAGGGGACATCATAAATTAGGAGGGAAGTTGTGGAGGCTGAATGAGGGTAGGAGTGCTGCGAAAATTAGCAGGGAAGTAGTGAGAAGAGGCGGTACGGGGAGGGCACTGGGTTGATTTGCAAGCTGAGGGTTGGGGCGGCTGGGTTGCGCACTGCGCGGGCAGGAAGAGACAGCAGATGAAGTTGCAGAGAAACAATTATTCGCGACACTCCCACGGTCACACCTCATACGGGTAATCACTTTAGCTCCCGGTCTAGATTCGTTTTCTCCTAAAGGCCAAATACAAATGTCGGAATACCATACAAGTCACACAGTGTTTTCACCTCCCCGCCCTCCCCTGCCCCAGCAGCAACATACAGCGGCACGAAGTGGTCTTCCCTTGGGTGCGACGCACGGAACCCAGGGTGCTTGGGCAGAGCTTGCAGAGCTTTCTTGCGCTCCTCAGCCTGGCAAAGTCTTTAATTGTCCACTTGACTTGGAACGGAACTTCTACTCACAGAGTCGTTCTGAATAGCCTTGTGGATTGCCGCGTCAAATTCCTTGTGGATAGGTTTGGCGGTTTCCGGTGAAAATGATGAACGATCCCTAAGGTTATGCGCAGTCAGTCCGCCTGAAAGCACCAGGATGCCCTCCTCCCTGGAAACAAGATCTATCAGTGCATTAGTTCGACAGGCGGTCGCCATATGCTCCCACCTCAATTTTGCAACAGCTCTGCCAGCTTGCCAATTCTTCTCGGGGTCCATGCTGGAGTCGATCGAAACTTGAACGATCGGGATATCTGTGAACTCCTCTCCAAACATGATACGGAAGGGCACGAATACACCATGGTCCAGTCCAGGGCCCGAGAAACCACGACCATCTTCACCGCGGTTTTCCAGCTTGTTCGTCAGCCTCGCTTTCAAGCCTGCCTAGAGGAGCCGGAATTCAGCTTCACAGTTCGCAAAGATCAATGCAATGCGGACCTCTTTATACAGGTCAACCACCCGTTGCGCAATAACCGTATCTCCCCTTGACTTGAACTTCAATTGGTAGAAACTTTCGGGGAACCCATAGTAGTCCATCAGTAACGGGTTTTCTGCCCCGTAATCGGTGACTAGAAGAGCCTCAGAACAATCAGGACAGGAGGATACGGTGAGCGGTATACCTAGGCGTTCTTCCGTGGTTTCCCAATGAGCACTGAACACAACAATGCCTTTAGGCTTATATTTCCTCAAAAGGGCCGGCCCAAAGGCGGATAGAAACTTGTGCAGCGGTCCAGTTGAACCCTGGTACGACTGAAATGACCCAAGATCGTTGGGACGGTCGGTCCGAGGGAATGCCAGCATAGGTGACCCGTGGGCGAAGAAGAATACTGGGATCTTGTTGGGTGTCTCGGGGAGAGATTCGAGGACTTGTTGGAAATCGGGTGTAGAATACATGTTGCGAGGAATTTGAGTTTGCGTGACCCTCTTTGAAAGAGATTTGAGTCCTGAAAGTAGCGATGGCAGGTTGATGTTCCAGTGCGACAGAAAGAGCGCTGAGATGAGTGTGATCGCGAAGAACTTTGGGAGGCTGGTAGGAAGAGCATGCAGCTGCTGAACGAGGTCACTGGATGGCCTATTTATATGCGGTCCAGCTTGACGCCTTGAAGGGGCGCTACTTATCAGAACGGACCATGAAGAGAATGGTACTCAGTCCCGCTGCTTCCAAATCAATGGACAGATGGGGGACACAGCTCGTAATACGGATGACGACAGTTTTAGTGTGGCGGGTGTTTCTGACCAGTGTCATCCCCTTCTGATTATACATAGTCGTGGGAACGGGTGGGAACTTTATTGCTGGTCCTGGCTACGCTCCTCGGCGATTAGTAATACGCACTCCCTGCACTCGCCTCAATCTTGTTCAGCAGGATGGCAACTCGCACGAAGGTCGGCGGGTGGCTGCAGGGCAAGACAGTGCGCAAAGGCGGCGCACTCGCATCTGCCACCCACACGCGTTCTTCGACACCTCAAGTTCAGAGCACCTCGACAACTATTTTCGGTGGAGGCGTGAAGGATGCGTCGGGACGGACAACGGAATACTTTGTGAGTTTCCTTGCACCCTTCAGTCTTCCATCGCTTTACTTCATTCGTGTCCTGCAGTCCATGGACGATCAATGTCCCGTTTGCAAAAGTGACAGATACCTGAATCCCAAGCTACGCCTCTTGGTCAGTTCATGTTACCACAAAATGTACGCCTCGCAATATCGTGCCTTTCGATTTCTAATACTCACGGTTTGCTAGGTGTGAATCTTGCATAGATCGTCTCTTCACGCTGGGACCTGCGCCGTGTCCAATATGCAACAAAGTCCTGAGGAAACTTGCGTTTACTCCTCAGACCTTCGAAGACTTGACGGTGGAGAAGGAAGTAGCAGTGCGAAGACGGATAGCGAAGGAGTGCGTGACTGTTTTATATCTCAGGACTTGTGTCTGACTAGTCTCTAGGTTTAACAAACAGCGAGGGGACTTTCCTGACCTTCGTTCGTATAATGACTACCTAGAGGAAGTGGAGGATGTCAGTGAGTGTTCCGAGCGCTTCCTACCCATACGCCCTGACGCACTGTCGTCTTGATAGCATTCAATCTCATCAACGACATAGACGTCGCTAAGACAGAGGCGAGGATAGCCGCTTATCGTGCAGAAAACGTGGCGCTTATCGAGCTCAACATCCAACGTGAAGAAGCATATGCACGGGATCTGAAAGAGCAAGAAGAAGCTGAAAAGCGCGAGCGAGAACAACGCGCTGCTCAGCTTCGCCGGGAGGAGGAGGAGGAGAGGGAGGAGAGGGAGAAGGAGAAACGCGAAATCATCGACAGGCTGGAGACGAGCGACAAGAGCGCTGCAAAGCTGATTGCTAAAAGCAGGGCAAATGCAGCGAAACGCTCATCTGCGCGTGCGGCGTCAGCGAATGTCATCCAGAGCAATGCGAAGCTCCTCCGGACAAGGGCGGCTGTGGACGTGCCTGATGTGCCGCATGTCCCTTTCCAGGACAATTGGTACTCCTACGACGACAAGTATCAACTCAACCCCAGGGGATATAACGATTTCTTTAGCGAGGCGGTCAGGAAGGATAGAGAGGGCATTATGAGAGGGGGTGGCTATATGGTCGAAGAGGCTTGGGATAGAGCACTAAGATGTGCCGTAGCTGCTCTTGACTTACAACCCCTCGTAGGGTTGGACGTACCAGCACCTTGGCCGCAAACCGATTCATCTGGCGACATAATCATGGCGACAGTATGAAAAATAAGACTTGTAGCATATTCTCTGTACTGTACAATATATTCGAATTATAATGCTTTAACATTTGCTGTGGAATGTCCCGGTAGATGTTCGAAATGCTGGATTCTCTCCATGTTATGATATCTTCGTGCTGGTGACAACCTTCCTCTTCGTCTTCTCGTACTCCGTGAGAGGGGCCCTCAAAGGAAAATATAAGATTTGATACTGCTTTTTCTTGCTATGAAGACAGTCAGGCTACACAGGTTTGCTGAAGACACACGAGCGACAGACCTCAGATTCTTAATTTCAATACTGTATTTCTTGACCAGCGCAAATAAATCCAGATCTTTACCGCTGTGGTCTGATCTTGAGAATCCATTCTTCGAAGACAAAACCTTCAGAGGAGAGGTCTTCTGCACGTTGCTGGAAGATCCATCGACTCGTGAGGCCTTGTTGTCCTGTCGCGAAATTTCTAGAGAGCGTTTGCGTTTCAAATTGGACGAGCCTCCCATGGGTTCAAGAAGCCCATTTTCTGTTGCAATGTGAGAGACGTCCAATCCACAATCAATTTCAAAGTACCTGAAGTCATCTTCAAATGTTCGAACTCGCAAAGGGCTGCTCTTCTCTGGTCTTCAGTTGGCCTGCTACAGCAATGGAGCATGAGAAGATGATTACCCCCGCCCGTCCACGTCGTCACTTACTGAGCTGGATCAAAGACGAGCAAGCTGGTAGCGCCGTTCTTATCAACCTGATACCCTACGATCGTACGCGAATGTCCATCGTGCTGCAGTATAAGGGGCATCTTATTGGTGTTTGTTATGGGGAACACTTTCAGAGACTCGAAAGCGTTCAGTGGTTTCTCAATTACTCGTGGTTGGGGTGAGAAGTAGTTGACTACCCAGTCGACTACCGACTCAGGACCTGGGTGATGCGATGAGTCAACGGAGATGGTCCGAAATGAGGAAATGTTCTCGCCTTTGGTGCTGTTCCGAAGATCGAAGTCGACAAGTTCGGCACTGCAAGACGTCATTAGAGCCGATAGCCGTGTAAGTATCTCAGCTAATGACTAACGGTATACCTCGAGAAGCGAATGCCACCCATAGGTCTGTGGAGATTGTAGTTAGTTAATGGCTTGCACTAGGATGAGACTCAGCAATTAACCAGCAGTGCCAATCCATTTGCGGGTGCCAACTAATTTCTTGAGCTCTTTTTGACCTTCGACGTCGAACCCTATAGGAAAAATAGTCGATTTAATAATTTCCTTATAGGTCGATTCATTTAACCTTGTTTCCAAGCAGATTCGATCCAACTCTGCAAGTTCCTGATACTGGGAGGAAGCGGAGAGTCCAAGAGGGGGAAGTAGAGAGGTTGTTGCGTTTGGCACATCAAAGTGGCGCACAGCATGAGGAAGTTTCGATATCTGAATTGACACAGGATGTAGCAGTACCAACGAAAGGGACCAAGGTACACTCACCCACATCCCCAATTAGCATCCCAGGCTTCTCTGTGCACATGAACGGCTTTATCGGTACAGAGCACTGCTCGTCGCAGATTCCCGCGACCATGAAGCTTGAGGAGACCCTTTCGAAGCAAATGGATGATACCTGGTCATTGACTGTCTCGTTAGAATGCACACACGGCCTTTGTCGGACGGTTGGCTTACCCGGCGTGCAGCTCGAGGGTGGAAGGTTCGCTTGGTCGGGATACCAAAACACGTCTGTCTCCTTTGCGAGTAGCATGCATCTCTTCTGTGGAGTGCCATTCTTAGTGTAGGCTGCTCGGAAGTCTTTCTTTGGAGGTGCGGGGGGTTCAGTATTTAGGTCCACTTTAATTGAGACCGTTTGAGAGCCTGTATCGCCAATGTGAGATGAAGAGGGATGGTGTAAGCACATTGCGCACCTCCAAAATCATTCGAAAAATGAAGTTCATAGTGCGCCTCGCGTTGAGAAATACTTAACGGATCCAAGTCTTTTGAACAGAACGCACAGCGTAGTGATTCGATGACAACGTCGTTGAGGCAGTTTGAGAACTGTGGCATTTGTGGCAGGAGTTGTCGCAGGTCAAATGGATGGGAACTAGCTTGTGCTGGGGCTTGCGAACAACATTCCTGATATATGGCAGGTGGTAAGTAACCGATTTGACCAAGTCGGCCGGCCCGGAGATATTCGTCATGTGACGGCGAGGAACGCTGGACGCGCGTTCAGAGACCAAGATTCTAAAGAATCTTCTCTTTCAACCATGTCCAGGTCTTACGATCGCGGTATAGTACTTTCGTTGCTTTTGAATTCATTGTTTCTCATTACTTTCATTAGCCCTCACCGTCTTCTCTCCCGACGGCCACTTATTCCAGGTCAGTTCTAGTGCGGTGTCCTCGAAACCTTCTTGATTGACCTTTGACAAAGGTAGAGTATGCTCTCGAAGCAGTCAGGAAAGGGACTTGCGCTGTGAGTTTATATGCCACTCCACACAACTGACACGTTAAAATCGGCACAGGTTGGCGTTCGAGGCAAGGACGTTGTCGTCCTCGGAGTCGAGAAGAAGTCCATTCTCCAATTGCAAGATCCGCGAACGGTCCGCAAAGTCGTCATGCTAGACGATCATGTTTGTCTTGCCTTTGCTGGCAGGTAGATTTCCTCACATTGCCTTTGCTCTTTCCTCACGTTTTCTGGTTAGGTTTGACTGCAGATGGACGGGTCTTGATCGATAAAGCGCGTATGGAGTGTCAGAGCCATCGCCTGACAGTGGAAGACCCTGTGACCGTCGAGTATATCACAAGACACATTGCAGGGATCCAGCAGGTACGCGTCGTTGCTCTATTCGATGAACTGGTTTAATCAATGGACTAGAGATACACGCAATCCGGAGGTGTCAGGCCGTTTGGCATCTCCACCCTTATAGTTGGATTCGATCCTCATGACTCGAAACCACGCCTCTACCAAACAGAGCCCAGCGGTATCTACAGTGCATGGAAGGTATGTCCCTGCATTGCTTTTTGTGGTCAATATTACGAACGAGCTAGGCAAATGCCATTGGCCGGTCTTCCAAAACGGTCCGAGAGTTTTTGGAAAAAAATCACCGCGATGACATGGCCAGAGAAGAAACCATCAAACTCACGGTGAAGAGCTTGCTTGAGGTTGTGCAAACAGGTGCCAAAAACATCGAAATCAGTGTCATGGAGGGTTATGGCAAAGTAACTGTAAGTCGAAATCGTTTATTATCTCAATCGTGTCTCTGAGACGCATTTACAGAATCTGGAACTCTCCGAAATTGAGGGAATAGTCTCAGATATCGAGCGCGAGAAGGAAGCGGGTACGTGACGCATGTTGAAGAAATCGGTGTCGTGTATTAACAAATGTTCCACCCAGAGGCGGAAAGGAAACGCTCACGACTCGCGGCGACTGCGGCTGGCCAAGCTGTAATGACTCAACGTGCTGGAGAGTAATCGTCTCATGTAAACTAATTTCGTGTACAGAACCGCATACATACAGCCGATGCTTCATGAAGTCCAGTTTGAAGTTGTTGCGACCATCCTGGGAGGCCTGGACAAGCAAGTACAAAATGGCCGGTGCAGGATTTGGACCGCCGGACAACTCGGGATTGCTCATACGCCTAAGCACCTCTCCGTTTCCTTATTATTAAGATAGAAATAGAACTAGATTCATGGAATTGAGACATGTATCCAAAAAAATCATGTCTTTTGCACCCGTTGCTGAGAATTTGTACACAACATTCCTGCAGGGCTCAGAGGCCGACACTGCGAATAGTCAAAACGTCAGAATACACCCCCTAAACGGTATTATTGAATTTTTGGGAGTCACGTCACACCCTCTCGGCATTGACCGCTTTTGCGACGTCATAGAACACCTGCCAAGAAACGTCACATTTACACTCCGAAGCAATACCGACTTCATGGGGGTTCGTCTGCATCTTCCTTAGTCTGTTAGTGTTCAAAGTTGGTTCAAAGGGCCAAAAACAACATTATAAAATTGTTTTTCCTTCATTTTTGTCATTCTGCTCGAGCAGAGTGGGTTGCCGAAGGCGCATGTGCGAACCGATGCTGGCCCCAAGTCTCCAACTTCCAGCTCAGCTTGATCCCGAGAATGTATCTTGCGCATGTACACTTTTGGATGCCTGGGGCCAGTTAACTATAATATGAATAATCTCATATTTCATTTTCTTGGGACATCCGGCGAGTCCATCGAGTGGAATTCGGGCCAACGGAGGTACGGGTGTTAGACTCGGCTGTGGTGTCGCAGACTTAGCCTTTTGGAGAAGTCATTGCCAAAAGCAGCTGACAGGATAGCTTATATCAGTCATACCGGTTCTTTACATCAGAGTGTTGGCTCAACGGTAAGAGCGGCTATAGGTCATCACTAGTGCATGCATTTGAACCTGGACTGTAGCAGAATTTATTATATTTTGCAAACACGGGAGGTAGAAAATACCCCCTAAAAAGGGGTAACCCTGTGACCAAAAAACAGTGTTGCCCATCTATTGCAAATTGCCCACCTCTGAGGGGGTTCATTACACTGCTCAAGTGAGTGGTAATTTGGCCCTGTCTCTCCAGAGGTCCACGTTACCCACCCCACTACTCACAGTGCTGATTGGCATGCACTGCTCTCCTGCAAACTCTTATGGATCGATCACATTGGACAATACAGTCAGACCCCTCTTAACCCATACTCCTGATAACCCATAACCCCTTATAACCCATAGTATTTTCAGTCCACCAACTTGGTGGGCGGAGATTTGCACCCCATAACCCATAGGTTCGTAATAACCCATGCCCCATACCCCTTCTCAGGCAAAACCCATAGGTTTTACTGGCCATCAGGCCATATTTGGTGCCACTTACTGGCACTTACAGGACATCATTTCATTGCGACTCTCCCAGTTTGATGAGAATGCCCTTGATTTCACCCAAAAGCTGCTGAAAACTGATGAATGGAGTCTTAAAGAGGCATGAGAGCAACAAATCACTTACAAATCAGACATGAGTGCTCCATATTTGGTAACCCATAGCGAACACTTGTGAAGGTGCAAATTGATCAGGCTGGTCATACACCCTCTAAACTGTGTTGGTTGGCGCAAAAATGGCCCTTGTACACTCACTAGACAGATACAACTGCATAGATGAGCTCGAGAGCGTGATTTTGCCTCAGTCAAGACTGATTTTGACAGTCTGATGTCTGAACTCACTTTTAGTGACACAGAACTGGACTATTTTACCCAGATATTTACCCAATTTTCCGTCTATTTTTCTGGTCTATTTTTAGTACTCCCCCCATAACCCATACCCCAGGCCATCCACAGAGGGGGTATGGGTTAAGAGGGGTCTGACTGTAATAATAATAATAATTGCAAGCGAAGCAAGCAAATCATCCACTAAAGGGCTGGAGGGCCCAGACAATCAAGGCCAAACTCTTGCTGCAGAAACTGGCAGTGTTGTGCCAGTCATTGACTAGTCAAGAAAGTCAATGACCATCAATTTTTGACGGTCAAAGGTCAATATTTGACTTTGACCTTGACCAACCTGCCAAATGGAGGAGATTCGTTATGTTCCATCACTGCTGCTTACAAATCCCCTCTATTTCCCTTCATCAACCCCTCGTTGACGTGTTTAAATCCTTTCCTATTGATTTCTGTATTCCGCACTGGCAGCCTTCCGTACCTATATGACTTGTGTTCTTACTCAGCTATATTTTAATTAGTAACTCAATCTCATTTTCTAGTATAAATATGGCCGTATGTACTTACACTAGATACTAGCTAATAGGACCCAAGCAAGGGTGAATTCAAAATCCTTTATGCTGTTTTGTGTGACCACCTTTTCCCTTTGGTTGCGACCAACCCAGTGTGCCGTCTGGACACTATTGGGATTCTTGGTCTCAGTAATGATCTCAGTGTCACATATTCAATTTGAACATACACACCTTCACCTTTCTCTCAACTCTCAACACTTAGTGACTACTCTAGATCTAGCTTTTCTATCTAATCTCGCTTGACAATTAGAACCCCTTGGATTGATCACCCGGTGCAGTCTTTATGCAAATACTGATTTCCACCCACCGAACCCCGAACTTTGAAGAACCCAATTTAGTACATGCTATCTTATGTTGAGCCTCATTCATATATCCCCTGCACTCGTGTCCTAATAAAGTGGTTTATTAGGCACCACTTGAGTCTCCCACTCCTACAAGAACTATGCCCCGCATATGTCAGAGCAGATATAATTTTACCACCACCATAAGAAATAATTTGTGGCCCAGCACGCCACAATCGCCCTCACTGGACGATCTGCATTCTAGGTCTGAACAAGATGAATACATGTCATACAACAAGTGCAAGAATAATATAGATTCTCTAGAGACCCCAAAGCAGATGGATGAGAATCTGAACCCATAGAGGTGACCTATGGGTCTCGACGAAGTGAGAGCGCCTCGTCGCTTGATCATGCTCAACAAATTGTAGCACCTGGTAACAGGAATAAAAATATTCCCAAGGAAGGAACCTCTGAAGTCAATCAAACTGATTGCCTGAGAAAAGCAGTTTCGATGCCTGCACAGAAAGAATTCACTGCGCATCGTGAATTAGCACTTGCGAGCTGCGAGAATAATCCCATGGTGAACCCCAAATCACCCATTGGCCAGGGTGAAGGATTTTTCAGCATAAAGGGGAAGGGAATGACCACTGAGAATTGGGGAAGAATTGATCCCAACTACAAGGATCTTGATATAGAAGCTCAAGTAGCCTCATTGAACAACAGTACAAGAGTGCTCGTACAGTTTTAAAGGCTCGCATCAGAGAATATGATACAGAGAGAGAAAGTACAGCCACTTTTGTGCTCTGAAGATCCTGCCACCTATCTATTGTAGACAACACAGGACCTTGGTTAGATCACAGCAATCCATTTATAGAACTGATCACAGACCATGGGCATGGGAGAGTCAAAGAAATTTGACTGTCATTGACTGTCAATTGACTCGGTCAAAGAAGTTGACCTTGACCTTGACTTTGGCATATTGACCATCCAACACTGGAAACTGGCCCTCTGGGTTGATGTTGGTGAGTCGTATTCTGTGGGATGGAGGACGTATCCTCCTCTTTAAAGTTGCATGTAGACTATTCATGTGCCATAGAATAAGATTCTCCAAGAAAATTTACCTTTTGGGACCTTGTATTGGTGTTCTGGCATGTCCTCTCATGCCGCATCATGAAGACTGGGGTTTCTCTGACAGCCCTCATCTTGTTACTTAGGCTCAGGCCAAAAAATGTAAAACAATTACTGCAGTGCAAAAATTCTAATTTGACAGGAACTCGCAGACGAGGACAGCGCAGTGAGCCCTCCACTTCTAGCGGTTACTTAATAATAATATTACACTACTCGTAAAAAGGGAGATGATGTGATGGTCATGTTCCCCAATGACCTCACCTGTCTCACCTCACCCTTGTTCCCATACCTACATAGTCTACGCCCCTCTGCTGTTGTCTCACTCCAAACAATGGTAGCGCCAACAAGGTCTGCAAAAGGCAGGCCCCACTTTGATTGAGGTTGGAGTGGACAGGCTACATGGTATAACTAAAGTGTCCATGGAACAATAGTAGGGTGGTCCATTTGTATGAAGGAGAGTCCATTTACATTGAGTAGGCTCCAAAAGTAAGATAGAGGGTAGTGGTGGGTGGGTGAGTGAAAGTGCGATTAGGTGAAGCCTAGAGTACGAAATAATAGTGGATAAAGTAGTGGGTGCAGCCCAGGTGTGGTGGTTGTTGTCGAAGATGGTAGCCAACCGAGAATGACTCACCATACAATGACCACTGCATCCATCTCTGCTTCAGCATCTGCTGAGTCCTCAGCACCAAAGGGAGACATGGCAGCCATGGCACAGCAAGCAAGAGAAGTGGAGCTTCAAGACAAGATGACCAAGTGAGGCTGCAGAGGCCTCCAAAATTGCTCCTTACCCTTGGAACCCACAATTACACTGACCTTTATTTGTCCTCACTTGTCGAAGCAACATGCACCTCTTGTCTCCTCCATCCATGTCCACAGCAGCTGAGTCTTGACTGTGACAAAGTCAGATAAGACAGAATTATCAACAGTGTCTACCCCTTTTGGCTTTTTCAGAGTCAAATTGTCCAATGGAATGATGATTGCCAATCTGAGTGTTGAGTGGTTGTATAGCTCCAGCATCGTCTTGACCATTGTGCACATATTATATATTGACATCCTACAGTACAGTGGATGACAATATACAAGAATTGAGAACCACAACTTACGTGGCGAAATTCTGTGTGCACAGTGAAGCATTCCCCTGCTGAATACTGTATCCAGCCCGGTAACGGGTCACACCAGGAAACGGGTCAGATGCTGATTTCTCGACAACGACAAGAGTTTTCTCTTCAGTTCTTTTTGCTATTTAGAAGTCAGAAGAGTAGCTACGGTAGAGTATAAAATATGTGGGCATTCTGTGGCCATTTAACACCAAAAAATCACTCACAACTGGCCAAAATGAGAACAGTACAACTGCAAGTGCTATTGGAAACAGCCACCCTGGTCTCAGAAAGAGCCCTCTAGCCGTATAAATTCATATGAAGCATCTAATAGTCCACTATTATATCTTTATAAACTTTTTAGATTGCAAAGAATGTATTAAACTGCATACTTTCACTAAATGGTGAAAAGTTTGCCCAAAACTGCATATTTGACACATCTTTTGGCCCTCATTTATTTCCAGAGTTCGGTCTCTTCTTCCAGAATTTCTTGCTAATCTGGTGCAGTAGGATGTTCTCTTTCTGAATTGTAGCATCTGCGGGTCACCAGTCCATTACTTCTTGGAAAAATAGGTGCTGACCCGTTACCTTGGATTTACTGATTTTGGACTCAGCCTCGGAGAATATTCATTGCATTTTATGTGCCTTATCTGTGGTAGTATACATGCACCCTACTTACTCATAGGAGGTATGGGCACACGAGAAAAAAAAGTTCAAAGATGTTTACTGGCGAATTGCGTCCAGGAGAGTGGATATGCGCCAGAGTGACCCATTACTGGGCCGGACACAGTAAGCACTGGGTGCCTCAAATATTTTTGCCTGAGATAATATGAATATATGTAGGAATTATCAGGACTGTAGGATATCTCAGGCCAAAATATGAGGGATTTACAAAGGAAACAAAGGAACAATGAAAGTAAGTAATGTGTTAGTTCCTTCCAAGATGCCATCGTGATTCCTAATAATTCTGATTGAATTGTCTTTTGTTCCAGCCTGTTACTTAATTCCAAAATAATTCCTGCCTTTTACCAGTGAAAAATTTTGAATGTGCACCCTGTGAAGGATCCGCTACTGTGTCCGGCCCAGTAATGGGTCACTCTGGCGCATATCCACTCTCCTGGACGCAATTCGCCAGTAAACATCTTTGAACTTTTTTTTCTCGTGTGCCCATACCTCCTATGAGTAAGTAGGGTGCATGTATACTACCACAGATAAGGCACATAAAATGCAATGAATATTCTCCGAGGCTGAGTCCAAAATCAGTAAATCCAAGGTAACGGGTCAGCACCTATTTTTCCAAGAAGTAATGGACTGGTGACCCGCAGATGCTACAATTCAGAAAGAGAACATCCTACTGCACCAGATTAGCAAGAAATTCTGGAAGAAGAGACCGAACTCTGGAAATAAATGAGGGCCAAAAGATGTGTCAAATATGCAGTTTTGGGCAAACTTTTCACCATTTAGTGAAAGTATGCAGTTTAATACATTCTTTGCAATCTAAAAAGTTTATAAAGATATAATAGTGGACTATTAGATGCTTCATATGAATTTATACGGCTAGAGGGCTCTTTCTGAGACCAGGGTGGCTGTTTCCAATAGCACTTGCAGTTGTACTGTTCTCATTTTGGCCAGTTGTGAGTGATTTTTTGGTGTTAAATGGCCACAGAATGCCCACATATTTTATACTCTACCGTAGCTACTCTTCTGACTTCTAAATAGCAAAAAGAACTGAAGAGAAAACTCTTGTCGTTGTCGAGAAATCAGCATCTGACCCGTTTCCTGGTGTGACCCGTTACCGGGCCGGATACAGTATTTAATATGCGCAGGCTTGCTATGTATCAGCAGATCTGAGATCTACGATCGAAGTACGTGTAAATACGCCCGTGAGAAAGGTGCGTCACTATTCAAGTTCGTGTCCTCCATCCTCCATGGCGGTCCACCCGGCAAGTCCGGTCGTATTGAAACATGTTCTCCTCTCAGAGATTCTAGCCGTTACATCTGCAATGCGCAAAAACTCACGCTGGGCGACCTCTACATTAGTTGTAGCGGCACGGGATTCGCCCGCGTTGGGGACAAATATGGGGCTGAGGATATCCTCACCGGCCCATCAAACTCGTCTTTCGGGGAGAGGTGCAAGAGAGGCAGAACTAATGGCGGGCTTCATTGAGCTGAAGAGGGGCGTCAAAGATATTCAAGGTACGCGGTGTATGATCGAACGCCATATTCGTATCGTGACGCGGTTTCACAACTAGATATTCGCAAGGCCGACCTTACAGACTTGCTTGCTCCATTCTTCGCTATCCTTCGGTCACCCCTCTCTACAGGACCTATCACATCTGCTGCACTTTCAGCTCTGCATAGTTTCTTCGTATGCGGCCTGATCTTTCCCGAGGCTAGCATGTTGGAGGCGACCTTGATCGAGCTCAGCAGCACAATTTCTCATTGCAAATTTGAAGCCAGCGACTCATCTGGAGATGAAGTTGTGCTGCTCAAGATCATGACCGTTATTCAAGATTGCCTTTGTGGCTCCGTTGGTTCAGGGTTGGGCGATATCGAAGTTTGCGAGATGCTGGAGACTGTATTGACTACCTGCTGCCAGATGAGGCTGAGTGGTATGTTATTTACCTTCCACGGATTCGCGTACCTTACTTTGTATGTCAGAGACCTTACGGCGGTCAGCCGAAACAACGATGCATACCCTCGTTCGAACCGTCTTCAGAAAACTCCATACACTTGATCCAGTCGAAGAAGAGGCCAAGCTTGTCATAGTTTCCGAAGATGACCAGGCTGAAGGAGAACTCAGAATGACTGTTACTACCCAAGAAGAGGAGAAAACTGAACAAAGTACTGTCGAAGGGGAAACATTGGCGGAGAACGCTGCTGCTAACCAGCCAGAGACTGTCGAGGAAAAGCCTGTACCTCAAACGCCACTATCACCGGGTAACAGGCCAGAATGTAGGTGATTATTTGTTTGCTCACCTTGTCCCCCTGACTAATGCAATATAGATGGCCTTCCTTCGATACTTGAACTTTTACGAGTACTCGTAAATGTCCTCGACCCTAACGACCAGCAACACACAGACTCAACTCGTCTGACCGCGCTTGGTATTTTGAATTCTGCTTTCGAGGAATCTGGATTTTCCATCTCCAAATTCACGTCCTTGAAAGCCATTGTTATTGATCCTGGTTGCAAGTTCCTCTTCCAGCTTGCCCGCTCCGAGAACAACAATATTCTTCACTGGGCGCTGCGTACGATATCCACGATTTTCAAAACTATGCGCCCAAGCTTGAAACTGCAGCAAGAGCTTTTCTTGACTTTCACAATCGATAGATTAGTCCCACCACCTTCACCAGGGAAAGGCAATCCGGCATCGATGGCTGCTTCAAGGTCTCGTGGGTACTCCCCATCTCCTCGGCCCGGAACACCCGCCACGCACAGTAGCCCATTGTTAATGGCAGCCGACAAAGCAGAATCCGAAACGGCACCATCTCCTGCACGCCTTATGGTTCCTCCAGCACGCGGAGAAACACGCGATTTAATGTTGGAAACATTGAGTCAGATAGCTGGGCACCCCAGCTTCATGGTCGACTTATATACCAACTATGATTGTGATACTAACTGTGAAAATTTGTTCGAACGGCTCATCGAGTTCTCCACCAAGGTTTTTCTATTTGGTTTGCGCGCAAAGCTTGACTTGATGCATCTGTTTTCTAAGGGTGTATATCCATCACATTCCCCGGGCAGCTTGGACTCTCAAAGGAATGCCCAGTACATCTGCTTGGAGTTACTCCTTTCCTTTGTCAATGACATGGCAACCCGTGCTGGTGATGTTAGACTATCTGCTCCCTTTATGGTTTGGTGCTCATTCTTAGCGCACAGGAACAGTCAAGTCTAGTTTGGCCATCGGTATGTCGTTCGGGCCTCTCCTTGTCTATCCAGATTCACTGGTGCATTGTTGGGAATAGGATTTTCCGGCTATAGATTCACTTCTCCAAGTGAAGTCCAAGAAGCAGCTCATCCTGACAGGTGCGGCTCGCTTTAACGCGAAACCCAAAACTGGGCTTGCATTCTTAGAAGAAAACAAGATCATATATGCAAATCCTGAAATGGCGAAAGCACGGAGTCTGGCCATATTCCTCAAAGGGTGTACAAGGATTGACAAACGCTTGCTTGGAGATTTTATCTCGAAGCCAGACAACCTCGATCTCCTCAGAGAATTCGTTTGCCTCTTCAATTTCAAAGATGTATGAGAATTCTACTATCACTCTTCAGGTTACTGAATAACCCCCTTTAGAAACCTGTTGCCGAAGCCATGCGCGAACTTCTGGAGGCATTTAGACTCCCAGGCGAATCCCAACAGATTGCTCGCATCACAGAAACTTTCGCTGCCATTTACTTTGCCTCTGGTCCTGGTGTGTTGGTGCCGCGCGTTCTTGTTCAGATGTCCTAAACACGGCATTACAGCCGAAATCAAGTCTGAGGATGCAACTCATGTTCTGGCCTATTCCATCATCATGCTAAATACAGATCAACACAATCCTCAGATCAGAGTATGTTCTCCGCCCAATGGCTTCGAGTGATGCTGACGATCAACCCCAGAAAAGGATGACAATCGACGATTATAAGCGGAATTTGAGAGGAGTAAACGATGGATCTGATTTCTCCTCGGAGTTCCTGGTATATCTTGACTGAATCAAGGAGGCTATCTTCTAATATTCTCTACAGCAAAACATCTATGATTCGATCCGCAAACGAGAGATTGTCATGCCGGAAGAACACATTGGGCAATTGGGATTCGAGTATGCATGGAAGGAACTCCTTACGCGCTCACGACAGACCGGTTAGTCTCTTGCACGCCGCCTGGCTTTCGTGATGATTGAGTACTTGCAGGGGAATACATGATTTGCAATACATCAGCATTCGACGTCGAGATGTTCAAGGCAGTCTGGCGTCCCGTGATATCTGCGATCGCATATGCTTTTATCAGCTTCGAAGACGACTACATCATTCAACGAGCAATTGCTGGCTTCAGACAGTGCGCCACACTCGCTGGCCACTTTAGGTTGCCAGACGTCTTCGATTTTGTTGTCGTCTCTTTGTCACAGGCCACTACGTTGCTGTCAGACTCCCTCCCTGCTCAGGTCCCAAACTATCCGATCATCGACATAGAGGGACAAACCATCACTGTTTCCAGGCTGTCCGTCGAGTTCGGTACCAACTTCAGGGGCCAACTTGCCGCTGTAGTGCTGTTCAACATTCTGAATGGCAATGGGAATGCTCTGAGGGAAGGTTGGACTCAGGTATAGTGCCTATCTACGGCTAAGAAAGCACTAATTCACATTTCGGAAAGATCTTTGAAATGTTCCAAAATCTCTTTCTCCATTCCCTACTCCCCACTCGAATGCTTCAAATGGAAGATTTCCTTGGAGGAGTAACGATGATCCCTCTTCGCGGAAGTCAACCTGCGAAGGCCCAAGTCAGAAATGATGGAGGGCTACTGTCCGCTTTATCTTCTTATTTGATGACACCATACAATTCTGATATGTCCGTCCCGGATGCAACCGATGCAGATGTGGAGAGTACTCTGTCAACCATCGACTGCATTACCTCGTGCCGTTTAGATGAGCTCTACAGTCAAATCATGTAAGTGTTGTCTGTCCTGCGATTGTCGCATACTAATCTAAGTCTCAGCCAACTCGAGCCTGATGCACTTGTAGCCGCCATTCGTGCATTGGAAGCTCTTGCACATGAAAGAACAGTTGCCGAACTCAAGATACATTCCGAAGAGGCGATACCGCCCATCGAAGACGAGGATCATCAACTGCCCTATGACCCAGCTTCGGTCTTCCTGCTTGAAATTATGGTCAGTATCACCAGCCAAACCCCGCAATATATCGAGGAACTTTGGTAAGCTCACGGCTACGCTCGAGAATCCCTTCCTCATTTTTTTCTCTTTCAGGCCAATCGTCTTTGAGCATTTGTCCGCCCTCCTCTCTTCCTCGACACAATACAGCATACTTCTCGTCGAACGAGCTGTCGTTTGCTTGCTAAGATTATGTCAAATCCTGGCACAAAAGGTAGATTGACGCTCCTTGCGGCCTTCAAACATACTGACCTGAAATAGCCATTATTGCGAGATCAAATTTATGTGGCTTTCGATCTCCTAGCAGGATTGCCGTCAAGCGTTTCGAACCTGGTCGGAGAACAAGTTATAGCTGGACTTATATTGGTCATCCAGAAACACAAAAACATCATTCGGTATGGTATGAGGCTTAGCCATGCAGGTCGTCTTATTCATTTCCCGCTTTCGCAGGTCACAAACAGAATGGAACCTCGTGTTCGCCTTGATTCGTTCTACAATGCCGCATCCGGAGGCCGCACGCATGTCGTTTGAGCTTATCGAGGCCCTTGCTCCGGAAGGCCCTGATAATTCAGTTTTCCCTGATAATTTGTCAGGGTTATTAACCGTGCTTGACGACTTCGCAACTGTAGCAGGGATTGTACAAGAGCAACAACAGCACCGAGGACGGCGTGCAGAACCTTTATCTTCGATAAAGTACGTCTCTGACTCTCAAACGGACTCAAGACTCACTCAGGGTCATGATAGCTCTCCGATTATCAGTCGTGGAAAGAAAGCGGTCGATTTGCTTCCCCTCCTCCACAAGCAATTGTCGTCATGGCTGCAAACCTCGCAGATTGCAGATGCCCAAGGTGAAGGTTCATCCAGAATTTGCGAATGGTTTCCTCACCAGTCAACAGCATGGAAAACCATGGCACTCCCTCTTTTCAGCATTCTTGGCCGTCAATCCGTCAACGCTGCAAGGGAAATCCGACACAATGCGATCAGTCATTTACAGCGCATACTTCTTGGGTCTCCCCTTTTGGACGAGGCGGAACAGAAGAGAGTCGAAGAGGTTTTCAATCGCGTGGTATTCCCTCTAGTAGATGAGCTTTTGAAACCACAAGTGGCCCACAAGGACCCTCATGGTATGGCAGAAACGCGGCTCCGAGGGTCTGCCCTGTTGTGCAAAGTCTTTATGCACCTCGAACTGCGGGAAAGTAGGGTCAAAACAGACTTCAGACTGCTATGGATCCAGGTGCTCGACCTTTTGGATCGTCTTATGCACGTTAATCGAGGAGACCAACTCGTGCGTAATTCCCTTTGTTTCAACTTTCAGCACTAAACTATTCTATCTATATCTAGTACGAGGCGGTGCCGGAGTCGCTGAAAAACATCCTTCTGGTCATGAATGCGGTTGGCATCCTGGTACCACCTGGTTCTGGTCAAGATGAGCTGCAGAAAACACTCTGGTTAAATACCCATGAACGGATGGAGCGCTTCCTTCCTGGATTTTTGACGGATGTCATCCCACTGCCTTCTAATCCTGTGACCCCATTGACCGCCGATTAAATTCGGGTTGTATTTTGCTAGGATTGCCTTATTATCAAAAATCACTTTTACCACTCGAAAATCTTCATTTTGAAGGTCCTAATGCGCCATTGCGCGCTAGTCAATCTTCGGCACTGCTTGTTCAAACTCAAAAACAAACCTAATGCGAGTGTAAACGCCTATCAGGACGCCCAATGGCGCAATGGTGTAGGCAACGAAACGAATAATCCAGATGGTATGTTTGGCGCCCCACGAGGACCAAGCACCACCTAGGTGTGCAGTGAAGAGTAGGACCGGGAAAAGAAGATAGCCAGAAAGTCTGGGGGGAAAACTGTTTAGTCACTTTGGGACAAAGTGGGGTAAACTGACCTATGAAATTTCCACAAGGCCTTTGCCTTCATGTCACCGCCAAACAACCAACCTCCGTACCAGACACTACCCCCTCCTAGAATGACCTGGAATATAAGCCATAGCATCGAGATAACACCTATAATCTAAAGGACGATCAGCAAGTCAATTAGGAGCTGACCATTGTGATCTGCATACCCCATGCCAACTTTTGAAATGATGTGCATCTCGAAGGAATTTATGGTACCACGCCGCGAAAGTGCCAAAAATCATGACCGGAAAAGCGAGCAGAAGAACGAAAATTTGATGGCGTGCCAGGCCAGCGGCTTTAGTTTTCGGCTTATTGGTAGGTTGAAGGGTGATAATACCTGGTACACCATGAGAACGGGAGCACTTAGCGAACAGGGGTATGCAACGAACCAAATGTGAACAGAAGGAGTGCTAGACTCTGGAGAGGGGGGTGCAAGGCGAACCAACCAGAAGGCCTGCTGGTCAAGGTAATAGTCCAGGTGACGGCGACGACTATCTGCAGGGATATCATGAGTGTAAATACTTAGGGTGTCGTTCAGCAAGACTAATCACCGATGAGAATATCTAGAGCAGGTATTAGTAAACTGCAGTGTTCGCGGGTCGGGCGCTGCCTACCAGGGCTGCATGCCGGGCCATTGTGTCTCCTTGGCGATTTTCTTCCATATCTTCAGATACCATCGGTGGTGGAGTCGGATTGTCGTCCGCGTCGGTCTGCGTTGGCAAGAGCTCGTATTCAGGGGTGTCCGAATTCTCATTTTCCCGCTGTGTGGTCATTATGTCTTTTTATACCAGTTTCATGAACATGTGGGTAGTCTGGGCGTCGGTAATCGCGGGATGCGAGGAATCTCCCATGAGCGTGGGTTTACAATATTGAATCTGCCACCCGTCTGACGGTCAGCCAGCTAGCGCTGCAAGTGTCGTAGTTGTTTAAAGCTGGAAGGAGAAAGTCTTGGCCGAGTGTGGCACCAAATATTAACGCCAAGCGCGTCTTCACTAGTACTCTTACCAACTACGCCATGACATTGCTGCCTATTTTGCATTTCAACGATGTCTACCGCGTCACACCTCAAAAGGTCTCATCTAAATTCAAGGAAACCATAGATGTTACTCAATTTGCTGCGTTGGTCGACGATCGTCGCAACCAATGGTCTTTACGCGCTAGTGATGGCAAAAGAGATGGCCTACTTCTCTTTTCTGGGGATGTTTTTTCACCATCTGTGGAAAGTTCCGTTACCAGAGGAAGCCATATGGTGGGCGGTCTCTTTTATCTAATAAAAATCCGGAGCCGATGAGATTTTTGACTATTGCTAGGTGCCTGTGTTGAATTCGTTGAACATTGATGTCTCTGTAACTGGTTTGTCTCTCTTCGCTATTATGATATTCATCGCCCCAGCGCTGATCTTCATATCAGGGAATCACGACTTCGATTTTGGTACAGAGCCTCTCTGCGATATCTATGTGATTGGTGCATCGTTCTTGCAGCTGATCTGCTCTATCAGGATACCCTCATCTTTCTAGTCTTATCAAAGATATCGATTTCGTAGGTTGTGTCTATACATTATAGTTGCGTGATTTCTCAAAGACCAGCAGCCATGGCTTTTAAGTAATATCGTAGATTCCACTACCTCAAAAACCCCGGAGCACTTGAAGCAATTTGTCGTTCTCGAAAGAGCAGGAGTTCGAATTGGGATTATTGGCCTAGTTGAAGAGTAAGCGCCATCCAAGCTATCGGCTCAGCTTCCTTCTCATCGTCTATTCTGTAGGGCATGGATCACCACCGTTGCCTCATGGCCTCCGGAATTTCATTATCAACCAATGAAAGAAATTGGACTCGAGCTCTCACAAGTTCTTCGAGACCCAAAAGGAGAATATCAGTGCGACATAATCATTGCCCTCACGCACTCTCGGTATAGGAGCATTGTCCCTCTCCTTATTAATTTCCCTCAAATTGTTATATTCCTACAGCCTGCCAAACGTAAATCGTATTACCATTCTTCACCCGGAAGCGCCTGAAGGAATGCATCGCAGGATATCGACCTCGCGAAAGAGCTTTTCGCCTTGTCACCGTCAGGACAAAGCACGACACCGATTGCCTCCGAGCATGGCGTGGATATCATCCTCGGTGGTCATGACCACCTTTACTTCGTTGGCCGTGGAGTAACTTCGTGGGACGGCTTCGACGTGAACGAAAAGGTCCTTGGAGCTGAATCTGACGAAGGCGACGTTTTGGTGATCAAGAGTGGTTCTGACTTCCGCGACCTTAGTGAGATCAACCTCGAGTTGATTGCTACCCCAGAAGGAAGTGTTCGAAGAAGAGTGATCAGCAAGATTACAGGTGTGTCGACTTTTATCGTCGTCTGCAAAGTCTAAGCATTACCAGGGAAAAGGCATACAGTCAAACCAGAAATGAGGTCATCAGAATCTTTGGCTGAGTTGCTGAAAGACCTGATGTCTTCCGTGTCGTCTGCCCTCAAAGCGCCTGTTTGCATGACAGAAGTCATGATTGACGTTCGCTCCTACTTCATCCGCGTCCAGGAGGTGCATTAGTCCTTGGATGACATTTGAACTGTTTTTCCACAATGTTAATTGCCTATCTAGTCCCCGGTGGCGAACTGGTTTGCCGATATTGCTAGGTATGCCTATGATGACACACTCTGTATACGAGGCTGCGGTGGGTCAGATGGGGTTCTCCTGTGCGCTGGCACATTCAGAGGGGACTCGACATATGGCCCAGGTGAAGGCTTTTGTTCTGTTACATCTCATTGCTGACTTAGATAGGTCCGATTACTATCGGTGACATTCTTGAGATACTGCCATTTGAGGACCCCATCGTAGTCTTGGAGGTGGACGGAGCGACGTTGTGGGACGCCTTGGAAAGTTCTCTTCGAATGTGGCCAGCTCAGGAAGGGTCGGTGGAATAAACATGCTTTGAACACCCCATTCTGACCCGATACCATTTCATCCTGACTACAGTCGCTTCCCCGCAGTTTCTGGCTTCCGTATCTCGTTGGATTCTAGCAAAGAACCAGGGAATCGCGTATTGGGAATTTGGGTGTTGAAGCCTAATAATGGACAACCCGGTCAGGTCGAAGAAGAGGAGGTCAAAAGGGAAACCGATGGCAGAAAGTATAAACTCGTGACGCGAGAGTATATGGCCCAAGGACATGATGGATTTTCAGCTCTGACGAGAGGCAAATGGTTAATTGACCATGAATGTGGATCCACGTTGAGCACCATTGTCAGAAGATATTTCCTCGGTGCGTTATGCGGTCATGTTCCTCGACTCCTGTTAACATCCATCCAGGGTCCCAATTCGTCAACAAAATGCTTCGGCTGCAGGATGGACAGAAAAATGGGTTCCTGAATGTCAAGACCAAAGGAATTCTTGAAGCATTACATCAGGAGGCCAAACCAGAGAACTCCACTGCTATCAATCTTTGGAAACAAGCCGTTGGGGCCGTCATCCAGCACACCCGCTCTAGATTGCACTATCAACAATACTTCAATATGTCGGCAACTGAGCACATGAGTTCAGTCGACGCATTCGATGGGGGAAATGCTAGGAAAGGACATGCTTGCACCGAGTCTTCTGCAGACACGTTGAGTGAGGATTTACTTGTTGTGCACCCTGTCATCGATGGCCGCCTGAAGGACGAAGGAAAGGCCGCTCCTTCTTGAAACCAGGAAGACGGTAGAGCATGTCATATACACCAATAGAGAATTGTTGGAAAATCTTGCCAGGTCGACAAGTGATATCAACGGGTCAACAGATCAATGAGATGTTGTGAGGTTTATCTCCACTTTCGGAGGAGGATCTCCTGTGAGCGACCGGAAGTAATGACTTAACATTCCAACACCACTTCCCAGTCCAGCACCTCCAAGAATGACTGAAAATATATATCAGTTACAAAGGGGAGCACAAATGGAATGGAGAAGTCAAAGCATACGGTTGATCGCGCTCGCTCGTTTCCAGAGGATCGCCGGGGTAAGCACTGCAGCCAGAATACCGCCAATTGTCGAATGGTCGTTCCTCCGCAGGAGATCAGTCTGTGAGCAGGGTTAGCCTCCCAGCACGTTATTTAAGACAAGCGGAAAACTGACATTATATGTCGTTTCTATTCGTTTCATCCTCACAGAGTCCTCACTCGAGTATGCATAGCGAACATACGACCCGCTGCCAGCAACGGCAGCACCTAAAGAACACAGGTTACCAGAGATAGCAGATGGGCAGCTCAGATAATACGTACCGCCTAAACCGCCAACCCATGTTGTTCGAAGTATTTTGTTCAAAGAGAGGCTACGCTTGCCTTTCCTTGCGATAATGTACCCGATGTAAGCTGGAGGTACAAGAAGAGAAGACCATTGGTAGCCAGTGGCCATAGATTGACGGACGAGATAGTCCGTGTCCGCTGCATGTGCTGACGAAGTTTGCATGGCGCCGTTTATACTAGTGGTCGGAACGGAGAAAAGAGCGTGCAATTAGTGGAGTGCTCAAAGATTGTCTACAAAAGGAAACCACCGAGATCAACTTGAACTACTTGACTTATTTGAAGGGTACTAGTATGCTCGATTTTTATTAAACAGATTGCAGCTAACAGCACATACGATAGAGGTAGACAAGTTGACAAAGGCAGAGTATAAGGGGCTCCGGATATACATTAAGATAGAAGGAAACAAACTGATACTGAAACAACTGGCGCTACAATTACTATCAGGGACCTTCACGATGAAGAAGCAGAAAGAAAGCGGCAGACACTTAGGCCTTGGCCTAACCCAACGCCATTCAGGAACTTGGATTTTGCGCGTTAGGCCAGACGCCTTCAGCTTTCCACTTGTCGACGATCTCCTTGATATCAGCCTGGTTGAAGTCCGGGTGCAGCAATTTATAGCCGACGATGTTCTTGATCTTCGAGTTATTGAAGGCCACGACATGCTTCTCCAGAGTATATTTATCCATGTAAGGATTCAGCGGAGTGTTGGTGATAGGAGGGTTAGAGTTCATGAGCATTTCGGTCCAGCCTTCAACGTGGTGTTCGTTAATATCTTCGAGGTCGTCTTTGAGCTGGAATTTGAGGTTAGGCCGTGTGGAGCGAAGAAAGAGGATCGAGCTACTTACCCTTATCAGAGTAACTTCAACCATGTTAAAAAATTCGAAGGTCGTCCCGAAGCAAGCTGATATTGTCTGTCCTGTGCTAGCTAAGGTGCTTTTAGCGTCATCGACCTGTGGAATGTGCATTCAATTAATGGAAAAGAAGGGGGAAATATCTCGTACCAAGTTAAACAATGGGGCTACGGGCTTCTCCTCGTGAGGCAGCATTCCTTCCACCTCTTTGACCCTGCTCTTGTCATTGTGGAATAAAATAGCTTCTCCAGCAAGGTCATCTGCAGCTTTACGCCCATGAGATTCCATCCATTTGGCACAAGCCCAAGCGGCACCAGCCACATCGTCTACATGCACTGAATGTGTGGGATTCTTTCCTGGTCCCCATCTGAAATGTCATTAGTAAACCAGTGTGAGCGTAGTAGGTAGCCTTACAAGGATTTCATAGGCCTCTGGAGGTAACCATAAACAGAAGCGACGGTAATGGCAGATGTAACTGTAGACGATCATGTTGTAGATGTGCTTGATTAAACTTCATGGGAGTGGACATACTGTTCCCGAAGTTCGTATAAGGGCCATAAACGAATCCAATACGGAGAATGACCAAGTTAAGACTAAAGGCCACATCGGTCAGCATAGAAACAGAGCCGACGAAAGGATTTGGGACTATTCACTCTTGTATAGAGGCTTGCATTCGGAGAGTCTCATGCCACCAGATGCCTAATGTCTCCGCTGGCTTGATATCATCCTTCTCGAGAGCCGCGGTCTTGCTGGAGGTCTCATAAAAAGGATGTTGTATCCTAACATACGCCTTGACTTTGCGTTGTGCTGCCTCTAATCCTAATAGGCGAGCTACACCGAAAGTTGTATTGATTTGGATCTGATAACATTCGATCATTCATCAAGCGCGATGAAGATGACGACTGACCAATTCGCTGCGATCATATCGTACTTCGCCAGTGAAGTCAAAGACGTAGTCGAAAGCCGCTTTGCCTTCAGGAGGATCGAAAGCGGACTGGATGGCAGCTAGAAATCCCTTCTGAATACGTTTCGGCAAATGAGTAAAGACTTAAACCTACCAGCAACAGTCAAGTTAGCTTGTCGATATTCTACCTCAGGTTTCTCCAGAACTTTGGTAAATTCGTGTCCAATGTAGCTGAAGAATCCAAATCCCGAGATTCAGTTCCACAATAGTGCAATATTGTTGAGATGATGGAACACGCACGTAGTTGGCGGATGAACGGAATATTTATCAACAATACGAAGATGCTGAGGGAGCGATAAATTTGCTATCACGCGTATATCGAGATTGAGGACACTTACAGACACCAAGGCTTCACCCTCCAAAGGGACTAGGAAAGCGGCCAAACCACGGGAGCAGGTGTTCAAACCGCCTGAGGCCTTGTTAGAGAGTACTTTCACCGCGAACTAGGCAGACTCACCAAAGATCAGAACAGATGGCTTTGTAGAGTCAGTGGCCATGGTGGCTCTTCTGACTGTCCAGAGGACGAGGACCTAGGGATATAAGACGTCGAGACGAGAACTTTCGGGTAAGGTTCCAGGGAATCCTGGTATCCATCAACATCCGTTACGTAAGCATAATATCGGCGATACCTACGCTATCACGCTCGAGTCATTTGAGGTGCTAATGGCCTCCATTGACACTTTCATCTCCACGAATACAGTTCTGCTCTCTGGCGCGCGATGGCTCGTTCCCTAGACTTACTTATTCCAGGCTGAAGTACGTAAGAACCGTACATCCAAGTACACCTGCTTTCTCCTCTCATGTCACGAAATCCCTTCAGTATGGGGATGTCTATACTTTTTTCACCCTCTGACTTTCTTCCAGAGTCTGTGCTGCCCGCCCTCGTCTTCCCGTTCTTGACTGTCTGCGCTGTCAAATACATGTTTGGGCACCTTGCCGCAGGCGGCCTCATCCCTGGAATCGAGGCTTATTGCGAACGTCCTCCAAAGGCAATGACAGCTGGCTGTCGTCCAAGAATCGTTTACTGGATCCCCCGATGACAAGGGGCTATGTGGACTGCTCGTGTTTTTCCTCATGGAATCCCCTGCCCGTATTCCTTTCATTCAGTATTTCGTTGGCGTCGGGATCCCCTATGCTCTATTCAGCGTACTCGAAGGACACAGGAAGAACCAGACCCGCATCCTTTCCTACCCTGTCATCTGGCTTCTGTTAACGCAATTTGTATCGTATGGAGCAACTTACCCAGTTTACTGCCTTTTATTTGTCATGACAGGAGGCGTAACGAAAACCCACAAGCACGACGCCAGTTCGTCCAGTCGAGCCCAAGCCGAGTCTTTTGGCTTTGGCATATTCATGGGAGGCGTCATTCCTTCCTGCGCTATGTTCATTGTCGACGAACCATTCATGACTTACATTTGGCAATGTTATCCGGCGTTCATCGCCCTCGCACAGGCTGCCTATTTACGCTTCAGAGAGTCGGCCAACTCCCGGTCAGGTTATTCGACGATACGTGCACTACACATCCTCGTATTCCTGACAGCAGCGTCCTCCCACATCCTCATCCTTTGCCCGTATAAAGGCCATACCAAAGACCTCATCAAGTACTTTGTGCCGTCCACGACTCCCCCAAGCAGTTCGACGAGTATCGATTTTGCGGTGCTTCATTTCTTGAAGTGGGGTTTTGTGCTAGGCTACACGGCTTTCGCTTTGGCGATGTTCTGGTACGTAGAAACCGTCCAAGAGTTCATTGCCGTTGTGGCTAGTTGCAATACCCTTACTTGGGATAGGTGCGGCAGTGTTGGGTGTCTCTATGTGGCGAGACGGTGTTTTGTGGGATACGCGCCGCGGTCTTCTCCAGTAGAATGTAGCAGATTCCTGGATTACATTTCTACTTTTACTCCGCAGTGTGCGCCATTACCAGAGCTCTTGATGCAGATGCTCATTCTCTATGTCTAGGCCGAAGGCTTTTGTCTTGCTGCAGATCCCAAGTGCTTTTTTGTACGGACCAATCATGCGGGCCATATCTCCCAGCACTACAGCACATCAAGAGCCCTCACTAAGAAGTCACTTCTTCGCCTCGGTGATACGTCTCTGAGCTACTCAAAGGAACGGCAGTTAAAAAGAAGAGAATGTTTTTATTTGGGAGAGGCTGCAGTCGTGTTTACCGAGTTCGGAGACTACTTTGATCTTTGAGGAAGCGGTAGACAGATGAGAAATCCTTCCTTGCCAGCTCAGGTTGTTTTTGGATTACCGTGGCGTAAATCTCCTTTGCAGCTTCTCCAAGCGGCAAGAGACTCTTCGTCTGTGAAGCAACATCACTGGCGAGACCCATGTCCTGGAAGAGAATAGGTAGCAATAAGACACAAGTGCCAGTAAAGAAAATTCGAGCGCACACCTTCAACATGAGGGCAGTCGCAAATCCTCCTTCATAATCTCTTTCACAAGGAGGCGACTTCTCAGGAAGAGCGGAAGGGACGGGATTGTTGACTGAAGAAGCCCAGCAGCCTCCTGTGCTGCTGTTGATAACGGACGCTAGGACGGCAGGGTCGAGGCCGAGTGATTGTCCCAATAACATCGCTTCAGCTACCACGATTTGCTGAACCCCTAAGACCAGCTACGACGAGGAATGAGCAAGGGTGTCCATGGACAAAAGATACCTCACATTATTGCATATCTTGGCTGCAAGTCCAGCTCCAGATGGTCCACAGTGGATGATTCGCTGGCCCATGAGGGATAGGATAGGGTATGCCATCTCGAACGCATTCTCTGTACCGCCGACTAAGAAGGATAGGGTGCCTGCTTTGGCTCCAGTGACGCCTGTACGGACAACAGGTTTGTCTGCAGGAGTCTCGATCGAAGAGAAGGCGTACCACCAGACACCGGCGCGTCTATCATCTTTCCACCCGTCTCAGCGACGCCGGATGCGATTTGACGCGCCACTTCGACGTCGAGGGTAGTTGAATCGATACAGAGCGTTTCTTCATTGGCGTTCAAGCCATGCACTTTGTAGAGAGTAGGAATGATCGATCCAGTATATACCGTCTTCACTTGAGGGGACGACGGGAGCATAGTGACGATCCGGCTGGACGCACGGGCGGCTCTGGATAGCATACAGATGGGGTACTGACACGGAATAAAGGATGGTACTCACTCCTCGGGTGTGCTCGCAATACTAATCTGTGCGCCTGGGTACTGTTTAGAGAAGTTTTTGCGAAAGGTGCGTGCGCTGTCCGGTAGAGCATCACAAATGACGAAGTGTGCATCGTTGGTCTGAAGGTATTGCTTCGAGAAGATATTGTAGGCCATCTGATACCCCATTTGCCCAAGCCCAATGAAACTCGTGCTCTTGCTACGCGACGTTGCAGCCGCGCTTGCTGCTTGCAGACAACTCAGTGAAGGTCGCATATGGTGGATGTTGAATTCTGAGAAAGAGCGTAGGCGAGCGTACTAGGCAACTAGACATCCGCAGGATTCAAGATGATCCACCCGTCTTGGCTCTCACACTTCCCAGTCGTAGTACTCTCGAGATCTCATTGCTCAGCGTACTTACTTAGATATTCGCATCACCTCATGACTTGTCTTCCCGTTATTGTGGGGAAATATACGTACTTGTGTATTTGTCTACTGTGCAGTGCACACGCCTGTCGAACAAGGTCGGCGATTTGTACCAGGGTTGAACGAATCTACATTTCCGTCCAAGAGTCGAGCGGTGTGTCTGGAGTAGACGAGTGACCACAGCCTCAGGAACACATACTACTGTACGATAGCCCATAAGTAGGATCGAGTCTGCCGTCCATTAGCGACCAATTATGAAATCCAGACTCGAAAGAAATCCGTCACCCTCATTTATCGAGGTCGAAGAGAGGAGATCAACATTCCGTGGTCGCTTGAGACGGTGTGCTGAGGTGCTAACAACGTCGACATGGACTACTTCTTGACCATGATAGCGAAATTGTTTCTGTTGCCTTGGCGGAGAACAACTTTCCGATCCAGGGGATGTTGTGAAGTGCTTGACAATCCCTTGCATTTTTGATAGAGCCAATAACCCATTTTCCCGTCTTTCTGCCATCGTTCACGCATCTGCGAGAAACCGATCGACTCCATAAGAGACTTTAAGTGGTCGAATGTGAGATAGCGGGAGTTTGAGACGCAGGGTAGCGGGAGCTGGGGAATGACTGAGCACGAGCGTCGGAGATGTCAAATTGGTACTTACTGCGAGAAATAGAAGGCCATCTTCACGCAGGAGTTTATGTGCAAGAGTAAGCATGCGCCCTGTTGTCGAAGCCACGTTAAAGAATTAGTAAAGCAACAGACGGTTGACTGGCAGAAAGTCACCCACCGCGGTCTTCGGGTATCGGCACGAAGTTAAGAACAAGGCTAAGGCTAATTGCATCCCAGATGGCAGCATTCTTCTCCGCACTGATTTGCAAAAAGTCTTGCTTAATGATTTGCGGATGTCGTGAATGCAAGTCCGTGGGGGTGTTATCGATCCATTTGGAACAAGATAGATAATTACCGGGCTTCAGAGCCCCGACTTCGAGAAGCCTGACAACAAAGTCAGTTCAGGGAGAAATTCGAGTAGAATATAATATAAGCGTGGGCATACGTACCTTAGCTTGCCATGATTCTCCGAGTGCTTGTGGAGGCACAGATCTTTCATCCAACCAATGAAGATCTTCTCACTTCCTCCTCCTCGTTCGTTCCGCTGACCTAGCACAGACATATGCTGATATGCTTCGAGACCACCTAGTTCTTCTATCTCTCGTTCTATGTTCGCAAGAGCCTTTTCATGTCCAACAACGAGGGAACGACTGTTTTCAATTTGTCGGCGCTGTTTCAAAAGGACATGGAATTTTCGAATGGTGTTACGACATGACTGAGCCCCGATTGATGGGGAATGAGAAGCCTGTGAAACAATAGGAGTCTTCCGCTTCCTGGATTTTGGCATAAGTACTGGTGAACGTCGGCAGAGAGGTGAAAGCTGCAAGCTGTGAAGTACAGACTACTGAAGAACCAAAGCGCTCAGCACTACACTTGCCTTTCTTGGATACTCGGCTTTCTTTGTTTTTTTTTTTGGATCTGCATTTATATCCCGCAACAAGTATCTACGTACTATGTAAGACGCGGTGGCCCCTAAGGCCATGTGCTACGGAAACTATTATATGTAACAGTAAAAGTCCATAAATCTTGATAAAATCAATGTCTCGGGGGGGTTGTATAGCTGTAACGTATCAAATTTTAGTATAAGGAGTTCTGTATGGGGCCCTTTGGGCGGTCTAATGATTGCACAGCTGTGCATAAAGGAATAAATAAATAAGGAAAGAAGGGGAAGAGGGCGGTCGGCAGGAGCCACTCTAAGGGTCATCGTCGTCTGATTCGGAGACCTCAGGTTCTTCATCGAACAGAGGTGGGGTACGCTCCTCGGGCCGTTGACCATTCATTGTGAATGCACAACTCTTTTGGAGGAAGGTCGTCAGGGCTTGTATCCCTGATCTCGTACCCAGAATTGTTGGGAGGTAGTGGTTTCCCGGCCCGGCTCGGCCTGAAAGCCGCGGCTTAGGCCCGGCTTTGGCAGGCTCAGGCTCACGATATTTGAAGCCTGAGCCGTCCGTCACGGCTTCCCACGGCCTAGGCCCGGCTCCGGCCTGGGCCGCGGCTTACAGACATATGCAGTAGGATGAGTAGCACGGTCAATTTTGGTGCCGTGAATGCATGTAATCAGGTTGCATACATGCTCGCGTCGAGAGAATACACTAGTAATGAGTCAGGCGGGGTTATAGGCAAGCAAATTTATATTTTGGGAGGTGCTGACATAATGTTACGGAGGTTTTAGGATGCCTCCACACGTGTGTGGCACTGCGAATCATCAACGACTGGGCTCCGAACATCTCAGTTGTAAATGAGAGAATAGAATTGGGGTGTTGTTGGCGTAATTAACATAAAAAATATATGACGGCCTCGAGATGACGGCCTCAGGCTTCGAAAATCTGAAGCCTGAGCCGTGGGCCGTCCAAAGCCGTACCCACGGCCCAGGCTCGGCCCGGCTTTTGAAGGCCGGCTTCGGCCGGCTTACGGCCTCTGAGCCGGGCCTGCAAATCACTATTGGGAGGGATACATCCTGTGATATTGCCTGTAAATGCGCCCTGTGGGTTGTATACTTCGGGCAGGACTGTAGTAGATGTTCACGGGTTTGTAGTGGCATGCCACACGGGCAATCAACGTCTTTGTCCGGGAAGAAACGTCGGTGAAATTCGCCAGTGTACGCGTGGCCAGTTCGGCATTGTACGAGTCGTCCAAACGTCTCGCGAGGGGTATTGATAAAGTGTTTCGTCGGGCGGAGTGTTGGTGGAAATCGGTTTGAGACAGCATAGGCTCCTGTTTTTGAGTTACCCTTCCACTCTCTAGTCCATAGCCGTTCAGAGGAGAGCTTTGCCCAGCGTATTGCATGGGCTCGCGTTGTCCCGATCGGTGCGTTCCACTGAAGAGTGGTGGCTTCCTTTGCGAGTTCGTCGGCCCGTTCATTCCCTTTTATGTTAGTATGGCCGGGGCACCATGACACCGACATTTGGTGTTCGGGGTTCTCGTCGAGGAAGTGGCAGATTTTCTTGTGGAACCTTGCAGCATATAGTTGTCCTGTTCGTGGTTTAGGGTTGAAGATGGCTCGTACACCTGCGGTATTGTCTGCGAAGAAGTAGATGTTGTTGATCTGGGGGTGGGATCTAGCATACTTTACCGCCATCCTTGCGCCCATCATCAGACCTGCCATCTCTGCGTCGTAGACTTCCGCTCTTTCTCCTATGCCCATCTTCTCAGAATTAATCTCGCGGCCCTCGTGGTAAACAACTGCAGCTGCTCCTGTCCTTGAGAAGCCCGATTTTTTAATGAGCGATCCGTCTGAGTAGACGAGGAGATTCTGGTTTGACTTGGTGAGCTCGGAGATTAGTTCTATGTGTCTTGTTGTCGTATTGTCTCTTTCCTCTGAAGATTCTTTCGAGTCTGCCTTCGTGCCATTGGGCTGTACCTTTGCACGATGGCCATAGCTCGTTGTTGTCTTTCGCCATGGAGGAATTAGGTACGGATCGATCCGCTGCGATGTCTAATAGAGGGCTGGTTCTCCGGGAATCAGCCGCAGAGTGGTTGTACAGTTTTGGGGGTAGAGGGGGTGGAGCAGTCGGTTTCAGTCCTTCGCGCCAGGTGTCCGGGAGTCTTTGCATAATTGGGTTGGTGGAGCCTAGCTTGTTGAACCGAATCGCACATCGTGTGATTTGCTGCTTGAGCTGGATGTGGATTGGTGGGATGGAGGCTTCGATCTCTAAGGCCGCCCAGAGGCCGCCTTTGGTGTGGTTTTGAAGGCTGCACAAATCAGGTAGAGAGCGCGTCGCTGAACTTTGACCAGTGGTTTCAGTTGCTTTGCACTCCCGTTGTACCATAGTGGGTAGGCGTAGATAATTTTTGGTACGACACTATGTACATATATACTCGGCTTTCTTGTTTGCCGTTCCAAGTGATACCGTCACCTGACCCTTCATCTGCACCGACTTGCTCTTCACCAGACTTATTTTCACCTGCGGTTTTGTACAGATTCAGACACTAGAGCACTGGCTAATTCTTCTGCAACGATCAAATAAGTCTCATTCAAGCAAACTAAGTCACACTCAGCGCACTACGGTCAGAGGAAAATAATGCGCAGAAAGTTGTTAAAAGGTGTGGATTGCTGCCCTCTCTCCTCGGTTTCCTGCACTCACTTGCCGTTCATTATTTAATGACAGGCTATGTGGTTCCCCTAGTGGTGTTTCCCGCGTTAACTGCGCTTGCGTTCAGTGTAATGTTTGGACGCCTCAAATCCGCTGGTCTGCGCGATAAGCTGGCCGGACATTGTCTCCCTGGCTTTGTGCCATCCGCAACCTCATTTCCACATGCTTATCCCCCGCCATACACTGGCGTATCGTTCCTCGATCACATTCTTTGCCCCCTTATCACATTCTTCCAAGTACTCATGGGTTCTGAGGAGTCCCTGTCCTATCTGGCATACGGAATTGGAATCGGCGCGCCACTGGTATTACTTCCCGCAATTGAGGCGTACCGTACGGGGCAAAGTCTATTTCTCGCGTTTCCCGTAATATGGGGTCTCCTCACTCAGGTAGCGACTGTTGGCGCAGTCTTTCCACTATACTGGCTGACGGTCATTATGACTGGAGGCGTCAAGAAAACGCGAAATTACCCATCCGGTTCCTTCAAACAGGCAGAAGCAGAAGCCATCGTTTTCGGTATCATCGTCGGTGCGGCCATACCGTCCGTGGCCATGCTGGTGATGGACGACCCATCAATTATTGCATTGTGGCAGCCATATCCCGCCTATGTCTCCGTTGCCCAGTTCCTCCACCTTCGATTCAGACCCTCCTCGAAATATTCACATTCAGGATTTAGGACCATGCAGGTGCTATATTTGGGCTGCCTCCTCATTTCTTCTTCTGTCCACGTCTCAACAATTTGGCCTCTCTTGGGCAACATCAGCCAGACGAAGGCATTCCTCATCCCATCACTGTCACCCCTTGACCATGCTGCAGATATGCGCGTCCATATTCTCGAATTCTTGAAGTGGGACATTCTCATCGCATATTCGGCGACAGCTCTGGCCTTGCTTTGGTTCGCCCGGAGTGCCATGCAGCTCGTTGGTATCATCGTTTGGTATATGATAGGTATCCCACTTTTTGGCTTTGGTGCTACTGTCATGGGAGTGGCGATCTGGAAGGACGATTTGTTAGGTTAAAATTGACATGGATGGCCACCAGGCGCTGAACGTTTATGCAGCAACCTCCGTAACAGACATTCATATGTATTCGAGGTGCTAGTCTACACATCAAGGGTTTTCAATGACGCACTTTTTTGGATCTCGTTATATGCGCCCGAAGCTTTCGCTGCTTTTCCCTCAAAGAGGCCTTCTTCTTACTCCTGACGGTTCCACTGCTGAGCACCATCATAATAGGCTTGTTTCTAGCCTTCTCTCGGTTCGTTGAGCTGCTGGGCATGGCCTTATTTTGTTTGCCTTTGTGGGACCCAAATTTGTCACGTCCTTCGCGTCCTTTCTGGATAGAAGCCACTCGCTCAGCGTAGTCGGCTTTGACCTTCTTACGAGGGCCGAGAATGTCGTTTTCTGAAATAAATTCGTCTTGTGGATTTTGATCAGCAGAGCGCGATTTCGCGGCAGCCTCCAGCTCAGCAAGTTTTCGCTTAGCCTTGCTACCCCCTGTCGTTTCCACAGCTTTGGCAGCTGCCTGCAATCGCAGATCATTGAGTAACGCGAAATCTGCTGGCGTTAGGATCTAGGAAGGCAGAACAGATTAGGCTATTTAACCACAGAGGGTAAAAAGGGCCTTGCCTTGGTCGTGGCCAACGTGGAAACACTGTGTTCCTTCGGTACTTCCGCTTGCTCAGTGGTATCGTTCTTCTGGTCATTCTCATCGTCACTGTCGTCGATGACGAGATCATTGTCGGAGTCAGAACCAACATTCATCCACTCTTCCTCGTCTGAGCTATCACTCGAATCATCGGAATCGACGTCCCAGCCTCGCCACATAGACTCATCGTCCTCTTCATTGACGCCTTCTTCCTCGCGGAGTTTCTGCAGGTGATCTTCCAAAAGCTAGAAGTCAGTGTCTGGTGAGCAAACATCTTGCGAAGTGCAGGGTAAAAGGATCCCTCACAGAAAGACCTTCAATGTTGACGGCCGCTTCAGCACTGTGACCGTAAGGTAAAGGAGCACTGCCAGTGGCAAATCCAAGGGCGGCTTCTTTTCCCTGCCAAAAGAGGCGTCAGGTCGCATCAGTCGAGCACAACGAGAAAACAAACTCTTTCTCGGCGCTTGAGCATATTCGGGTTAACTTCACGATATAGTCTGAGCAGACCCCGAGCGGCAGCGGTCACGGTTTTGTCTTTGCTTTTCCTATACTCGATTAAGTCACTGAGCAGATCCTCCTCCATTGCCCATGGCTGTCTTCTGCTGACTTCCCGGATAGCATTGAGTCCTGCTGCGATGACCTCACTTGCAACACCTGGATGGACAAACTCATGGGCAAGCTTTCGTATCACAGGTGTTATAGCATCCGGTGGGGTTAGGTCATGTACCGATTGGGCCAAAGTAACGAGGATGCTGGGTACGCGCAGTTGTCGATAGACGAGGTACTTCATGATATATGTATAAAAGCCGAGCACACATAGTTTATGGGACCCCATGACGCGAGATAGCAGTTGCATGATGAGAATTTTGTGATCCAAAGAGAAGCGCTTGTCATAGGTGTTCAGCATATCGTAAAGTTTCTCTCCAAACGTTTGGGGGTCATGTAACAGTTGAATGGCCGAGAAATTCGCCAATGTCGGGCCTTTGTTGTGCAATTTCTAAAACGCAAAATTCAGGTTGAATGCCTCGAAGAGTAATAGGTGGGTCAGACCTTTTTGGCCGTTTTGAGTTGTTTCCGTAGTTTGTTGTCTCCACTTCTCGTCTTTTTATTAATTTCACGCCTATGATGAAGCGCCTTGACGTTCACATTCTAGAGAAAGATACCTCAGTGATAGATGGAGAAAAGTGAGGGAGAAGCGTACATCGTCGTCTTCATCTTCGGGATCTTCACTTTCTTCACTCCCAAGAAAGAAATACAATGATGCACTTTGCACCTTTGTAATGGGATGAAAACATCCTTGGGCTATAATGGACACTGATTTTGCGTCGGTCCTGTACAATGTAAAAGGTACGACTGAAAGGCAACAAGATACAACTTACCAGACGCCCTTCTTCCAAAGTTCCTTCGTCAATATCACTGCCCACATGGCCTCGTCGACGTGGTGGTTATCTTGATCATTCGTTGGCGTATTCATGGCTCGAAGTTTCCCCTTGTCGCCGATTACTTCTGCAGACATTCCTCGTTCCACCATGCCGAAGAGCATGGCTTGGACGGCTCTGTTGAGCTTGTGATTTTGAGAACGTAGGTTCGCGACCTTTATATCGGACAGAATGGTTTTGCGGATGTAAGATCGAAGGGAGGAAGAAGATGTACGAGGAAGGAGCGGGAACAGTGACTTTAGCAACCTTGTATCAGTTAGCCGAGACAAAGCCTTAAGGAACAGTAGCACGCACTCTATTGATGAAATAACATCCTTGTTGCGGAGCATTACAAGGTTCTGTACAAGCGTTTTACGAGTGTCCGGCGAAAGAACGCCATAACTCTGGAGCAAAAGCGAGGATAGCTGCGAAGGGAATTCCGCTGTTTCGCGAGGATAGCATGTGGACACCTCATGACAGGCTTCAGCTAAGAGAGATAACAGATAGCCTAAGAATTTACCTGAGATATGAAGTTGACGAGTTCCTTGTAATGTTGGGCCTGCTCGTTGGCATTCGTTTTGAATATTTGCCGGATACTGTTGTAGTGATTCCACTGCTGAAGGAATTCTTCTTTATAGGACACTGGGTCTCGCTTTATTAGATTCTGTAGCTGGGGGAGATTGGCAGTAAGAAGGACGCCGCGACCCATTTCGAATTAGAGGTTAGCGGAAGGCAAGCCTGTGGAGTTTAGGGATTTTAGAAATTCTCGTGTGTTACATAATCCGACATCGACATCGTGCAGTCAGCAGCACAGGCGCCACCCTTCTACACTTAGCTACATGTTCGACGACCTGCCATGTCCGCCATGCTCGAATCATACGACATGCAAATGCTTGACTACTCGGCTGATACCGACATTCCAATGCATCCCTCCTCATCCGACCAATGGTTTCCAGACGAAGCGAAGATGGAAGAGGACGCACCTCTCAAAGTCGACAACTTTGAAAGCCATCACATGGACGCCCATGTATCTATGAAAGCCGATTTCTACTCCCAGGAAAGAGAAGACGCCACAATAGAAATTGATATGGAACCGCTAATCGAAACTCCAAACGTCGAATACGAGATGGGTGATGGTGAAGACCTGCGTGAAGACGACGACCTCGTTGACGTCGAGGTATATGATACGTCCCGAGCACTTTCCCCGTCCATTCCTTCTACAGAGTCTGGCCAAGTAGCGCAACCTGCGCTTCATCTTTCAGCTCATCTTGAAGAGAACACAGATATCAACAAAGTTGTCACACCCGAGCCTCCTTCGCATGCATCGGCATCGAACCTTTTTCTTCCATTACATGAAGTAGTCTCAGGCCGTGAATTTGCCACTGATCTCACTCTTCCCGGGATCCATGCACCTTCGGTATTGGAACCAGCGACCTCGAGTGCGACCTTGCCTAATGAGACAGAAAGCAGCGCTACAAACCACCACTTTGACCCATACGCTCTGGCTGCCGATCGTGAGGATCCGCATTCCGAAGAACATGAAGTAGTGCAGAAGACCCTTCCCTCATCTGAGCTTCTGGGACTAGCAGAAGAACCAGAGGCGGGCGTCTTACCTTCCACCTCTCCACCGCTTCCCAACACTGCCGAACACCAGGAAACACCTCATGGGAACGCAGAAGAAGAGGGTTCAGTTGATCGTATTTCCGCCCAGTCAACCAGCGATCCCCACGAAATTTCTGAAGGAGTCTATATTGATCCTCCTCCACCCGTTTTGTTGGCCATGGCCTCAGATGAAGTTTTCGAATTCACCCTGTTCAACGATCTGTCTAACGGGTCTCCCACTTCTGAGGTAAACATTCAAATGAAGGGCGTCCTTCTTCAACATTTACCAACTCTTTATTACGAACCTCTGTCCACTGTTTTTGAAACTCTACGGCAAGAGCAATACGTACAGTCCAAGTTTCATCTCGCAGATTCTGAGCTTGTTCTCGATGCCACTGATTTATCGTTACCTATCAGCGAGGTATGTCTCTGACATTCAGATACTTCCTTTGGTCTCTGATGCTCTCCGTGCAGGATAACGCGTACTCAAGGGAAGTTACACTGCATGACCTCAATGTCCTTCATGATGCATATGGAATTTCTGGGCCACTCAGAATGAAATTACATAGTGTAACTCCTAGGTTTATTACTCGATATCAATATCTACAAGAACACATAGGTCAGCTCGAGCTTGGTCAGTTGACCACAGGCGTCGATGGAATAGTCAACGGTTGGTTTCTGAGTTTCGTCAGCCCCGATTTTTGCTTATTTGTTTCTTGTTCAGAGCAGGGGAAATCAACAGAATTTGTGTTTCAGAAGCCGGACTTGCTACCCGGTGGCCTGGAAACCGCGGACCCGACAGCATTGCAACGTCCCAAAGAAGATGCAAAAGAGGAGGCACTGACGGACGATCTGGATCACTCAGAATTTGCCAAAGAACATAGGACGTTTGAACCACGACCCGAATACGAAGATGATGAAGAAGCAAGAGCTGAGGAAGTCGCCGATGATCTCGGCTACGGTCATTCAGAATCTGAGGCGTCAAATGCTGACGGCGACGAGGCTCGACTTCCGCACGACACCACAAACAATCAACAACCCGATCCTTTACTAGGAGACGGGCAAGAAAAAGCGGAGCCCGATTCAAGGGAGGATCATGGATCAGACCCCTCGGTGATTGAGCTGGACGTTCTTGAAGCCAAGTTCAGCAATCAAACCTCGTTCAACGACACAAGAGACAAAGAGGCTTCAGAACAAATCAGAAGCTCAAGCTCGAAGGCACAGTCCCGAGAGAATGAAGACCCAGTAGGGGTGGACCCTGTGACCGACCAGAAGACAGAGGTCGGCGGGGGTCGAACGGAGCAAGTAGAATATCCTGACCAAGACGAAGTGGGTCCTGAATGGCCCGAGTATGACGAGCAAGGCCACGAGGATAGTGAGGAGTCGGAAGAGCATGAGGATTCGGAAGAATACAATGACGATGCCAGCGGGGAGGAAGATCAAGCGGTTACACAACAGGACGAGGAGAGGGCACGTAACTATTTCGCCCTTGATCGTTTAGGCATGTTTCCCAAGACGAGTCTTACTTTCGTGCTTACACGTCTTTGATAGGAGCTGGAAGCGTGGACGAGGAAACAGTGGGTCGAGAAGGGAATCCACTCGGTATGCGATTTTGTTCGTCGTCGCTGTCTACAATACTGAATTATCTGTCCTGGACCTAGACTCTCCGCTGGAACAAGCCGCTGTAGCCACAGAGGCCGAGAGAGATGTTTATAACAAATCGGGAAACGACGACCAGGGCACACCTTCAGCAGGTAGATACCGGCAACCCCTACTCACGGCTTGAGGCTGACAGTGGGAGCAGATGCTGTTTCTTACCAATCACCTGAACAAGCAGAGGGACAGACAGATGTAGATCCTGTTGGCGATGCAGTGACTGAAGTTCCCTTCGAATCTGTTCTGTTTGACGGAGAAGCTTGGGATGATGACCTCGACAGAGAAGGTGATCTAGACGCAAGATGGGATGAAGACAACACGCCGTCAACATCGAACCAGAGTTCGGTCACGCTTTCGAGTAAGACCTCTAAGAGAAGCTTTGACGAATTTGAATCGGATGGCGAGGGATTTAACGAAAATCATGTGTGGGAGGGCCCTAGTTCTCCCGGTACGTGCCTCCTTTACATTTTTGTTCTGGACTCTAACTTGCCATAGATTCTAAACGATCTCGGACTCGGTGATTGGCTCATGAAGACACTTCGGTTATCTGTCCTGGTTTGGCAGTCATGCCGCGCGAGTATCAGTCACCACGGGTCAAGTTCAAGGCTAAGTAATTTATGTTTTATGCGATATTCCTGATCCTTCGTTTCTGTCTTTTCTCTACTGATTCCCGCAGATCAACGAGAACGCAACAGCAAGTGGTTGGCAGATAGCTTATCTGGTTGGTTTTATTTCACAACAGTGTCTTGGAAGCTTTCATGCGTGTAATATTAGTAGCAGAATCGTCCATCGTTTGATATCCACTGTTGGTGTTCTTTTCGAGCTGTCGATGTGACGGTTTCAAACATAAGGTACATACATAAACTGGGTATTACAATATATAGTTCTACAATCTTAAACAAGGCTAAGATAGTGGTGTAGATCAAAGCAGCACTTTCAAGTTAAGAAAGCAGCCTAAGATTACTCCTGGACGAGAAGAGACTCATTGACTTCATCCTCCTCTTCTTCAGAGTCATCCATTATTGAGTCGAATGGAGTCTCAGTGACACCTGGGCTGCGGGTGCTATTGCTGAGTAAGGCACTAATTTCGTCGTCCAATTGTGCCTCCTCTGTTTTCACTGAAGGTCGGAACCTCGCTCTGTTCGGAGATAATCTAGCATGCGATGCGAGCATAGATATTTAGGACCTACCTAGATTTTCCTTTGTGTCTGGCTTGCAACTTTCCTTCATCCTCGTCACTGTCAGAACTGATCACAATGGCTTGGATCGGTTTCTTTCCGGCCCTATCGACCTTTTGTTAGACTCAATAAGCAGGAGACCATAGAATGACCTACACTGCTCGCTTGGGGAGCGTTCTCGTCGGCAGGGCAGGACCATGGCTATGCTGGCCCGTGGAGTGATCGTCTTCGCCATCATTGTCCCCTTCCGAAGTAGAGGGCCGAGCTCGCCTGTGGTATCAATGAATTGAGGGTGTGAGATGCAGAAGGGAAGTGCTAACTTTGATGCCCGTCGTCCTTTCTCCTTTTCAAGAGAGTTTGCAGCGCTATCCTCAGTAGTCGTGCTATTGACGCTCTCTGAGCGTCTATTTTGAATTAGTAAAAGGATATCAATTCAATTGCGCTGCCCTTACCGTTTCTTTCCTTTTCTGGGAACATCAATGTCAATGAATTCTTCTTCATCATCAAGGGGAATGATGCTATCCAAGAACTGGAAGAGGTCATTTAATTCATGCAGTTTTCGGAAGTCCTCTTCACTGAATTGTTCAAATTGTTTCTCGAACTTCCTCGTGATGGTGGCTTCAAACTTGGCTAAGGCATTTTTGGAGACGGTGTCCCTCAAAGGTCGGCGCTGTTGTACAGAAGGTTAGCTTATTTGCAGATTGATCACCAGATGCCATTCACAGTGCGCAAATTGTCCATGAGGAGTTTCAACGATCGGATTCTGTAGTCGTCAACAGTGTCAGGTATATGCAACTTATTGAGAAGCTTGCATAAAATTTGCTTGTCTTCTTCTACAAGGAAGATTAGTGATGCTTACATAGCTGAATAGTGGATCCTCACTTTCAATTGTCACTTTTAGATCCTTCTCAAACAATGTTCTGAGAATGTTTTCAGCCAGATCTAGCTGAACACATTCATCTTCATCTTTCATTGCTTGGGAGCCTGTTGCATCACTGAGGAGGGTCATGAATTTCAAACCTGACACTCAACAGTCATGCTACTGACATTGCATGGGATACTTGCAATGGGTCAGTCCATTGCAAGAACATATCAGCAACTCGCTCAGAGTCAACTGCTGGTGGTGTATTATCACGACCGATTGCTTCCTTTCTGTCCTGACAGACATCCAAGAAGACATGGATAAAAATCTGAATGCAATGGGAAAATGAGCAGGCATATCAGGAATTTGGGATATTTCTCACATCGCTCATGAGTTTCTGATTTGCAAGGGAAGACTGGCTATACATTGGCAGAAAGAAAGAGAGACACTGCCGTAGTTCTTGGTTGTCTGCAGTAACGGGGCATAAATAGGCCTTGATGAGATTTTTGATAACCTTGGGGATATGAGATTGGCACTAAGTGTACAAATTCTGACCCTTACATTGACATCTGTGACTATTCCCGACAACACTAGCTTCGTGGCACCAACACAAAAGGTTGCTTTGACCTTCGGGTCCTGTTCAGTTTCAATATGTGTCAACAGGAAGGCTGTAAGGGCTTCCACCTGGAGATGAGAAAGTAAGAAAGAGAAGAGACAGAGTGTAGTCATAGAAGAGCATTACATTATTTTCCTGTTTCTTGAACACAATGTCCTCATGCACCATGAAAATATCAAACAGGGATTGCACGAGAGTAAGTCTGATGTTGATGGGAGAAGACGGGATCTGGTTCATGAAAAGGCTGATTGACCGAGTAGCCAATTGCTAGAGGCCTCTGAGTAAGTTTTGTCTTCCGACTTTCAATACGGATAACATACCTTTGCAATGAGGCAACACAGGCCAAGAGCTTTTAAACCTCTCTCTCGAAACACTGTGTCTTTCCTTTGGACAGATGGGATGATTAACTCCCTTAGGATACCATCTAGGATAAGATTCTCCTCAAAAGTCTAACCAAATGAAGATGGTCATCCAAAACCAAGACAGCAAAAAGAGAGACGAACACTATTGACACGTTCAAGCATACCAACGCAGAGCGAAAGGCATCTTAAATCGGCCCGGTCAACACGAGCTCTTTGTTCTGGTGACATGTCTTCAACCACTTTCCTTGCTGGCTTGGCCCTGGGTTGGCTCTCCTCAAAGCTAGCATCCGGATTGGCAAGCTGGTTGGAAAAGGTGTCAGATGAGGGGTTGACAAAGGCTGAGTCATGACTTGCCACAGCTTCATCCTCTTCGGCATCACCATAAACAGAATCCCTCAAATCTTGGACAGTTTCGACAACAAGCCGGATAAGGTCGCGTTCTGTCGGGGACAAGGTTCGCATCACATCAAGGCAGGGAGCCATGACATTCTCAGGAAGGGACTCGCGTCGGAGCATATCACCTCAGAACGATGGAGAATGGCACTCTCAGCTGACCGTAGCAAAGAGTATTAAGAATAGACGAAACTCACGAACAAGTTGGAACATTTTCCTTCTCCCGGTCTCATCCGAATAGTCAAGATTAACAGCCAATTTGAGAAGTTCCGACATGACAAGTTCCCTGGCCATTTTCTCGTCTTCTATGTTGTTTCTTTCAGTTTCGTCAATATCTGGGTTCGAGAGCAGGAACTCTTGTTCAACGTGAAGGTTGTACGATTCTTGGATACGAAAAGCCACAGATGTGACAACAGGAAGCATGGCCTCAAGCCTAACATCATCCTCGGTGTTCTTGCAATGTTCCACAAAAACTCGTGCAAGGAATGCCTTCTCCGGGATGAGCTTGTCCCAATAATGATCTTCAATAGGGAGAATGAATAATGGAAGGAGAACTAAGGCCAAGACTTACCCTTGAATTCAAGATTGTTGAAAGCTTCAACCTTAGCGGTGAAGACACTCAACAATGCGTCAACAGCAGCAGTGCTCTCCGCTAGGTCGAACAGAGACAAGAAGGACACCAGCCCCTGTTCTAGTGACTCGGCAGACAAACTGGCATCGGATCCCTCAAGCCCCTCAACTTCAGCATTCAAGATATCAAGCCAAGCCCACATGAGGGTTCCTGCAGCTGCCCTAACTGACAATTCCCTGTCTCCCAGTCCGTTCCGAACGACTAACTCTCTTTGAGCTATTGTCAAAGCCTTGGGGTGAGTCGTGCCAACTCGAGATCCATCAGAGGCTGTCTTGCTTGACATGTTCTTTCCCAGGACTGCACTGTATACAGCTTTGCGAGTGGTGGCGTCTGTGTCTTTCATTCGATCCAAGATGGCAGGAAGTGTTCGTTGGTTAGCTGGAACGTTGTGCAAAATGGCGCGTCGTACTTCACTAGGCCGGGGATCACTAAAGGAAAAAAAAAGTGGAAAGTGGACATACGGCGATGGGTCATGAGCCAGCCTTTCGAGAAGAAAGCTGACCATCATATCTTCGTTTTCATCGTCCGTAAGCTCGTCCGGGTTGCACAACTTGGCTAGACACACGACGGCTTGGTATCGTACATTGGTCTCTTTGTCGGTCGCACGCTGAATAAGTGCATCCCGGAGGTCCGTGTAAATGTCTTCCCTATAAAGACAACATTGAGTATCCACCGACCCGGAGAAAGGCGAACCCACTCAATCTCGCCAAGATGGGATATCATTTCAGCCACACTATTCAAAACTCGACAGCGGACATTCTTGTCTTTTGAAAGAAAGCCTTTGAGCAAGAGCTTCAACAGACGCGCAGTGAAGCGCGAAGCTGTAGTGTTGCCATTGCCATCATCGTTGTTGTCGTGAGGGCTTTGGCTTTCAGCAGCTGTACAAGAATCCAGTTTAGCATGGTATAACTGCAGCATTGGGACATACCTTTTTCATTAATGAACTTAATGTATCCACCGACGAATTTCAGAACGCGATCAGCTGAGGGCTCGCCCTTCTTTAGGGAAACGACCTTGAGGAACATCTGAAGAAACACTTTCTCAAAGATACCCTCTCCTATGAGCTTAACTTTATTCCCCTTCTTGTTCACCACCTCTTTGCATGTTGCAAGTTCCATATGGATTTTGTGAAGCGCGACGAAGTTCTTCCGATGGTTCGCGACAGAGGCTGCTGCTTGGCCGAACACATGCCCGACAGAGGCATGTACTAGCGTCTCATCCGGAGTTTGAGGGGTTTGCGTACGAGCAGGCATGATGAAGCAGTCAAAAGAGCGCTTTGTAGGCTTTGAGCATGCTCTACGTTTGTGGTAAAAGGGTGGTCTTACCCGGACCAAACCTCCAACTGCAACTTCAGTCACATGGGTCGGGTCTCATCGAGCTCAGTAATGAGCCAGAATTGAACTTCTTACCTTTTCCTCCCCTTCGTGGCGCCACTCAGTTCTCAGATAGTGTTGGGTCCAAGGGAAATCAGTATTTAAATAATACTACTCCCCATCTCTCTTATGGCCGATACCCATACAAGAAGTTTGTGTGTTGAGATCATCCTTTGGCATTTCGGGCCCTTGACAGCAGTGAGCATCTCTCTTTGGCAACAGTGAACGAACTCTCATACGGTCGAGGATCTGGATAGAATCTTGCATACGTTCTACTAACGCGCGGTCGCTTGTCGTTTCCTCAATTGATATGTTTCACTGGTTTGAAGCCTCAGACCACGAGGCTATGCATCATCTCCCTGGTTCAGCATAATGTTCTATGGCATGCAAAAGGAGACGACGATGTGGAAACATTCGAGGTCAATGTAGACGAATGCCTTATGAGGCTGAGATTCGGCAGGTTTATCTGGTTGACTGAGCAGATATTCGGGCAAACGGTGCGCAATTGTTTGCGTGGGGGGGGCCTTAATTCACGAGTTTGCGAAGCAGGCAGCGGATATTGTTCAAATCATATTGGACCATGGAAAGCTCCTCCCGCACGACATCAGAACGTTGTTGTCTGTTGAGGACTCCAAGGGTAAGGCTCACTTTTTTGACTCACGGAGGCATCTCATTCCATCCAAGCACTCAGCCAAATCGATCAGGTCCTTCATAAACTTGTCTCTGAATCGTATTTGAAACCATCCACCATTCTCTCACACCTGTCGCCACGCGACAAATGTATTCAATATGAGCAGGAGGAGAAGCGCAAAATCACTGGTTTTCCTACAGCTAAAGAACTGCGGGAGGCCAAAGAAACTGCACAAGCCAGGCTGAAATGTGAGGAAGAGGAGGCTGAGCAAATTGGACTGGTAAGCCTCCGTTAAATGCGAACTCCTTCTATTCACTTGGTTCAAGAAAAGAAAGGCTACAGACCAGGCTGGATCTCGAACCAAAGTACACCTGCTTTCGTTTTCTCCACTTCACATATTAATATCGCCCTTAGCGAAAAACTGTTGACCATGAAGATATGGTCAATGTCAGTCTCTTCCTTTCTGATGCCACGATTGTTCCGACCCGATCCTCTGCAGGAGTCTGTCCACTTCAGAGTCAATTACGAAAAGTTCAACGTGCATGTACGAAACTCTGTAAGTGCGCTCCCAGTTTAAGAAAGGCTGCGCTGACGTTGTTTGAAGCTCGTTGAAAATGCGGCCCGTGAAAGATTCAACCACGGAGCATCCGTAATCATCAAAGCTACGCTGAAGGCTACTCAGAGTTCCCAAATGAGTGTGTCAGAAGCTCGATCATGTGAGTTGATTTAGCAAAGCCAACGATTTTTGCGCCTGACCGAGGGTCAGCCCCGACTTCCATTGCCAATATCATGATGCATATCCCGGAAGAGGCGAATATCATGGCTGGTCTCGCTTACCCGTCCAAGAAGATAACCACTCTCACATGCGTCAAAGATTACCTCGGCATGCTATCATGTGCTGACAACCCAACCCCTGAGGGTCGAGCCTCATCTTTTGTGTCGTATTCAACGTCAAAGATACAGGTTGAGTTTGAGATCATTGCAAGAAATCTGCGAAGAAATCTGTTAGAGGCTGTAGCGAGAGATAAGCACGGATCGGACGGTGTTCGAATAATGCGCCTACTCCTCACCGCTGGAAAGATGGACGAGAAACAAGTCCGTGTATGGTTTTCGTTACCTCGGAATCTGTACTTGACATTTGCCTATAGATATCAAAAGCCGTTATGATGGCACCCAAGGACGTCCGACCTTTACTGGTTGCTCTCTCAGCGGACTGCCTGATCAGCACGCAAGAAGTTCCAAAGAGTGCTGACCGTAATCCGACGAGAACTTTTTATTTGTGGTAAGTGATCGCAGGTGGCTCGTATGGCAATCATTTGATGATCCTCAGGCACGTCGACCTCCAGAAAGCCTTCTCAGTGATTCTCGGGGGAGTGTACAAGACTCTGCACAACATTATTGCCCGACGTCGAGCAGAAAGTGAAACCATTGAGGTTGCTACAGTATTGGAGAAGCGTGAACGAACTGATGTTAGCCAGGATGAAGGTCTCTTGACAAGAATAGAGCGGGAAGTATGGAAGGACTGGGAGTCAAAGCAGGAAAAACTGACGGTGTTGGAGAAACGGGTTGAGGATCTTGTATTCTTACTGAGGGATCTGGGCCCTGTCTGCAGGGCCGACGAGTAAAAATTCCATTCAGTATAATAATGTCTGGAGTAATTACTCGAAGCAATGTTCTCATCTCAGGATTGACGCAGAACTGCATTCGAAGTTGCCATTTCGTGAACATGCAGCGATCGGGGTGGTTGATGGCACCGGACCGGGATCGGGAGCGGACTTTGCCAAGACGAATTCAAACTCCGTCACAAATATGGCGCGTCTAGTATGGCAGGCAACTTCAGTCAAAACCCCATTCTTGGACGCGTTCTTTCCACAACATTCTGTTTAACTGGTGCACAAGTTCATGGCAGACACCCAGCTGAACAAATTAGCCTTCGCTTCTCGCGTCAAACGAATCTATGATGCATGGGCGGTAATACGCCTTCTCTGCTTTCATGTTTTCGCCTTTCTCATTGATGTGGTCTGCGCGCAGGATGCTCGTCAAAACGAGGATTACGAGTCAATAGCAGATGTTGACTCTCTGTTTCTAATTGCTGGAGATCCTACTTCGGATGATGAACCTATGCGGAAGGGGTCTTGCCTCCAGGTGTGCCCAATCATTTTCCCATAATGCGACCTTGTTTGCTGAAAACATCAGCAATGGCTTCTTGGATACGAGTTTCCATCTACCCTTTTCCTATTTCAGAAGTCCAAAATATCTATTCTTTGCTCTGCTTCGAAAGGTAGCTCTCAGCAGAGGCCACATCTTTGATTATTGCTCATACTTTCGCCACGTAGCGAAAATCTTGTCACAGATCGAAAACGCTGCCAAACCCATCGTCGTTGAGATCATCGCCAGGCCAAAGGGAAAAGACGTTCCAAGTGACGCCCTTCCGAGATTCCACGGGGCATACACATCAGCAAAGAAGGTCGGCGTCTTGCTCAAGGAGTCACCTTCAGGAAAGCTTGTTTCCGAATGGCAAGCCCTTGTTGATGGGGCAGTCACGAAACCAGAGCTGTTGGATATGACGCCCGCCATCTCAACACTCATGGCGATCAAAGAAGACGAGGAAATGGCAGGTACTTCGTTTGACTCTCATTCGGATCTAACTTCGTGAAACACAGAAATGCATTCAAACCGCTGCTGCTCTGACATCGACCCTCCTGAAGTATCACGTCGCTCCGAAACTTGAATCCATTCTTGATAAGGAATCGAAGATTACGCATGACCAACTCGCCACACAGATCGAGGCACGTCTGGGATCTGGTGAAGGGAAGGAAGCTAGGGGCCCTGACATGAAGGTCTGGAGCAAAGGCAAAGGCCTTGACAACGTACGTCTGTTCTTCCTTCGCCCTTCCCTGTCCTTTCCGACCCGATTTCAAGGTCGATTGGCCTTCGGTCGAGTTCTGTTATCCTCCCATCATCATTTCGAAGTCATCAAAGTCGGGATACGATCTGAGGTACACTGTGGAATCCTCTGAGGATAACATTGCGCACAAAGGCGTGTTCTTGGTGGCTTTCGGAATGCGTTACAAGTCGTACAGCACAAACGTGGGACGAACCTTCATCGTCGACCCCAACCCTGTGTGTCTCCTCTTACGTCATAACAACCAATGTCTTATTATCTTTCAGAATCAAGAAGCGCAATACGGCATGTTATTGAATCTTCAAGCGGAATTGCTTACATTCATGAAAGATGGGGTCTCTGCGCGTGATGTTTACCAGCATGCACTCTCGTATATCAAGAACAACAACACAGAACTAGAGAAATATTTTGTGAAGAATATTGGCTTCGCTGTAAGACATTCTTCCGTCAAGCCCTCTGTCTTGTTGACATTCTGCGCAGACTGGCATCGAGTTCCGCGATGCTGGATATATTCTTTCGGCAAAGAACACCCGTCTCATCAGAAAAAACATGGTTTTCAACCTTAGTCTTGGTTTCTCGGGTCTGACGGATAGTTCGGGACAAAAGTGAGAGCTCATATTATACCTGTTCACCAATTCCAATCTCATGTCCGCCAACAGGTATGCATTGAACCTGGTAGATACCGTCAGGGTCGAAGCCGGGAAAACCTCCCTTATTACTGATGGAATTAAATCACCGAAGGACACTTTGTTTTTCTTGACGCCGGAAAGCGAAGAAGAAAAACAGAACAAAGGTAGCAAAAAGGTTCCTACTGCCCCCTATAAAAACGGGTCTCCTGCCAAGCAGAAGACCGCTGGTGGCAAAGTTCTGCGCAACCAAACCCGCCGTGCTGCTCAAGACGAAGTTCACCAAACAGCCTTGGCCAACCTTATTGAGCATCAACGCGAACTTCATGAATCCCTTCAAACCCAAGGTCTAGCTAGATTCTCGGAAGATGGAGGTGCGTCAAGCGGTAAAGAAGGCAAAGGCTGGAAGAAGTTCCAGAGCTACAAGGGAGAGGGTGCCTTACCTGCTGAGGTGGATAGGCTACGGGTATGCCCCTCCCTATTCTTCTCTGGCTTCCTAATGACATCCTAGGGCTTAGATTGTCATCGATCGTAAAGCGCAGACAGTTATCCTACCTATTCACGGGTTTGCTGTCCCTTTCCACATTAATACCATCAAGAATGCCAGCAAAAATGACGAAGGGGACTTCACCTATCTCAGAATCAATTTCCAGACACCTGGGCAACTAGCTGGAAAAAAAGAAGATACAGTGCGTGCTATGTTGTGGCGTCTTTTCAGGCCTGACAGGGTTTCTAGCCTTTTGAGGACCCTGAAGCCACCTTTATTCGCTCAGTGTCATATAGATCCCCTGACGGTCATCGTCTCGACAATATTGTCAAGCATATCAATGACTTGAAGAAGGAGGCCAATAAACGCGAGCAGCAGAAGAAGGAAATGGCTGACGTCATTGAACAAGGCAGTTTGGTGGAGATTAAAGGTAGACGACCTATCAAGATGCCCGAGGCATTTATTCGTCCTGCGCTCGACGGCAAACGGCTGCCTGGTGAAGTTGAAATTCATCAAAACGGTATCCGCTATCAGTCAATGGGCTCGCAAAAAGTTGGTATGTATGCCTTCCTTCTCGCTGCAAGAGTGCGATACTATTCCGTCCCTGGAAGATATTTTATTTAGCAACATCAAGCACCTTTTTTTCCAGCCATGCGATCACGAACTATTGGTAATTGTACATCTTCATCTCAAAGCACCTATCATGATTGGCAAAAAGAAAGCTTTCGTACGTATCCCATGATTTGCGCCATTTTTACTGCTTATATGCCGTAGGATGTCCAATTTTTTCGTGAAGCGACGGATGTTCAATTTGACGAGACGGGAAACCGAAAACGCAAGCACCGCTACGGTGACGAAGATGAAATCGAGATGGAGCAACAGGAGAGAAAACGTCGAGCCATGCTAAACAAAGAAATCAAGGGTTTCGCGGAAAAAATCGCCGAGGCGGCATCTACCTCAGTGTGTTTCCATGTCCGACACTTCAGAGTTCCTCTTAATTCATTTACAGAACGGGGAGACCTTGGAGCTCGACATCCCTTTCCGAGAGTTGTCATTCGAGGGAGTGCCATTCCGAACTAGTGCACGGCTGCAACCCACAACGGAGTGCTTAGTTCATCTCACTGATCCACCGTTCTTGGTGGTAACATTATCAGAGATTGAGATTGCGTCGTTGGAACGTGTTCAGTATGGCCTGAAGCAGTTTGATCTCGTCTTGATCTTCAAAGACTTCACCAAAACTCCTCTTCATATCAATTCAATCCAAAGCTCTCAAATGGACGATGTGAAGAATTGGTTAGAGTGAGTCTTTTGTCATGGTTTGTTCCTTCCCAGATCTAACCAGTACCTTGCGCAGTTCTGTGGATATCCCAATGAGTGAAGGTCCTGTTAATTTGAACTGGGGTCCAATTATGAAACACATCAATGAGAGTCCTTTCGAGTTCTTCCAGCAAGGTGGTTGGAGCTTCCTTGGGAATGCCGGTGGTGTTGAAGTGAGTTCCTCGCCTCTTGGACAGACGTTGCGATGTTAATCTATTGATAGAGTGATCATTCTTCGGAATCTGGCTCAAACGATTCTGAATTTGAAGTCGATCATGATGAATTCGTGTCAAGCCCAAGCAGTGATGATGCAAGCGACTTTGACAACTCGGATGCAAGCGGCAGTGACGAGAGTGGTTCGGACTTCGGCGAAGGCGATGACAGCGACGAAGGTTGGTCAAGTTTTGTTATCCCAGATAAATGTCTAACCACAAATTCATAGGTGATGATTGGGATGAATTGGAAAGAAAAGCTGCCAAAGGTTGATTTATATTCTGCAATGTTTTATACCTTGTTACTAAACTGTTCCAAATAGCGGATCTGAAGCGGGCAGAAGCGAAGAAAGCTGCCGGTTCGGATGACTCTGAAGATGAAAGGCCAAAGAAAAAGTCGGCCGCGACAAATGGCAAAAAGAGCAAGCGATGATGTCTCATCTTCACTCGGTCATTGTCCATTTCGTCTCCCACCATTTACAACCTGCACCTTCCTGTTTGTAATCACACATAGCATGCCTTTAGGTTATTTATAAATTTTGAGTTTTTTTTTGAAGCAATCCGTTCAGAGAATCTAGGTAGATCTGGCTATTGGTTCGCATACAACGGCCATTTTGGTATAAGTGCTCGAACAAAACACGTCCTGTGGGCCCCTGTAAGCCAGTAGAATGCATGTAAGGAAATCAAGTGAAGAGGAACGGAATCCAGGAAGTGAGTTTTCCAACTGGATCATTTCAAACACTGGCACATAATAGTATCTTACATCGACCCATTTGTTTCCTTGATCTATATACCTATCTGACGGGCCAACTCGAAACCGGAGGCCAGGTGCGATAAGCGAGCATCCACAACAAACCCCTGTTCAACATGCCATCAAAGAGACATGGTTTCATGAACCACCAACCGCACCTCTTTGTCGTAGTCTAATTAGGTCACGATTAGATCCTCACAAGGGAGAAACTTGCACAAATTCACATACTTTCCAGCGTTGCCTTCAGTTCCGCCAATTCTACCACCTTTGTAACAATGAACTCTCCAGCTTCCAGTTTCGGGTCGGGAATCTCCAACTGGTCATCCATATCTACGCTCACCACGACAAGTTGCATGTTCGCATTTGTCATGCCTGCGAAAGGATAGATCAATACACTTCGAAGCTAGGATGATAACCCACTTCACCAGGATCGGATACCACTACGGGAGATATTTGTAGAGTACGAGTGGCTTTGTATCCAGTCTCCTCATGTAATTCACGTATAGCTGCTTGCTCCGCCGTTTCGCTTTCGTCGATTAAACCTAAGTACATCGGGAGATTAGAGTATTGAATATTGAATACGGCGATTGAATTCCCTGCAGGTAGTTCTGCATCAAGCAAGAGATGGATTAGCGAAATTTGTAAGGTAGGAAGAAGAACCTCTCGACCGATGACGTATTTTCCAATGGGAGGTCGGTATTGCTCAATCACAACCGTCGAGAGAGGAAAGGAGTTCTTTTGGGACTTGAGGATTGCCAAGACGGCCACGCCTGTCGTATAAAGCTTAAACCAACGAGTGCCCTTGAAAGTACAGACCAACCGTCAACGCCACTCGATTTACGAGTCTTGCGTTCCGCAGACTCCCACAATCGCTAGAGAAGGCGTTGAGCGAGGGCCAGCAAGAAGAGAATGCCTCAACCTTCTTTCCATCTTGATCAGTATATTTGATCTTTTTCAAGGTGATCCATCTTGGCGGGTATCAACGCTGTGACTTGTGCATGCCAGCCGGCATTGAGCATGCTTACTTGGCTTCGGTTGTCGCCATTTCGGTCGTGGACAAGATCTTGGGCGAATTATGGGCCATTCTGTATCGCTGAACAAGTCGTGGACGCGTAGCCGAGGAAAGGATGTATGCGGAGGTGGGGAAACGCAGCATGCCCCCCTGAAACTTCAAACTAAAGAGCAGATTGCGGCGCGTCACACGGTCACGTTGACCCCAGTTCCAACCTCGAAACTTAAGTACACCACTGAGCACTCGTTGCCGACTGATTCTATGGACGCTCGTGAAGATCTGCCCCGTATATCAGTGGATTCAGCCCTGGATTGGCAAAAGGTGCGATCCAACTACACGGACGCTACCTTCGCTGCGCTCCAGGCTCAAGTTGCCTCCAGAGGACAGTCTAGGGAACACGACGCGATACGCGCCCATCTGGAACAGGTGTGCATCAGCGGGAAATTGACCATCAGCACTTACAACTCAACTACCTTCAAGTTTATTGATAGGACGTTCGCTCTTGCGCAGCCCAACCTACGCGTCAATGGCCATAACTTTGAATCCTTCGATGAGAACGGCAGAGGTATGTGCCCATCCTTCCGTTTACGACACCCACCTCACATCCTTGCACAGAAATGGAACCATTCGATGAAATACTCGACAGACGTATCTGGTCTCTTGCGGACACTAGGTTGCAGTGGCATAAACGCATAGCAGAAACGAGGCGGACAATTCCATCGGAGATCGAGTCTGCGATTTCGACATTAATGCAAGAACATCGTGACTTGGACACAATCATACTCCCTCCTGCAAATGAAGAAGAGCAACAAGAACAATCACCTGAAGACGACGGCAAGACTCCGTCTCTCTTATTCTGACTGGACGGTGATTTCAATTATCTGCTAGGCACCCATCAACGAGTCCAAGCCGCACTGCAGAAGACTTCGGCTTTAGCGAACGAACTGGAACAAGTAAGATCGTATACTGGTTTTGCATAACCTGACTGATCCCGAGCTTCTCAGACCGTTACACAACAGCACGAACGTGGAGAACGCGTAAAATCGATAGCATCGGAGGTCAATTCTCTGAAGCCCTGAAAGTATCGGAGTAGGACAGGACAGGGATTTGTGGCCGAAGCGAAGCGAGGCCCAGCATCTTGTTTTATTATTGCATGCCGTTTCCATGGCTGTTGTACTATTGTAGAGGGAACGGGCGACTCTCCAACATAGATGCTTTGAACTCCGAGTTATGACCCTCGAAACCCTCCTCCACGTCCTCCACGTCCACCCGGGCTACCTCGGAACCCGCCACCACCGCCTCTTGATCCACCACCTCTTCCCCCATAAAAGCCACCTCTCGGCCCTCCTCGTCCAGCACCTCTTGGTCCTCCTCTTGAAAAAGCTCCGCGCCCACCTGAGCCACCTCGACCTCGTCCCGGAGGAGCTCCACGTCCTCGGCCTCGCTCTGAGGAGGGAATGAAAATAAGAATCGATTTTTTTTTTCCACATAATGAGACTTACTCGTAACACCTTCCGGCACCAAGTTTATTAACATAGAACCCCCTTTATGAACCATGACGACTTACCTCCAACCACCTTCGGCTTGGGCAAGAACCGCTCGATTGGCAAAAGTTTATCTCCACCGATGTAGACCTTGTCACCCTTCTTGAAACTAGAGGCTACCATTCCCTCGCCCATTTTGACTGAAAAATAGACTTCGTTGATAGGTCCGAGGATTTCGTCGACTTTGCCAATCGCTGTTTTATTTTGCAGAAATATGGGAGCATTGAAATACGGAACTTTGTCGGACATTGACGATGAGCAAAACATCTCATCCTCGACCGTATGCACGAAGGTGCCCATTTCTGAGATGAAGGGTTTAGTTAACTCAGGCGAATAGCGGAGTTAACTCACCTAAAACCTCGTCAGGAGGGCCCATGTCCCGTTGGTAGAAACCCCCTCTTCCACCTCCGCGGCCTGCTTGAACGACAGAATGAGATTAGATTTATACGAGGCAAAAAAACAAAGACGAGCCTCCACCCCGACCGAATCCTCTTGAGCCACCTCGACTCATGCGTATTCTTCTTTTTGGAGAAGGCAGCTGCCGCTGAGGAGATCAGTTGAGAGGAATTTAAGAAACTTTGTTGCGCTACGCGGTACTAGTGGTGTCAAGGTTCGGTTCAGTCCGGTTTAGGGCACGTTTCGCCCAAACAATTTACGACACTGGTGTGGGAACCGACTTTATGTGCGGTCAAAAAGGCGTGATAGGGGCGTTACAGCTGTTTCGGAAAACCTTGAGAATCAACCTTTTCTTTTTTTGCGCGGCCCCTGCCCAGTGTTGGACGGTCGATTTCTTTGACCGAGTCAATTGACGGTCAATGACGGTCAAATTTCTTTGACTCTCCCACGCCCATGGCCTGTGATCGGTTCTATAAATGGATTGCTGCGACTAACCGACTCGGAGGTCCCGCTTGGGTCCCGCTTCGTCTACGGGATAGATAGGTGGCAGGACCTTCAGACACACACAAAAGTGGCTGTCCTTTCTCTCTGTATCATATTCTCTATTGCAAGTCTTTAAAACTGAACGAGCACTCATGTACTGCTGCTAAAGAGACTTCAATAAAGCTACTTGAGCTTCTATATCAAGGTCCTCTTTGTCAGGATCAACTCTTCCACCGTGACAATTCGGTGGTCATTCTCTTCTTTATGCTGGAAAACCCTTCACCCTGGCCAATGGGTGATTCAGGGTTCGGCATTGAATTATTCTCGCGGCTTGCAATTGTTATATAATTCACGACGCGCAGTGAATTCTTTCTGTGCCGGAAACTGTTTTCTTGGGCAATCAGTTTGTTTCAGGTTTATCTTTGGAGGTTCCTTCCTTCTGGGTGACCTCGGAATATTTGTATTCCCGTTACCGGATGCTACAATTTGTTGAGCGATGAGGCGCTCTCGCTTCGACAGCGGCTTCGTCGAGGACCTACAGGAATCTAAGGGTTTGGATTCTCATCCATCTGCTTTGGGGCCTCTAGAGAATCTATAATATTCTCGCACTTGTTGTCTGACATTTACCCACGTAAAGCGGATCGTCCGGTGAGGGCAATTGTGGCTTGCCGGCCCGTGAATCATCTCTTGCAGCGGCAGTGAAGTTATGGTTATGGCTGCTCTGACGTATACGGGACATTTGTACCAGTTCGTGTAGGAGAGGGAGACTCAAGTGGTGCCGAATCAACCATTTTTATTAGGATACAAGTGCAGGGGATATATGATTCTGAATGACGGCTTGGCATAGCATGTATTAAGTCGGATGTGTTGAGAGTCGAGAGAAAGGTAAAGTGTATGCGTTCAAAAATATGTGACACTGAGAAGCTAGGTAACAATAGTGTCGAGACGGCACACATAGTAGTTGGTTGCAATTGAAGGGAAAGGGTGGTTGCACAAAACGGCGTAAAAGGATTTTGAATTCACCCCTGCTTGGGCCCTATCTACTGTACATATGGCCGTATTTATACTAAAAGATGAGACCGGGTCACTAATTAAAATGTAGTCAAGTAGTAAGATAAGTCATAGGTACAGCTATGGAAAGCTACAGACTACACAAAGCAATAGAAAAGAATTTAAACGTGTCAACGAGGGATTGACAAAGGGAAATAGGGGGGATTTATAAGCGGCATTGACAGAACGTAATGAATCTCCTGCATAAGCCTCCAGCCTTGCCCAGTTTGGCAGGTCGGTCAAGGTCAAAGTCAAATATTGACCTTTGACCGTCAATTTTTGACGGTCATTGACTTTCTTGACTAGTCAATGACCAGCACAACACTGCCCCTGCCAGGGTCTGCCCAGGTCTGCCCATTTGGGCTTGCAGCTAGGCGGCATGAGCTGACCAAGCGTTGATCCCGTCACGGCTGTTTGCGACAGTCCTGATCAGGCAGAGAGATTAGATTTCTTCAAAATGCCTCCTGCCCTTCGATTACGAGAAAAAATATAGATTGCTTCTGGAATACATTCAGTAACTCTTTGGTACAAAATCAGGATGTAATTACGCTTTCTGGTGCAAGTAATTCCATGAAAGGTCTAATCTTATCTCGTTAGATTAGTCGGGACTATGTCAACGACCAGCATCAAAGCTTGATGGCCTGTTGCCCTCAGCGCCGGTCCCTGGCCACTTGCCAAAAAAAAGAACACGATTCTCAAGGTTTTCCGAAACAGCTGTAAACTTTATATACACGATTTTTTGTGTCAATAAAGTTCTAATCACCTTTGTAGACGAAAATGATGGAGCAGTGCGACGGAATGGCTAAGACTAGTGAACCGGTGAGCGACGCTTGGAAAGCAGTGGCTTGTTGATTCCCAGGTGTGCCATTATATGGGAGAGTGGGTCTTGCCACACAAGGGGGCATGCATTGTGAACAAGAACAGGTCTTGTTTGTTCATGAGCAGAGGAACAGGGCATCCCAGAAAGGGGACACGGAGTCCATGCATGTGTGCTGAGCATACATGTCCTGGTTAGCTGTACGTGCGGAGCGTGACAGAGAGTGTGATGTACCTTGGAGATTAGCCTTGAGTAAACAAACATTTAAACTTGACAAATAAAGTTACAATAAAATCTTCTTTTCCCATGCTCATAATTTTCCGAAAACTGTCACCTTTGAGGTAATTAACAATGACTAATCAAGCTTCAGATGTTCACACAGCCATTCGCATACAGGGTACTCGGGTTGCCCTGAGACCAGCAGCGACCCAGTTTGATTGAGGGGAGAGGCAAGCATCATATGGAGGCTAAGGAGGTGAAGAATAGAGAAGAGGAAAAAAGAAGAGGAGAGTTGGTTGGAGAATGGGATCAGTTGAGCAAGAATTGTGATGGTGAAGCCACCCGAGATCAAACCGGTGAGTTGTCTTGGGTGGTTGAGGAGAAGAGGAGCACTGTGAGGAGGGCAGGGTGTTGGCAAATGTAGATCTCGAAGGTGTCAGATTTCCAGCAGCCCATAGCATGGATGATGTGGGAGGGGACGCCAGTAATGGCATAATGGGTAGCCCCACCAGCCCTGAGGGAGTGTCCACCAATATCAGTGGGGTTTGGCAAAAGGGTGAGGAGTCAGTTTAAGAATCAATGTCGGGTGGGGATGGAACCATTGCAGCGGAGCCACAGCTCTGGCTTCAGTGCAAAGAGATTGTCGCAAGATGAGATGTAGTTGGTGAAGGCTGAAAGAGGTGGATTGCCCACAGTTGCTCAGTGGATGAGTATGTGGTTCCCTTTGAAGAGTTGATCAGCTTTGTGACTGGGGAGGAGGAAGGCAAAGGAATTGGGAGTTGTGGTAACTGACAAGCGTAGGATCACCTTTTGGTAGTCCTGCAGAGATGTTTGGTCTGGCCATATGTTCTTGCCTAGATGCATGAGACCATGGAAGGTGGTGGAGAGGATGGCGAGGAAGAGTATGTCATCATGGTCCAATGATGTGGAGAGGGAAGTGTGGATGGCTGAGAGTTCGTCATGTGATAGGGGATGTTGGCGGGAGGTGGGGGTAGCACAGCGTTTGGTGCATCTGAGGAGAGTCCAAGTGACCAATGTGTGTCAACGGATAGAGCACACATTGGGAAAAAATGGTTCAAGTTGGTTGCAGATGCTGGAAAGGTAAGACTTGATGGATGTCGGTTTGATGTGGCTGCACATGTAGACAACGAAGCTGAGTATGTCAGGTGTGGGTTCAACAGAGAAGTTGTGGAGTTGGCAGAAAGAAACATATGTGTTGGTGCAGTGGTGGTGGTAAGTGGTTAAGACATGATTAATTATTTAGTGCCCATTGAGAGGGCTTATATACCTATGTACAAAGTGGCTAGAATATTCTAATAAATGCTATACTAAGTAAAATGTCCATAAGGAAATAATTAGAATAAACAAGAAAGTACACAATGAGTTGAGGAGTGACTCATTGAGGTGGAATGTCCGAGTATGGACTGCCGGTGGCCTGGCCCGCTGATTCCAACAATATGATTGGAGGGCAGCCATGTACGCTAGAAATCTATATCAAACACTGTATTTAAACAGTGTATCCTCACATGTCAGGACTGTCATTAAACAGTCCACCCACGGAGAGGCCCTGCTGGGTATGCCGAAGCCCAATGCTGTGGGTGGGACCCATCAACATGCACAAACAACACAGGAAACAATGCCTGAGCATTGTTCCTCATCGTTTTCGACGTCCTGCCACTGTTTTTGATGGGGAAAAAGCACCAACGATGAGGAAACATATTTCTTCGTCATTGTGCACCATTTCCCCCATCGTTGGGGAGCGGGAAGGGCTGGATTGGGAGGAGGCACTTTGGATGACACTCGGTATTTTTACCATGTCATCTATTTTTAGCTGGGATTCTTAATGTGCATGCAAAAAATCGGAAAAAAATTGTATTAATTTGTAAAAAAAAAAAAATACATGATGCAGGTGGCAAGTAGAGCCACCTGCTACGAAAGAGAGATAATACGAACAGAAACGGCATGTTAGGATGTGCTGTTTCTGCTCAGGGGGGTGGAAGAGGGTCCCTGCTGGCACCCCCACCCCCTCCTCATCCATGGGGGGCACCTCTGGCCCCCTCTGCCTGTTGCTGGTCCGTGGGGGACCCCTCTGCCCCTCTGCCCCCCTTGCTCATCCTTGGGGGGCACCTCCACCCCCTGCCCCTCCACTGCGCTCCTCTGCCTGTGTTGTTGGGCCCCATCCACCCCCTTCGCCGGCATGTTGAGTCCCTTGTGCAGCCATGTAAGCTAGAAAAATATAGAATACAAGGCAGTTTCCTAACTATGAATCTAAGCCCTGGAGGGCAATATGCTACCTTCCGCTTTGGGAAGGCTCTCCTAATAAGAGGGAGGGGTTGCCGGGTGCCCGGCATCTGCAAGGGTGATGAGGAGGGGGTAAATAAATTAGTAAGCATCCATTTCCAGGGTGGGCAGGTGGTGGGAGGGGCTGGAGGGGGCAGAATGGGGGCAGGATAGGCCAAGCAGGACCCCAGGGCACTGCAGAGAACTGGTCATGTGACCTGTTTGCTCTACAGCCTCAACCGGGGCCGTTTTTTGTGAAAAAAGTGCCCAGGGCCAATGTGATAGTATGTTCTTGGATGTCTAAAAAAGAATTGAGAGAATCTGGTATCGGGAAGGGGGTGAAAATGTGTTTACCCGGTGCCAAAAGTAAACTGAGCCCCAGCTATTTGAGTTCCTGGATGCCAGATCCAGTAATTCTGTCTATTTATACATTGCTGGCGCATTTTGGGCTTGCTTAGCTTGCCCCTGGGTGGAAATTGATGGGAACAATGATGTGATAATTTTGAGGGAGTTCATAGCTACCTGTAGACACCCAGAACATGGGAATACGACCATTTTTGGTGATGTTATGGCCTAAACTGTGCTTCTATGCACAAAAATGTGAAAATGCGCACCTAATGCTCTGCTTCTCATGCATCCCTGCCTCATAAAAACCAGCTGATAATTTAGTATGCTACTAGAGATTCAGAACGAGCCAATAATAGTGGTATTGCATGCATTATTGGTTATGCAATGGGCCTTTCAATGTTTGTGTGCTAAAAAACTGAAAAAGCGCACTCAAATCTCTATGCCACACATGTATCTATCCTTTCCAAACATTATGCATTCAGATAGAGGCTATCAAGGGCTACAAAACGCGCTATTCAGCGTCTCCACACGTTCATTTGCTCCAAAGATATACCCAAGACACTTCACAAGATACCAGAAAAATCAAAAATGTGCACTCTTATATCCCTTCAAGCAAAGCTAGGGTTATTCCTGTCACTCCAACATAATCTGAACACTATCCTATCATCCTCCCTTCTTTTTCTTCCCTCAAGACTGTGTAGAAACACCCCAATTCCATTACCAAAGACACTTCCTCCTTCTTGCCTGGGGCATTCCCACAATGTTGATGGTGGACATGGCATCCTTCTGGCATGTCCTCTAGTCCCCTAAATCTCCTCGGATAGTTCGGAATACTTGCTATACTGTTGTTAGAGTGATATAAAAAAAGTCTGACGCAAATTGAATAAGAACTGAATATGTTATTCATGCAACTGTTCTTCTGCCTTCTCAATTGCCCTCTCCAAGATTCTACCTTGGATTGGAGGTATAATCCTTGCTCTAAAATTTTGTAAAAATATGTTTAAAATATATATTATAGAGTAGAGTAATTATCAGGTGTTTGTAAACCCCTCTCAGAGGTGTGAGCAATGATACTACCTCCAGTTTCCGGGGTGAACACATTTGACAAACTAGGCAATATGGTGATCACCACTCATCACCAGTCTGTTTGAGGTTCATTTCAGACCTCCTGCTGTCCACAATGACCCAGTCACAATAGAACTTTTTGAGGACACTTAGAAGTAGTCAGTAGAATGTCTCTGCATTGTCTGATTAATTATATATATCCTTGATCTCCTTAAAAGTGGCAATCAGTTCGATTTTTATGTTATCTAAGGTGTCATATTGGTCGTCTCGGAGGTGTTGGAATTTGAAGAGGAGGTCGTTCCAATCCTGGGACATGTTTCTTCTTGAGGATTGGTGAAGAATTGAGCATCCCATGGGGCAAACAAGGTGATTATAGGTAGAAAACCCGAAATTGGGCACTGCAAGTGCATTTGGCATTATTAACTCCTGTATTGTTGCATGGAGGTACCTATATGGCTGCTATTAATATGCATATATGTTACAGCTCACATAAATAGCCTGGGGAATAGGAAATGGAGGGCGCATTTCTGGCTTTTCAGGGGGAGGAGGAAGGGGTGCTTATATTATATTAAAGGGGAGTCTATACCATGCTATGTGATTGTAAATAGTGACTAGGGCACTGGGTGAGACTGACTGAAAAGTTCTACAGGTCTTGGATAAGAATTGGGGGAGATACAGAAGCTCGCTTTTTGTGATATTGAGGGATGAGGAGTGTCTTGGGTATATCTTTGGAGCAAATGAACGTGTGGAGACGCTGAATAGCGCGTTTTGTAGCCCTTGATAGCCTCTATCTGAATGCATAATGTTTGGAAAGGATAGATACATGTGTGGCATAGAGATTTGAGTGCGCTTTTTCAGTTTTTTAGCACACAAACATTGAAAGGCCCATTGCATAACCAATAATGCATGCAATACCACTATTATTGGCTCGTTCTGAATCTCTAGTAGCATACTAAATTATCAGCTGGTTTTTATGAGGCAGGGATGCATGAGAAGCAGAGCATTAGGTGCGCATTTTCACATTTTTGTGCATAGAAGCACAGTTTAGGCCATAACATCACCAAAAATGGTCGTATTCCCATGTTCTGGGTGTCTACAGGTAGCTATGAACTCCCTCAAAATTATCACATCATTGTTCCCATCAATTTCCACCCAGGGGCAAGCTAAGCAAGCCCAAAATGCGCCAGCAATGTATAAATAGACAGAATTACTGGATCTGGCATCCAGGAACTCAAATAGCTGGGGCTCAGTTTACTTTTGGCACCGGGTAAACACATTTTCACCCCCTTCCCGATACCAGATTCTCTCAATTCTTTTTTAGACATCCAAGAACATACTATCACATTGGCCCTGGGCACTTTTTTCACAAAAAACGGCCCCGGTTGAGGCTGTAGAGCAAACAGGTCACATGACCAGTTCTCTGCAGTGCCCTGGGGTCCTGCTTGGCCTATCCTGCCCC